TATCTTTGCTTGTGAGAGATTTTTTGGCCAAAAACAACACCACAATCATGCCTCAGCCACCATATTCACCGGATTTGACCCCATGTGACTTTTTCTTGTTCCCAAAACTAAAGAGACCTATGAAAGGACGGAGATTTGCAACGATTGAAGAGATAAAGACTGCATCGCTAGAAGAGCTCAAGGCTATACCGAAAAGTGCTTTTGAGAAGTGCTTTGAGGATTGGAAAAACCGTTGGCATAAGTGTATTGTATCTGAGAGGGATTACTTTGAAGGGGACAACATAAATATTGATAAATAAATAAATATTTTTTCTTAAAAATACAAAGTCACTTTACTTTTTGAACACACCTCGTACAAGATTCACAAAGCCGGTTTTCTTTGTTAAGATACGAATTAAACTCTGATGAAATACTTTTCGGGAGTACGGCAAAACGTCCTGCGCGAAACTTATGAATGTTAAGAATATTTTTGAAAATTGAAAGCCACTATTTATGAGGTCTAATCAAAAAGTATCGCGAATTTTGTATGTTTTCAAAAATTATTTATTTATTCATGAATATCTATTTTATCTATTTCAAAGTATTCCCCTCGGATATAATGTACTTATGCCAACGTTTTTTCCAATCCTCGAAGCACTTAAAAAAATCATTTTTTATGATCTTTATCTCCTGAATCATGCCGTAGCGCCGTTCTTTCATGGGCCTCTTTAGTTTTGGGAACAGGAAAAAGTCACAAGAGGCCAGGTCTGGGGAATACGGTGGCTGCGGCACCATTACTGTGTTGTTTTTGGCCAAAAAGTTTGATACAAGCAACGATGAGTGAGCAGGTGCATTATCGTGATGCAAAATCCATGAATTCTTTTCTCACAATTCCGAACGTTTGTTTTGTATTGCTTCTCGCAAACGGCACGTAACTTCAAGGTAATACTCTTCATTGACCGTACGACCTTGTAGTAAGAACTCTTGATGTACTAAGCCACGATAATCAAAGAAAACAGTGAGCAAAACCTTGATATTTGATCGAACTTCCCGAGGCTGACATCAATTTATATCAAATAATAGTTACATATTGTACAATTGTGAATTTTCTTATATTCCCTCTTTTAAAAAAAACGAACTTGAAACGCGGAATTCGGACATGGTATGATGATAGAACAGCCACAAGTGTACAACAGACCTAGATGCGTTACGAATAGGAAAAAAAGAAGTTTAGGACGGGTGACCGAATGCTCATCGCTGAAGTCAATTCTTGGCCACAGATGAAGCTACTCATATCAAAACGAATACAAAATTTGATGCTATTACTTAAATTATAACGTGCAAGACTTTAAAATTTTGGTATAGTTAATAATATTATTTAACATTTTTAATTAAACTTTGAAATCTTAAATACAATAAAAGTTTGCGTTGAACACAGGAAACTTAAATGTTAAGGTTTTTCAAAGGAAGGATTTAATTGGAATCGATTTATAATTGTTTATTTTTGTTTGTTAACTAATGCTTTCATTAAATTCATTTTACACTTGTTATTATTATTTTTATCGATAGTACAGAATTATTCATTTTAATAAGTTCGAGTTGTTGATGATAAAATAGCGGATTTAGAAAAGTGAAATCTCGAAAGGAAAACGCGCAGGAAGGGCTTTTCTACTTTTTGTTATCCTGCTGCGATTTCAGATTGGGTTGAGCGTCGGCAGGACATGTTATTAGTGCTAAGGCATATTAAAACAATTAGAAGCGCATAGCCATTTACAGTTCGCAGATGTGCACAACATTTACTAATGGTTGTATTTTGAGACTGTAGGTTGTTTGAACAGCTTGTCCCTTTTAAGAATTCGAAATGGTTTTGAGAAGAAAAACTTTCCGGATTTTCTATTTAATGATAAACATTGAATAGAAAAAGAAAATTCTTTGAAAAATTTCTCTTCTCTAGATTATCTCAAATTCCTGAAAACGACAAGCTGATCAAACAGCCTCCAATCTTTAAATATAGCCATAAATAAAATTTGTACAGCCATAAATACAATCTGCGAAACGGTAAACTGCTGTGTGCGTCTATTTGTTTTAGAACGCTTTAGCATGGGCCGCAGACGCCTGAACCCAACCAGAGAACGCAGCGGGAAAACGAGAGGTGATCACAAAACCTTACCTGCACGTTTTCCCTTCGAGTTTTCACTTTTCTAAATTTATTATTTTACCATCAGCAGTTCAAACTTATTAAAATGAATAATTCTGTGCTATCGATAAAAGTAGTAGTAACAAATGTAAAATGAATTTAGTATACTTTAATAAATTCTTGTTTTCCAAAACCGGAAATATCTCTTTAAAATGTAACTTTTATTTCTTCAAAATATTTTTAAAATAATACTGACCGACAACATTTGAAATTGTAAAAAAACCCAAACACGTAACTAGGTATACTCGAAAGCTTTTGATGCGCTGACACCACATCTTGCGTCATAATTCATCCATCACCTCTAGTTCTCGAGATATCCTAACCTAACCTTGACAAAACTTTTTTTCGATAATTTTGAGGTTATATCACACCTAGGATAAATTTTTATTTTCCAAAACCGGAAATACCTTTTTAAAATGTAACTTTTACTCTTTAAAACATTTTTTAAATAACACAGGCCAACAACATTTGAAATTGTAAAAAACCGAGACACGTGATGAGGTATACCCAAAGGCTTTTGATGCGCTGACACCACATCTGGCGTCATAATTCGTCCATCACCTCTAGTTCGCGAGATATCCTAACCTAAAAGTGAAACAAACACTGTTTTTCAATAATTTTCAGGTTCCGTCATACTTTGTATAAATTCTTGTTTTCCAAAACCGGAAATATCTCTTTAAAATGTAACTTTTATTCTTTGAGACATTTTTTAAATAACACAGGCCAACAACATTTGAAATTGTAAAAAACCGAGACACGTGACTAGGTATCCCCGTAGGCTTTTGATGTGCTGACACCACATCTGGCGTCATAATTCGTCCATCACCTCTAGTTCTCGAGATATCCTAACCTACAAGTGCAAAAAACACCGTTTTTCACTAATTTTCAGGTTCCGACACACTTTGCATAATTTCTTGTTTTCCAAAACCGGAAATATCTCTTTAAAATGTAACTTTTTTTAAAAATATTTTTTCTAGACCTGGAAAATATTTTTTTTCATCGACATATGGTTGTTTAAAGTTTTGTATTTTAGTGGTTTCGAGAAAATTGAGTTGAGAGATTCAAGGATTATTGCTGTACAGGTTACCTATGACTCCAAGATATGCTATTGAAGTGATGGGTAAAACTTTGCGTAACGTAATGAACAATGATAAATCATTTGGTGGAAAAAGAATTGTTTTAGGAGAAGCTTTCAGGCAGTTACTTCATGTGAAAGTAAATAGTAAAACTGTTGATTTATTTATAAATCGTTGTTTCAATAGGAAAATATTATTAAATTTTCTTTAACCCAAAATATGCGAGCTTTACCTGAAGAAATTTAATTTTCGAAATTTCTGCACGAAACATTCACGCGTTAATGAAATAAATGAAAGAGTTGTGAATTTACTGGATGAAACTACGGAAAAAATTTACAAAAGTATTGATAGTGTAGCAAACTGTGATAATGAAGGTTTTGAAATGTAAAAAAAATTTTTTTAAAAAGTATAACTTGCATGACTATCTTTGTGAGTGTTGCTATTTGGTTTGCGTTTTGTTGATTTCTCATATTTTTAGATTAGATTTTTTATATTTATATTTTGTATATTCTTTCAATTTTTGAATAAAAAGGTAACCTTGATGAGGCTGATAAATTTTAGTGAGTGAAACATTGGTTGAGGAAAAAAATTTTTTTTATTTATTAAAGAATTCGAGGAATGATTCTCCATCATTGTATATTAAAATATCCTATGAAATTTTAAAATATTTTCTCTGTACTTTTTGAAAAGATTGGCGATAGAAAATTAAATTTAGATTTAGGGTTTAGCTAAACACACGCGCCATGCTATTAACTTAAATATTTCTTGACTGACAACAGTTGTTTCCTTTCCCGAGTAAAGTGAAAAATCACAGCCCAAAAAGGACGAAAATTCTCCATTTCGCATTTACTGAGACGTAACACGGGAAATTCAAAATTACCAAAGCCATTCTCGAAGTGAAATATACTTCAAAAATAACATATATGTAGGTTATTGTTTTACTAAATTTATCAATAATTTTTTTTATTCATATATTTAATTTGGACAAATTTTCTGAGTCAAGCGGCTTAAGTGGCATGCTTAGAGATACTATTAAGTACTGATAGAAATGTAAAATATTTTATTATATTTTTTTTAATTATTTTACTATGCGTACTGCCTTATAAATATTAAAGTAGAAAATGCAGATTGCAACTAAAGATAGTACGAATAAAGAGAAAATAATGCAATGATAACCACATCATTTATTCATGCCACAGAATCATTTTCCTCATTGAAAATGCACGAACCTTTATAACATAGTTAAGACACACCTCGACCTCATCGAAATGTAAAAATATTATGTAGAAGCAAAAATGCAAAAGCAAAGTCAATGATGTCATCCGTAAACTGTGCCAAGTACATGATTACATTTGTAAATGACAACCAAGTAGCAATCTATTTTGGCATCTAACCCATCGTATTTATATCGATTAGTGGCCGTTTTTTGCATTATCCATCTCAATAGGCAAAAGAAAACCTTTGCTTTTAAATGTTTTGTTGTCTCAACTTCATAAACTTTTATATGAAAAAATTCTCCATGAATTGCAAAATAACAAAGAACACTATATTTCGTGATCAAGATATGCACTATTTGTGAATCGTTCTCTTTGACATAATTTACTGTTATATTTGAAAATTTTCTTCTTCGCATCATGATAAAAATTCCAAAAAGGAGCAACCTATAGTTAGTTAAATTTATAAACATTTTAATAAATAAAAGGTTTCTAAAATAAAAGGTAAATACATTTCTGGTGAAATTGACCTCAAAAAGTCTGTCCAGCAGCTAGCATACATTCAAAGCTCACAGAATATCTAGAGAAATTGGTACGAGCTGTTTTATGACTCATAATGTTTTAACAATTAGTTTCGTAAGCAGGCTCATCAGCAGAAATGCAGCTAATAAGGAGATGTTGTTTAAATAATCATGTTGTATATTTCATCATGAATATATAATACTTAAATACTATAGCAACAAATGTAAAGATTTTATATGTACATAATTAGTTTCTTGATCAGTATATTATAGACGCATTATTTTATGATTTCTAAACAGTAATTCTAATTATTCACTTATTCATTTACATATATTTATAATATACACAAACGTATTTCATAATATAATGTTTAAAAATAATTTTTCTTATCATCAGTTTTGTAAAATAACAATCTTATACTTTAAAGACATTTTATGTTCGAAGCAAGATATTAAAATGTAATTAATGAAAAGAATAAGATCTGCACTACTTCTAAGCTTTGAAAAGGAAAAAATGGAAGATCAAATTAAAAAGATATTAGTGTCAATATTAGCAAAAACCTTCTGCTTCTCAACTTTTATTTCTTCCGACGAAAGGTTTTAAATGGGTATACTGTAGAACGAAATTTTATTTACAAAATCTTAAAGATTATTCGAAAATATTTTTTGAAGATGATTCATAGTTAACTACAGATTTTATTTAAAAGAGCAAGCAAATGACATTGTTTAATCATAAATCAGGTATAAAATTATTGTCCAAATATCAAACTTTGTTTTTTCACAATTTAAGAGCAAAGTAACTAAATTGTATTTTAATTATCGTGTTAAAAATTGTCAGATAAATGTACTTATTGAAATTGATTTAAAATATATGCTATTGATAACAAATAATCTACTTTTAAGAGATTCAAGTTACAATTTTTTTTTATGAAAACATTATAAAATTATACAACTATGGATTTGAATAAAGTGTTTGTGAATCTTTCATTTTTCGCCAGAAACGCGCACAGCCTGCGGTCGCGTAATCTCTCGTATAGACGATAAACGTACACATGAATATCGCTATACTAATTAAATATATATTAGAAACCTCTTTTCTTACGTTTAAATTTAATGCTACATTGACGCTATCAGATACAATTTTAGTCCAAAATAGATGCTTATAATGCGTAAAAGTAAAAATAATAAAAAGAACGTATTACCTGAACAAAACTTGAGCATTGCTGACTTTTTCTAATAAAACGACTAATCTAAACTGGCTGACTGCGATCACCAAACTTGTATAGGGAAAATATTAAATTGACGATTAAAATTTTTTGTGTGGGTATAAATCTACGAAATCGCTCAATTATTGTCCTTTTTATAATTAAGCAGATTAGAGCCGTAGTATCCTAGGTATTCGTTTCTATATATCGACTATTGAATGACGTTTCTCAAAATCGAACAAGCGTTATTTGTAGTTTAACAAGGACACGAATAAGCAGTTTCTAAATAGCGTTAATTTCAATATTCTCTGTCATTTACACATCGTTCATTCGAACTGAAATAATATGTATGATATCGAATCAAGAAAATAACATTGAGTTAATAAACAAAATAAGAGACGATATAGAAAGTTATATCATAAATATCGGACTTGCACGATCATAAATACACGTTTAGCGTTAAAGATAAATTGACTAATTTCTTTTGTTTCGACCATTTTTCCACATACGCAACCTATCATCATCCAATTGGTTATCACCCGATGCTCGCAACCTTCACGTTGTAATAGCACGCAGTGCTCCGGATGGCCAAGCTCCGTTACTCTCTTAAACCTCTCTCGCTTATCACATTGCATTTAGCTTTCTTCGCAACTCTACTATGCCTCTTCGATCAATTTCGCAATGGATCCAAACTTTCAAGGGAAAAGTCGTCAGTTCCGATCAACAGACCTCGACTAAACCCATCCTGCGAGAATAATTTTTACTTAGCTAAATGTTTCAGATTAAAGAGAAGGATTTGAAAAGTACAATAAAATACCTTCATCTCTGATAATCTTTTGTCCAGCAGACCAATGGCATTTTCAAGATCTTGATGGGTAGGTGAGTGAACTGAAGAATTACCAAACTCACCCATTTCGAATGGATCTTTCGTATCATTTTTATTCGCATTTGGAGCTGGATTAAAATGCACACTTCCAAACAAATCCTCTTTCACTCCGTTTTGTCGTCTTGAATCCTTGGCCTTGGGTGGAGGAGCCACTGGAGATAGCAGGTTCATTTACCACAAAGCAATACTTTTGTAAGACATGTATTAAGCAAATACTAAATACTCACACAGCGGTGGAGAGTTGATTCCATTTGTTTGAGTGAAGATAGCACCAGCAGTGATTTGGCCATTGGTGGAGTTGTTATTCGATAAGTGGTTTGAAATTCCATTGGAGGTATTCTCGAAGGCACGTGGATTGAAGTCATCTTCATCAAATTCATCGATCAGAAGACCCTCTCCTTTGGAATCGGTCGACAAATTCTGGGGGGATGGAGATTCACTTCTAGAAAATCAAGAATATTTTGCATTAATCGTATGCTGAACGATTGTTACGAAGATTCGGGTTTCAGCCTACCCCATGAAATTGTCATCGAAAGATTTTTCAAAGCTCCTCGGAGGAACTGGTGGCGGTTGTTGTGTACCATTCGAAGCATTTCCATTAGTGTCGGCAGCCGAATTGATGAAGAGTTTGGACGCACTGCCATTGACTCGAGGAATGCTGTCTTTCGCAGCTGTGCTTACGGCCGAGGACGAAGAAGTGTCAGGAACATAGAGAATATCGGGGATGTCATGTTGCGTAAGGTACGCTCCTATATCAGCCTGAATAAAAAGAAAATTTTCAAGTGAGCACTCGATATTTTTAAATAACTCAATGACTATTGTGTTGAATTTTTCACGTGGCACAATTCAATTGAAATTGGACAAGTGACGTACGGATCCTTTGATGGTGGCGATGTCCTGAAGACGTTGCCGGTAGACATTGTTCTCGTGCTCGAGGCGCTTGATCTTCTGTTGCAGAACCATGGCGCGTCTTTGGGCCTCGAGATCCTTGCCGGATGTCTCAAGGAAGCGCCTGTAAGCGAGGTCGAATGCTTGGCCAATCGTCAGTGTGATCTCCTCGGCGAGTTTGTCGCTCACAAACACGAAGCACGTGTGCCGCTCGGCGTCTTCTTCTTTGGCTATGAAACTGAAAAACTTCTTCTCGCCTTTGTCGTCCGCGCAATAAGAGATCCGGTGCAGCGGGTACTGGTGCATTATTCGCTGTTCCAATAATAGGCACGATTATTAGCTTACCGACGATCGGCAACAAGTTTACGAAAAATCGAAATTCACCTTCTGAGTGGTCTTGGTTTTTGGTTCCTGAATGGCAACGCCATCGATGCTGATGGTCAACTCGACTTTGGGCGTCTTCGACCCCTCGCTCTTCTTGATCTGCTGATTAAACTTAAGCTTACAGATTGCATCCTTGACGACTTCGATGCCTTTCGGTTGGTCGACTTCGGTACTGCCGAGATACTGCAAATAACAGTCATCCATTGTTCTATTAGCTCATCAAGCTGACTATTCATTTGATTATGCTATTAATTCAAGGTTGAAAGCACGTCAAAGTTGACGACACGTTGTTTGTGACGGGAATCGGTAAAAGTGAAAATTTCTGGCCGGAGCGAATTCTAAAAATGTACGCTTAGGCCGCGACCTGTTCAAAGTCGACGAGAGCCACGAGCGACTTTCACTGTTATTTGCACATGCGAGAGAGTTGCACTGTACACACACACACACACACACACACACCACACACCATCTGCCTAAGATGATATCGGTGCGCAGCGAGCGAGTGCATGGGAGCTCCACACGTGCAGCATACAATGCACGTGGCTTACGTAGATCTGCAGCTTTCCGGCACGCACACGCATATTTGTGCTGCAACTTGTACCCGCGGACTTTGACGCTGTTGATGTCGGTACTGTACGCGCTGGCTGCAAGCTGATCGAGTATGCGTCACGTACGAGACTAATTACATTTGGTCCATAATTATCATATTCTTAATTGGTTTAGCAACGCGTACTGCTCTCAAGTGGGACGGTCAATTAGCGTGCTTTGTGCGCGCGTGTGTGTGAGAGAGAGAGAGAGAATAATGAAACGCGATAGGTTACTTGATTCCCGATAAATAGCCGATCCGCCGTCGTGAGCTTCGCCTAATGGAATGCATCTTTCGATTGCTCTCGTACACGTGCGCGACTCTCCTTATATTTCATTTTCTTCGAGTGGCATCGAGTGCCTATCATCTTTGTTTAACGTGAGATTTTTATTGAACGCGCGTGCTGCGATATTTGAGAGAAAGCACTTTTTCGCTTTTCGTGCTTTAACCTCGTTTCACTTGCATTATTTCAAGGGATGCGAAAACTGCCAGTCGAGGTGCAATGGCGCGTAACTTTCTTTACAAGCGGCTGGAAGAATGGATAAACCACGCCACGATCTGCGGGTGTTTGGAATGTACCACTCTCTCGCGCGATGAAAGTATATATATATATATATATATATATATATATATATATATGTATATAGAGGCAGCAAAATTTATAGTCAACGAACTTTCGTCGTCGCTTGAAGATTCCAAGTTTTTTTTAAGTTTCTGCCATTCTTGTGACAAGCCGTTATCGATACGACGTTACTACAATTGAGAGCAACCGAAGCCTTAGCAAGTGGCTGAGTACGACGAGACTCAAATAAGCAGCGAAACCCATTTAAAATATAGCGGTTTTTTCGCATGAAAGTTAGTGAGTCAGTAAGTTCAAATCGGAGAACGGAGAGATCGCAAGAAGAGACCGGCACCGTAGCTCCGTTTTCCGTGGAGCTCGCTAAAGAGAATACGATCGGCAGTTTGACGTCTCGATTACGAAAGCGACAGATGCGATTTGCGCTTTTATTCAAGTAAATGGGATATTAGGAAGTGTTGCACAATGTACAAACTGCAAGTAACCGAATGGGCGCGAGTTCCATGTAATGGTGCTTTTCATTTGACCGAGTCGGTTGTGATCAATTAGAAGACACGTCTGCGAGGAAACAAGCGTGCTCAAGCTTTTCTACCCACTCGGACGTACCACGGCAAATCCAACGTTATTTTGCCGCGAGCATATAATTGCCGCGGGAACCGGTTGTATATTAATTGTCGCTTATGGGCGTCGTTTCACGCCTTATCCACACACATCCACGCTCGCGGATTGATACTTTGCGCAACCTTCCATCGGACATTTTACGCTTCGCGATTAGCTATTTTTCTCTCGTATGAAGCAAATCGTTAAGCAGGTATCGGCGGTTGAGCCGTGTCGAGGCAGTGAGCGGAATAGCCGCGCACCAGATCCGGCGATTGGGCAAGAAGCGCAAGTCGTCGGGCGAAGCTCGCGCGCGCGTCTACAATCCGCAAGACAACGCGATGAAAGTCCGACGGGCGTGTTATATATAATGCATATTATGCGTGTGCGTGTGTACGGAACATTGGAAAGTGGCAAAACGCGGCAAATAGCTCGCTCCCCGTGAAATTGTTGTACAAACGGAGCGAGCGCGGGGACGCGCTCTCACTTTCTATTCGAGACTCTGCTCGCGCGCGAATTCCAGATATCTCGGCCAACTGTGCAATCAAACGGGCGTACCTCCTCCTCGCGGATCATCGCCGGTAATCGGGCGCCGTTTCGCGTCCGCCAGCCGCCGCCCCGTGCTTTTCAAAAAGCCCGCGATCGTCCGTGTTTTACGGCCGCGCCGGGAATTCGTGTCAAGAGCAGACGGACCGTAATATATCTCGGACACTCGGCGATATTTGTAAAATGACGCAATCCTTCGTTGAGCTCGTAAAAGTCAATACCGCAGTTGCGTTGCAAATTGGCTTCTGTAAAACAGCCCTAATTGCGACAAATGAGCCGCAATTACATCTTCTCGACAGCGACGACGGGGCCATTTTCGAAGAGACAGCCGGCACTGCGTTTCAGAGCGATCTCGAACAGTTATGCGGCACCGATACGACTCCTCGTTTGCAGCGATCGTCGATCGACCGAGCCTCCGTCTGCGCACGCGCAGCAGCGTACGAACGAGAGCCGCGGCACGGTATTGCTTTGTCACGTGTAGCAGCTCTATAATGGCATCGAGAAATATGCGACTTCATAAATGTTCATGAGCCAACGCTTCAATTACAGAGTCGCCGTGACGAGGAGAGCTGAGTAGTGGTATACATGTATTCCCGAAGCAAAAAAATAAAGACTTCGCGGAACTCGTCTCCTCGTCGCACGGGGATTAATGTAAGGTTTGCGGTGCACCGCTGTTGTTAAATTAGCAAATGTCATTTGCATATGTATGTAGCAGGTGCCGTCTCCGACCTTGACTCGTTTCGCTCTCTCTCTCTCTCTCTCTCACGCACGCACATTTTGCGTATCGTGAGAAAAGGCTCGGCAAAAGTGATTGCACAGCGATTGTATTTATAGATCGCCGGCACATCGCCGTTCTACCGATTTCGCGCATTGCGAACGTCGAGTGGTCCACGTGGCATTGTTGCGCGCCGCCTTCGATCTCCCGCGAATTTCCCGCGCGATCGGCAATTAAACCGTCGCTCTCGCGCCAGAGGCGCAGCGCGTTTTCGCGTATTACGGCTGATTGCCAGCCGTGTTCTCTCGGCGACGCTTCCGCGACGCAATCGACTTCCGCGCTTGATTGCAGAACAAAAGGAGCGGAGATTGAAAAATGTAGCGCTGCGCGGGATCGCCGCTCGATCAAACGGGGCAGAGAGAGAGGGGGAGAGAGGGAGAATGATCGGCAGAAGTGCAGAGGTGTGTACCTTGACTAGGTAAGCGATGTGGCCTTTCTGAAGCGCGTCCGGTGGGTGTATCCAGTTTCTGCCGGTGCCTGCAACAGGTCCAAAATTGCACCTCTATTTAAGACGTGGCGCGCGCAGCGGCCCCTTTCGAACTTTGACACTGCGTCCTCTCGCTCGCCGTTATGTCACGCTCGCCGACCGCGCGTTGCGCAATGTCGCCGATCGATGGCTTACCTCCGCTTTTAGTCGGCGCATTTTTATTGTTCGTCGAGTTTTGTGCCCACTTCAGCAGAGTGGAATTCCTCATTTTGCAATGTTCCTCCTCGTCTCGCCGACTGCACACCGGGACTCCTGCAACAGCAACGCGCGCAAACTCATGACATGCGTGAATGTCCCTCGAGCGGCGCCTCTTTAATAATTCATGCCGCGACAGAGGCGCAGCCCGTGCGTCGCGCGACATTCGGGGCGCGCGGCCCTTCGTGCTCTTCGCGCTGCCGGCTTCCGCTTTCGACGCGCGGGCATCGGGAGCGCCGGCGGCCCGCATTCTCCACCGAGGCGTGCTTGGCCAACGGAGATGTACCCGCGCCACGCTCGTATCGCCTGGCAAACGTGCTGGAGCAGCTGCATTACTACACGCCCGCGACCTAGTTTAGTTATCTTTGCGTCCTCGGCCACGCGTTTTTTTTTTTTCAGACGTACAGCTGCGAAGAAAAATCTCTCCGGGCGGTCAGCCTTGAAAACGTCGCACCGAAGGCTGCCGATCGACGCCTTCCCGTGCAAGTCGTGGAGCGAGACTTTGGTCGACAAGTGGCGCTGCGGTTACTCGAAAACTCGGCGTGCCTCCCACGTGCGACGCGCGCAGAGAAAGAGAAGAGTTTTCTCCGCGGGCGCGCGGCCGCCTCGCTTCCGATTTCGCGTCGAGCGCAGATCGCGCGTAGATCGATGCACGGCAGAAGAGAAGAAAAAACAGGGAAGCGAGGCGGAAGCGACGAGTGGGCGTAAAAAAAGGCGATTCGAAGAAAGCCGACGGTCCCGAAAGCGAGCACTCGATGGACGAACCCGCTGTGCGGAGCGCGAAGCAGCAGCGTTTTCCATCGAGCTGCTATTACGCTTACGACACAGTTGCGCGCGCGCGCGTGTTGTCATCGCGAGGCTTCCCCGACATCGTCCACGTGTGATGACAAAAGCCAAACATCGTCCGTGCCGTGTCATCGACCCTGCGAGCTCGCTGCACGAACCGAATTTACCGCGAGTTCCATCATCTCGAAAACTCGCCGTTTGTTTTGGTAGCGCGCGAGGACGTCGCCGAGCATCGCTACAATTATCTCGTTGCTGGGGCATTTCCCAACTCTTTGCGTGCGCCCTCGATCGGCTACGGCTTCTAAATTCAATTCGAAGACGCTTCAACGGCAAGAGAAGAGAAAAAAGCAACAGTCGAGCGCAATAAGCCGCACAGCGTAGGAGAAGCGAGATACAGTGCCGCGCCAGGCGGATATTCGTATGGTTGATTGAAAGAGATGAAAAGTTATAATGCAGCGCGGTACGTGAATAGTGCGGGCGCGTGTAATGTCTCGCGCGGAGAGGCGAGCCAGTGGCACTGACAGAGAGAAAGATAAGGAGGGAAGAATGGTACCGGCACGTGCACGTCTCTCTCTCTCTCTCTCTGATTACTCAGCCTTCACAAAAGCGGCTGCGACCGGCGCGCGGCGGCGCATCGCCGAAGATAAAGCTTCGTCGTGATGATTGCTCCTAAATTTATCTGTCTGCTCTCGACTCGCTGAATTATTATCAGCCAGCTGCGTATGTACGGGTAGCCTCGATTTTTTCCCATCTCCGTTGTCGCGCCTGCGGCTTATTATCGGTCGCGGATTTTTCTCTTTTCACCCTTTCTGCCGGAACGACTTCGCTCTCTCGCCCGCGCGTCGTTCTCGACGTTCCGCGGGATCATCGGTCAACGACGGGCTGCGCGGAGAAAGTCTCGGCTCCGGAGCCGCGCCGTCGAAAAGCTCGCGTTCTCCGGCCGGCCGTCCGCACGCGGAGCAGCAACCGCGATAAAGCTGCTCGCGGATGCGAGTCACGCAGATCGCGGGACAGGAGCACGGCGCGCGAACAAGAGAAGCAGAACGGCCGGCGGGTCGATGGCCTGCTGCGTCCGACGGACGACGGTCGCTCGCGCTCTCGCCTCGGCGATCATTTTCGGCCGTGATCCGACGGAGGTTCGCCTCTGCAAGAGCGCGCGCGCGCGCGCGACGACAAAGACGCGGCGGAGGCTCATTTGAATATAATACGCTCTCGAGTTGCGCCTTCGTGCCGGGGCTGTGCGTTTGCGGAGAAAGCGCTAATCTCCTTACGGCGATACCCGAGAGCTGCGTTTAATGTCGCGATAAAACCACGCCGTCGAGCTCCGATAAGTCTCGTGACGGTGAAACCGACGTCTGCACTACTATCGAAATTCGATTCGGTTAGTCAACCATCCAAGTATCATACGCACAATGGCTTTTGCTTTGGCCTTCGCGGAAAGAAGAAACAGTGCAGTGTTTGCCGTGAATAAACTGCGATAAATTTTGACGTGCACGTCACGGCACCTCTTCGAAAAAAAAAAAAGTCTCTCTCGAGTGCTCGACGCTAATGGACAGCTGCGCGTAATGCGGGAATAACCGCGCAGGCAGGGCCTTTTATCACGAGTGCATGTGCGAGTTCGCACGCGAGGCTCGCGGCTTGGGAAATCGCGAAACTGTCCTTTTTTTTCCCTCCACTGTTGGTCTTTGTGAGCTTCTTCTCGGGCACGTTACGCGCGTCTCGTTCTTTCGTACGAGAAAGCGACACTCCGCGCTGCACAATGACGGTATAACCTTCGGTGGCGATGAGTTTGAGATTACGTAAAATATTCCTTTTTCGGCCGACTCGCTGCTCGTCTTCTTCGTTCGGCACTCTCGCGCACGCTCCGGCGCGAGGAATGCACGATAGGCCTGCCCTGCGCAATGCTCATCCCATTATTATCCTTTCGCGTCGACAATCAGTGACAAAGCCAGAAGCAAAGGCAGAGCGTCCAGAGCGCAGCGCAATGTCGAGTTTTGCGAAAAATTGGCTTTGACGTGCAACTCGTCGTCGACAAGGCTAATCGTTGAAAACGACCGCGCGAGCACGGATACGAGCGCTCATGTAAGAACGAAATGACATCGTCTTTTGCACAGTCTTTCGTAGCTTAAGCTCCAATTGGCAAGTTTGCAGCCTTCGGCGCATCAAGCGCTGCCATTCGTAAACTTCATCGCGGCCCTGACACAACGAGTATCAACTAGAGATTGAGTTATATCTTAATTTGAACAAGTTAGATATTGATACGCGCGCTTGGCTGCGCCTCGGTCACATCTCGATGAATAAAGCAATGTGTCGATCAGAATGACGCAAAGACACGCATCCGATATGACACTTTCTTTCGACTTGCCATTTCTGTCCTCGTTTTATTCGTGTGGGCTCGCGAGGTTCGGATTTGCAAGTCACGCGAGCGCGCGCGTGTCGTTGACGGGCAGTGGCGATAGCGAGAAAGACAGCGCAAAGGAACGACCGCAGCGATCGCTTCCAAGCTGGCAAAGCGTTAACGGACCTGAGATTGTTCCGCGGCTGCCCGTGGACGCGCAGATGCCGTTCGCGGAGCAGCTGCGAGTTCGCGTGTCAATTATTGGTTTCCTGCTGACCGAGTTATTGATAAAGTCCGGTGTCGCGTTCTATTTTGGTATATCGTTTATTGTCGGCGATTAGAGTCCGTCTAGCGCGGGCGAAATGGCAGAGTAGCGCTCAAGTGGGCCCGATCCACTTTCAAATTGAGTAATTTCATGATTGAATGCAACGTGTTACATTGGCAGATAGACCGAGCAATAAAATCTTCCCATCACCTACATTGGAACTGGCAGTCGGTCTGTCACGCGCCAAGCAGACGCTCGGATTGACTTTGATCGAGGAATGTGGTCTAGGTATACGCGTATCCCGGCACGGAACCCGTGCGCGACTTCACCTCGGCTCTCAGCGTCCCGGGTGAGCAGTAGCTCGACGCGCGCCATTGCATAATGCTCAAGGTGAAAATTGCCCCCTCCTGCGTGGCTTTTCCATCGCTGCTGCTCTCGCGTCCTTTCGCAACATTTTTTCTTCCTTCTTCTTCTTCTTCACTCTACATACAGCCCACGAGAGCCGTTCGCGCTGCGCGTCGCGCCTTGTACGCACGCGCCCGTTTGGTTTTTCTCCGATTGCCGCGTGGCCGCGAGCATTTCACGCGCTCTCGATGCGGCGAACGCGAGCGAGTGTCATCGCGAGTCGCATCACGGACATCTCTTTGCTTCCTTTTCCATTCCAACTTCCGTTTCCTACGCTGCGGCGCGCGAGCTGCTCGAAACTACTGCTGCTTGGTACACCGAGATGTAGGCCACTTTTACTCGCCGTCTAAAATTCTACCTCGAGCGCTTGTGCCGTTGCTGGACATTGAGTTATTCCGCTGCTCTTATCAAAAGTAGACTGTTCCGAGGCAAAGTAGCTTTCCGATGATGGCGATTTAGTCGAGGGCCGTTGGAACTGAACGGCAACCTTGAAGATGAATGTTGCGAACGATATGGATATTCATAGCAAGCGATAAAGGCGAGGATCGTCAAGCTGCTCGACAGACGTGCGATTGTACGAAAATATAACGAGTCAGTCGATCGAGCTGCTAACATTGACCTTTAATCCGACCTCGCGATTTCGCAGCCCAATCGGCAACACCATGTTGCACGTTTATCTCTCGATACGAAGCTATCAGCTGAATCGTCATTGCAACAACAACCGACCGTAACAATCAAATATGCTGCGATAGTGCGATACTTTTCGTATCGGCGTGAAAAAACAAATGGAATCGCGCGAAGAGCACGATAGCGCCGGATGGAGCGAGGAGGCTTGCATCAGCATCGCGCTCGCAGCCCAAGACTTTTCTGACGGATGCGGTCAATTAGAAAATGGCCTACTCGCACTTTCTCCTGCAAACTTGCGCCTTTTTTCAAATCTCCGCGCACCGGCAAGAACAAGACGACATTTTCTCTCTCTCTCTCTCTCTTTCTCCCACGACATTTATTCGAGTTGACTGTTAGTTATACTCCCGCTAATCAACAGTTATTGTACAACAATTGGCTTTCCAACGCCGGTCGCTGGCGGAAAAATATCCACCGTCATAGAGAAAGTTCATGGAATTAAATGTTACGTACGCCATCGATACGATCTTTCAATATATTTTTTTAAATTTATATACTTAATAAAACGATGCGTTCGTCAATACCAATATTAATTTCATTAATAAAATCAGCTCGTAGGCGTTTCCAACGAAAATTGATCGATACCTACGATGTATTTTGTTTGTAACGCATGATGCATCCAGAATTGAAATTGCAACAGGCACAACGATATCGAACGGTCAGCGATAACCCGTTTTGTTTAAAATGACCAATACACCCGAGGATGCCGCGGCGCCGACTAGACGCCTCGCGAGCGATGATTTGTCGATGCGCAATTAACGTTTCGACGAATCACGCTAAAATGGATTTGATGTTTGTTCAGCAACGTTTTTCCGGCGACTACTTTAAAGGCCGCTATGCCGATGTTTTCATTCGGTATGCGTTTCCCGATAGCGCTGCAAGTGAGTAATTATTGGACAATAGCGAAACGTTCATAAATGCACAAACGCGCTTATTTATAATTTTGATTGTGCTCGAGCGAAAAATTCCACGAACGCACTTCGATCGAGAAGAAGCTTGTCGCCACGAGCGACTGGCCAAGAATAACCAAAGAGATTGTTCACGGGAAGGATTCGATTGCGAAACTATTTGTTGCATCGAGCAGAAGAAGGGAGAAAAATCCGATGGCCGATAGGTGTTACTCGGCAGGACAGAGTCGTCTGCCAAACGGATGGGGAGGAGAGGCGTGCGCGCGGAGAGCAGGGCAGCGTTGACGCGCGACGCGGCCGGCAGGGTCGACGACAAAAAGGAAACTAGAACTCGAACGGTGCAACAGGTTTTCCCGATGAGAAAACTCGCCGGCAGAGGCGACCGACTCGACTCGCTTAGCTCGCGGCCTCTGTGACAAAATGTCGCGCGCTTTACGAGCGGCGCGCCGGCCGCCACTGTTCCTCGACTTTTTCGTCGTGTCGCGGCCGTCGGAAAAATGGTAAATCGCTCGCGCCGCTGACCTTGTTCGCGCGTGCGCTCGGAGACCGAGAGCCGATCTACAGTTAGCTGGCACGGAGGATACTTTGAACTCCGCGCGTTTCATCCGGCTCTACAGTCTAATTACGCCTCTGCCGGATAACGAAGCGAATTGTTGAGCCGCCTGCCAATTTAGCTCGCGTTATATCTGGGTTAATTCAACGCGACTCGTAGCTTGCTGAATCGGCAAACTCTTATTGCGTACGCTCTATTAAGAGGAAGAAAGAAAGAAGCCGATCTCGGCGAAGCGAATCGACGGATCTCTCGGCACGGCGCTCCAAATTAGTAACAAATGACTAAGCGACCCGATCCCTCGTGTGTTTTCGTAGGAGCTCCTTTTTGACAATGTACGACCACGCGTGCGAGTCGCCTTATTCCAAACAAACAATGCGACAACGGCCTCGCCGAAGACAGAACCATTTTCTCGCCGCGAGAGATGCAAACGAATAAACGTCCGCGCGCGACAAACGTGATTCACTGCTGAAAATGCACCTTCGCTAAAATTCAGGTCAACGGTATATTTGTACGCCGACTTGTTGTCACAGCTGCGAGATGTACGTACGTGTCTTTATGCAGCTCGTCGGGCATTTGTGTTTTCTGCTTTGGTCGATTATCTACAGCTTGCTGAATCGTTACGAAAGCAGCTTATTTGCGTGGAATCGAAGGAGAATGAAAAAAAAGGCGAAAAAAAAAGTCGGAGTGCACGAACGTTTCGCGTTGGAAAACAGGTAGCGCAGCGCCAGACGAGCGGCGCGAGCAGCGTCGAGAGAGTCGTCGCCGCAGACATCACAGAGCACAGAGCGCGATTTCGGACGGGCGATCGCACTGTACGCCGCCGAGGGATACGCGCGAAGAGTAGCAGCGTGTCGAGAGTGTCGGAGCGATGGCTGCTGACTGCGAGACGAGCCGCGACAGCGGACTTTCTATGCAGCTTGGAAAGTGGCTGCGCCGCGCGCTGGATGGAACGAGCTCGAACTTACCGAAGGTAGCCAGGAGGATCCTGCAACTTTGCTTTTCGGCGAGTTGGCTCTGTCAACTCTGCAAGCTGCGAGAAGATGCGCGAGCGTGGAGTAACTGGAGGTTCAGATGAGCAACGACGGATGCACGGCGAGCATCTGCACAGCGCTGGTATAGAGAGAAAGTACACAAAGGTGCAGGTGTCGGCTCGGCTTTGCGAGAGAGTTGCGCACGAATAGAGAGACAGAGACAGAGAGAGACAGAGAGAGAGAGAGAGAGAGAGAGAGAGAGACAGAAAGAGAGAGAGAGAGAGAAAGAAAGAGAGAGAGAAGAGAAAGAGAGAGAGAGAACGACACACTGCGCGTGGCACGGTCGCGTTTAGTATACTGAATACTGCGCTGCTGCGTGTCTACCGCGAGTTTCGCGCAGTTACTGAGCTGCTCTCCCTTCCCCCAGCCCTCTCTGCCCGTCTCTCGCTCGCTCGTTTTGACTTGCCGGCGCGCGTTCGCTTGTGGGAGTGCTCACAACGACGAGGACAGAGAAAGGCAAGCCGCGAGCACACACATACGCGAGCGCGCGCGCGCGCGCACGAGAGAGAGAGAGAGCGAGAAAACGTGACGTCGGCGGCGAGAAGAGTGGCAGGGGAGGGTATGCCGCCGACGACCACGACGGCCAGTGAGGAAGGGGAACAGGAAGAAGAGAATGCTGGTACCACTGGTACCAGCCACGACCGAGACCGAACCACTACCAACGCGCGCCTCTCGCACACGTACGCGCGCGCGCGCTCTATCCGCTGCTGTTCACCTCTGTCCTGCCTCGCGCCTGCAATAGCGCCGACTCCCGCTCCTTCCTTCTCCTTGTTACTCCCCGTTTCCTCCGCTGCCGTTATTTATTCGACACCTATTCGCGCACCCTCCTTTCTCGCACGTACCGACCGTTTCGGCAATTATCTCGGCTCGTTTGCCCGATCCTTTCGTCGGACGCGGAGCCGATGAAAGTTGCATGACGCACCGAGAGTCAATCCAATCTCGCGGCTTTCCCACAGGAACACCCAGCGAACTATCATTCGAGGCGCATTACAAACGCTCTTGCGAAATCTATCAGTCAGTTCGCTAACAATGCCTATTATGCATGAGATAACCTTCAATTATTGGTTGATTAACATTTTGATCGGCCGGTGCATATTGAAGCGAGCGTGTCGCAATAAATATATTCAACAATTATTTCTATTCGTTCGTTGCGTAAAACTCGTCGAACATTACGATTTCGTTCTGTTGTCCAAACAAACTTTCGCGCGCTCGCGGGTTTGTCGCACTTTCATTACGTCAACCAGAAAGTAGCAAAAATTACGATTTGCAATTGTGCTTCAGCGGTGGCAGGCTCGATTATGTCGGATACTTTTATTTATTTCTTTTATCGTCTTTATCTACGTTCTTTCGCGTGGTAGAATCTGCAAGCGAGAGCACGCCATTTCTCCGCTGCAAGAAATTTCAAACGACGATAGTCGCGAGTGCTTCGCGGACTGAGTTTCTCTCGCTTTTTCGATTCTGTTTCATATACATTAAAATCGAATTGTTCGAACAGCCTGCCTCGCGTACATTGCAGCGTTATTAGCTGAAGCACTGCTCTCTCCTCGTGCACGCGCCCACTACACTTGGCGATAAGGGAAATCCAACTTTCAAGTGTGCCGCGCTTTGCGCGCTCAAAGTCGCGCGGTGTATTAGGACACGCTGATTTAAATATCTGCACACTTGGAATAACAGCAGCACGCGCGCGCTTCTGTGTGTGTGTGTGTGTGTGTGTGTGTGTATACACATGCACTTTCACTGCCGCGCACAGCCGATAAGCGCCAACGGCAGAGAGAACAAAGCAGCTTATTTTTGCCTCTTGTGCCTTGTTAACATTTTTTTGAATTTCTACAGCACGGATTTTCATTTTGAATGCATCACTCGGTTTTCTTTTTTTTTCTTCCACGCAAGCGAACCTGCAGCGAAACTCTGGTGGCGCGCGTGCCGATCCGAGCTCTAGAAAATCCAATTGGAGCGCGCAGATTACGCATGCAAAATTATAACGCGCACGAGTTTCGATGTCGTATGAATAATTCCGCTAATAAAGCCTCGTAATTGACCCAAAAACGAGACAAAAGAAAAGACGCGTTCTTTATCGCCGATGCTAACGCGCTTCTTCTAGCGGACTTTTCAAGCCTACGCGATCGGTGCAACGGAGTTAACGGAGCGCGATGAAGATTGGCGACGGCGCTCGATTGGAAAAAAACGAAAAAGCACTCAAGCGAGCTGCGTGATCGAATTAATAATGCGGCGGGTGTGTTGAGCCGCGCGATACAAGCGGCTTTCCGCACGCGACCTTGACTCAGTCCGAGGCCAGCCAGCAGCCACCGCGGGCATTCGGCAGTTCAGTTGCGTTCCAATGTACCGCGAGAATCGACGCCTCGTCATCGGAGCGCGTTGACACTTTCTCGCTGATTTTTTTTTACAAAACCCGATAAGCGTACGGAGAAAAAACCGAGCGTTATCGACACTTCTAGCTACAGCTCATTGCGTTGCCGGTCGATGGTTATTATTATGATTTTGGAGCCAATCGAGGGGCAGGGGGAGGGGAATATCCGAGCACAGGCGTCGAGTTTCTCTCGCGTTGGCGGCGAACTTTCCCATTCTGCCGGACTCTTTCTTTCCGCAGCCGCGCGCGCGATAGAGATTTGCTTCTTTTTCGCGGTGTCGAGCTATATAACGCAGCTCGCCGCGTGCACGGATAGCGAAAGTGACGTCAACGGCGGCTAAAGACGTGAGCTGTCCCGCACGTCAACTTCGCTCGGCACAGGATTCTCGCTAGCGTATATATACTGATTTTCTGTTTTTCTCTACAGACTTGGAAATTTCCAAAACGATACATCTGTTTCGTTTGCTTGTGGTTCTTTTTTTTGTCTCTTTATCGCTCTGGCGACTGTTGGGCACGTTTATTCTTTTTTTTTTAATTTAGAACGCTATAATGTTGAGTCAATCTTGATAACAAAATATAAACGCGTAATCATAAAAACGTTTGATCCTGCTCGTTAATTTATTCAAATATGCAATATATATTTAGTTTTTATTACGACTCACGAGTCGATTATACCGAGAGTTGTTTGTTTTTCTTTCGACGAATATATTATTTGGTTGGAAAAGAAATCAAACGAAAAATAAAATCTGATACAAAACATTTCATCAGCTTAATCGACGTTTAGGATGAGTTTAAATGCAATGCACAATGTAATGCGAAGAACAAACGCAAACCTTGGAAAGTCAGTGTACTCAGGTAGTGTAGATAAAAAAGAAAAAATGAGTATGGCAAAATAGGCATAAAGGTGTGCCGTTCGCGTTTTCTTCGTCCGCACAGTATATCATCACACTACTCACGTATTCTTGAATGCACGCGCGCGCACACACACACACACACACACACACACACACACACACACACACACACACACACACACACCATCCAGAATAGTGAAACACACCTAGGGTAACTATGTATAATAACAAAAAAATCAAACTATTCTACATATATTACAAGTTCACTCGACGTATTCTTTGATATTTGAAATACCTCACACATACCTAGATCACTTTAATAATACTTTCGTCTTTATAAAATAGAGATGCAAGACATGAGTTTTCTAAAAATGACCTTGTTACAGCATTCATATTGAGCTTTTTAATGATAAAAGCAAGTATTGAGCTATTTTCGAGAGAATTCGAGCAACACTATACATATAGACAAATTATACTGAAAAGCGTCACGTAAACTTGTTAAACTGGTTTGGTTTAATGTCAAGCAAGAAATCAAGTTCATTCACTTCAATGCAAATAGAATATTCTCCTGATTACTCATATAATATTCTCATCACAGGAAGTCATTTAATATTATAAATTTAACATGTTCTATTTACTAACTAAAGTAAAACTGATTAAAAAGTATTCTATTGAATGGAACTTGATGTAATTTTTAAACGTACAACGACTTTTTATATAACGTTAGATTATAAGTATGAGTCTAAGTGAAAGATATATGACAACTAAAGTATGCAATTTGAAAAAGAATATTTGCAATGATTTGCAAAAGTTATTTTAAAGCTTAACGATGTAAGTAAATGTTTGAAAACGCAATATTAGCGTTGGCTTCGTTTAGGTGAACGTAGCATGATGTTATATACTTTTACCCAATAAAGGAATGTACACAACTTATGACCCCTAATTAGTTTAGCATTTTTCATAGTTTTATCCGCGTGCTGTTTCCGTACATACCGACCACAGTCTTCATGCAGTCAAACGAGTTCTGGACGCATATGATTCAGCATTAACTTATGCGTGTACAGATATACATCGATTTCAAAAAACATATTTAACCGGTTTTTATCCTAAAAACTTGCTTTTTATCTCTTTTTCATTTTAAATTAATTAGTGAATCAAACATTGATACACAATGTTATGGAAAATTTGATGTATTGTGAAATATTTATCGACGGTAATTTTAGTTCCAAAGTAAAAGCCATTTCATAATATTCAGCCTTGAAGTTACCTTTTATTTATTTTAATTTTTTTTAATGAAACTTTAATGAAATTATTGAAAACAACATCGCGGATAAATAAAAATCCACTCTATCGTGTTATATTATTCTCGAAACTTGTAATCAATTCACTGCGTATTAGATTTCGTCTACTAGAAATGTATGAATTACAAAATTTACTATTCTAGTTACTATTTACGGAATTCCAGTGCAACGATTATTGAAAAGTTTCATATACATCCATTACAAAAGGATACATTTGGAATGGGGCATTCGAATGCAGGCCGTTTCTTTGATATTCGCATTCTATAATAACCGCAAGAATTTGAAAATTCTATATTGGTATCATCGACAGTCAAAGGAAAACTGTCTATGGGCAGATATTTAACCAAGGTATCTAATATACACAATGTATTATCTGATCCTTTATAAATATTTCCATCAGACACTGTAACATAACTTTTGAACTACCTGTTAACAAGGTAATAAGTCAATTTTTCGAGAAAAAAATTCACCGAGGATTTCAGGAAAGCTGCATTACTTTGAGATGGTTTGATCTATTTGGCATAATTATTTCCTTTTAAAAGGATTATATCTCTGCTATTTTTGGTAGTATTATGAATTATTCATAATTTCAAGATTATTATATTATTTTCATCACACAGGATTCATACATGTTTTTCAGTGAAAAATCGAGTATTAGTATGGCGATATCCTAGTTATCGGTGAATCGGTAAACAGCCGTATATTTCGTTGTCCTAATAAATACATTCGCTATGAAAAAGTAATGCCACAATTTACTTATCTGCGATTACTCGATAGAAAAAGCACAAAGCATAATCTAATACGATTAACAATGATCGCACTAACTTAAATCTTAGTAGACTAGTGCATCACATTGTAATCTGTTTTCACTGGCTTTAATAGCTTGCGATGATTGGAGGGGAGTTGTCGGGACTGAATTGAAGGCAGCATAAGTTGTGATCTCATACCACCTGGAACAAATCGTTCAGTTATTGCCTGAAAGTTAACGTGGTAAACACTTTTCTTGTAAATTACCGCCAAAGATCCTTCTATTTATTAACATTGGCAAGAACATTGAAACTGAGGTAAATTCATGGATTTAATTCTACGGAATAACGTTCGAAATAACCACTTTACGTTAAAAAATCCTCTTTCATTATTTTAGTGCTCTTCTAGTTGAAACTTGGCAGTATGGAGGAAGAACAGATCTTTTACTTCGATATTGAGATGATGGCACTCATTAAGTTGAATCGAGAAAATCAGCTTATAAAAGCGAGACTGACTCCAGAGCTGGCCGTAGTAGATGACGGTTGGGGAACGTTGCTGCATTATGCAGCTTATTGCGGTAACGATGATGTTATCAATTATTTAATCGAGCTAGGAGCTGAGGTTGACTGCTTGAATATAGATGGGCGAACCCCTCTCATGCTAGCTGTACACACTAAAAGCGGAGCAGCGGTTGATGCTTTGTTGAACGCTGAAGCTGACATCCATGTTATAAGTCCTGAAAAAGTGGACGTTATATGCATGGCTTTTCATCCAGCTTATGACCAAGATGACATTGCCGAACTGATTGGTCTCCAACTTTATCGTGAAACAAAAGAAACAGAACAATTCGTTGAGAAGATAATTAATGCTGGATGCTCGTTTTACACAGCTTCACTTTTTGGAAATATCGACGTGCTAGAATCTATGATGAACCGCGGTTATGACGTCAATTTTAGAGGTACCGAGGGCAAAACTGCACTGCATATTGCCGTCGAGAAAAAAAACTTGAAAATGGCGGAATGGCTGGTTGAACGAGGCGCAAATATCAACGCACAAGATAACTTTACGCGCAGCGTATTACTAAACGCCGTATGGTTCAAACACACGGCCATGGTCAAACTTTTTCTGGAGTTCGGTGCTGATCCGGACATCAAGCATACTATCGCGTGCACGCCATTAATTGAAGCGTGTAGACGGTATAGACTACGGAAACAACGGCCGAAATCCCGGCGCAAAGCTTGTGCCACGCAAGCCAGCTGATTCTAAAAATGATAACGGAGGTCCCATCGGTTTACGATTTTCCCACTGGATTTCGGTCAAACAGGATCCCAAAGAAATTCTTAGTAGCTCATTTGGCGCTACTCGACAGACGTGAATAGTCATGCGCGCGACAAGCCATACATTGTAATAATCGAGAACGACAAACGGTTTTTGCGGAAATAAGAAAGCATTATGAATGTTTTCATCAAGTACTCGATGTCATGTGCCGTTAATCCATCGCTATTGCACATGCTAACAATAAGTGAACGGACATTGAGAAGATTTGTGCGGCAAGAAGACGCATTCATTTTTATCATTGAAAACGTCTGCTTCAAGGCTTCAAGTACAAGCTGAGCGATCAATTCCCTTATTTTTTCAACGGTCTTTTTCAAGAAACTCTATTTGCCAATTGGTTTAGTGAAGCTAGAAGATGGAAGAATTTCGATCTTTTATGATACATTCTACGAAAATCATGACGAATACTAACTTGCCACGCAAAAAATAACCGAACACCTGAATAAGCGTGAGCTCGAACAATTGAATCGTGCCTGAGATTTGAATGTCGCTTAGCGATTTCGAATTAACTGAACTAAATATAGTAATATATTTGTTGCGGTAGCGCTCGACGATATCAACTAATGTCGAGCGTTATCGCATAAAAAATTCTTTTCATTGAAATCATGAGCTGAATAAAATGGATAAGTTTTTTATTGACTTTCTTTTATTGACGGTTTCTAAAAGATAATCCATATTCAGGAAAAAGTATGTTTACTTACAGTACAATTAATTAATTTTTTAGATTTCTATATCCAGCCGTAACTTCATACAAAATTTGATAAGATCGTTTTCCAATTATTACATCACTCTTGCAAGCATGTGTAAACACATATAAATAAAGTGAACCGCTCAAAATCGAGCTTGTCTTTTTAATTTTTTCATGAAGAAATAACTGCAAAATCTTTTGCGCCAAAAATGAATAACCACGATGTAAACATGGATATTCATAGGTTATTCTAAGATAATCTAAATTAAATGTATAACGTTATAGAAGAATGTGTTACAAGAAAATATATTTTTATGCCAATTAGTAAGTCATATCAATGCAAAATCAATCACAACGCATTAAACAAACGCACAATTTTACGCACGCTGTAACATCTATTTATTGTCACCCGTCCCAGGATATCAGAATAATGAGGCTCTTAAATTATTCTTGACAGAGGGCTTAGTGAAAGTGCACTGGAGAACTTTGCTGTATTATTCAACCAACTGTAACAATGTAGTTATGGATTTTGACTGTCCATATAAAATTGGTAAAATTCCTTCTTATTGTACGATATGAGCATGTTACAGTTTTTTCTGCTTTCCTATCTTGATATTTTTACCGCCGATGATAAAGGATCGAATAACTTATACATAATTTTTACTTGAATATTGTGATGATAAGGTTTTAATAAGGTGTGTGTTTGAATAAAAATACGAAACTAACATAACGGAAGTGTTGGTCATAAGACTAACTGTAGCTGGATGTTTCAGACAACTACACTTTTGCACAATGTCAATGCTGATTGTATGTCAAAGTGCAGGTTTGGTGCCGATTGTGTAAGTACTAATAGCAGAGCCGTACCACATTTTATTGTATAGAGGAACAATTTGGAATTGATAAAATGGCTAATTAACAGAAGCACGAAATTTGACGCATCGAATGGATTTGAACATAATGCACCAATGGAAACCATAAGTTATAAAAACGTGGACGTGGTGAAACTTGCTCTGGGTATCGATGCCAATCTAAACATCTAAGATATAACTAAAAGCACACCGCTATTTGAATTACGTAGACGTGCATCGCTTTATTCGAGTGTAAACCTCACACAAGACAAGCATCTACTTTCCCGCACTAGTTACGTCATTAATGTACTATTTCTTACATCTACCAATAGGTCTTCATACCTTTCTCCTTTTAACTTATCGTTCGAATGAGAAGTGATGTATTATCATCAATAGCTATTTCGACAATCCGTTTTAAGCCATTGCTGTCAAGAATTTAGAAAGAAATATTATATTATCGCTTGGAAAATAGATTTAAAAAAATGGGTCATCAAAGTTTACCAATTTATTACGGCCAGATATTTAAAGCATGTTTCAACGTGCTTTTTATGGTATAACATTAGCTTCATGCATTGTAAGGGTTTAACAAATACGATTTCAAAATGAGATTCATTTTAATACACTCAACACTCATTTTGTATTTTTAAATTTCAGTTAATTCGATCAGTAATCTTGTTAATTAAAATATGAGTAGTCCAGTACGCTATATATTATAATTCTTAAAAACTTTTATTTGTTTTTGATGGTCAGGCGGGGGGGGGGGGGGGGAGAAACTGCCGGGATTTGAAGTATGGCAACATGCTTTGTGATCTCATGTTATTCAAAGAAAGGCATTTAATTAATGTCTCAAACTTGACGAACTAAACACTTTTCTTGATAGTTGTGATCATTGATCCTAGTTGTGATACAAGAATAATACTATTCATTGACAGCGGTAACAATATTAAAACTGAAATAAATTCATGGATAACCGGAAGTCATAAAGTTGTTGCATTTGAAAAGACTTTTTAAAACTTGGAGTTGAAAGTTGTCCAAAACACATGACGGCAAGGAACGTTACTCGTACTGTGCAATTGTTACTGACAACGATGAAATTATTAACCGTTTGATACAACTGAGAACTAAAGTTAATAGCTTGAATGAAAATAGCAAAACTCATCTGACGTTAACTTCGTAAACAGACATCCGCATTATCGATAATCAAGGACAAACCGAAGTGCTAGAGTGTATATCAAATCGAGGCTGCAATATCAACGTTGAAGATAATTGCACTGCACGAAGCTTTTGAAAAAGAAAACTTCGAATTGGTGATTGATAGTAAAAAAATTCTTTGAACGCTGTTTATCGTAGTACATCGTTAGACCCAGAAACGTGGCAATGGTGAAGCTTTTTTTGAAAATAGGTGCCAATTCAAACATCGAAGATACTGTACGCCGTTATTCGAATAATTATTCGGTAAGCGGATGGATAAGTACATAGAATTTCTTTTTCAAGGAGGCGCTATTTCCAGATACACACAATTTTTTTCTATACTATTTTTAATTGGGCTCTGCTTCGACACAGCCAAAATAGAATCGAATTGTTGATAGTGCACTTGGCGATGTTCGGCAAATCAGTCACACGTTCTATTATGTATATAGCAAACATTAAAAACATCGTGAATACACATCTGCAATGAAAAAATATTACGAGTAATGTCAGCAAATTCTCGTCGTAAACACGTTCGGCACGCTAACGTTATTCGAATTGCTTATAATGAACACATAAAAAATGAAAACATGCGTTTGCAATAAAATCTTTATTCCTGAAAATGAGAACATGTATCCCACAAACAAACTAAGCGATGAATTCCCTTATTTTTCAGAATTCTCTTCAAGAATATCTCTTTTGCAATAGTAAAGATAGAAAACGGAGTAGCTTTAGTCATTTGCGATTTTTTAAATGGAAATTAGAATAGATGATATTTCATCGCGAGAAAAGTAGTTGTATACGTGAACAGCGAATCTTGGAGAGCCGATTCGAGCTCAAAACGTTTCTTTCAATGACTATCTACAAATTAAATAAATATAGCGAATCAAATGTTTGAACGTTGATGTATCACAGAAAACATAATCTGTAGCAATTGACTTAGCTGATGTATTGCGACTTGTCAATAAATTGTAATTAATTTTGACTATTTTTATACATTCGAATAAAAATAAAAGTATAAATGATGGAAGCATTGTTATTTAATTGTGTACTATAATATGTTTGAGGAGTTATACAAGAGAAAGGAAGCGTATGATTCGAGCAAGCTATTACGAAATTTCCAAACTAAAATTTGTTCGCATGAAGATACCAGATTCTTTGGTGGATTATAGCAGTTTACATTTTGAATATATTCATTATAGATGCAGTTGAAATTCTTATATATAAATCTTTAATAGATGACACATAATTGTATAAATTGAATATGATTTGCAATAAAAACTGCCTTAATTGTCAAAATCGTTACGATCATGAAAGTCGAAGAATAGGGAGAAATGTCAATCAATATCCATTTCATTTCAAGATTCAAAGTTCAATTAGTAATTTCTTTTAATTTCTTTTTGTAATGAAGTAATTCAAAAGTTTTTATTAACCAGTATTTCGACTGTAACGTTGTAGAAAGATGATAAACGCAAAATATTCTTTAGGAACATGAAAATTGTATCCGCAGCTGTCAAGTTTTTTTGTAGCAGTCTATGAAATTGGTAATATCAAAATATACGTGATATTAGAATAGAAATTTGAGATATACAGATGTATTATATACAATACAATCCATCGATAACGTTAACGTAACATTCAAATAATTTTCATAATCTTCATTTAAACATTGTTACAGGTGGAAAAAGAAGGTGACCAATTAATGTAAATATTTTATGATGCTCACCATAGCACGCAATAATACAAAATATGTAAGCATTATTGGAAGTAAAAGTCAGTATTGACATCGCCGATAATTATAGTAAGAGTGTCGCCCTGCAAATATAACTCTACGAGAAATCGAAAAAAATCTTCTTCGGTCAGTGGCTGATAGAAGCACGAAAATATGAACATTCGTATGCAACAAACCAATTGTCTTTATAACTTGAACACTTACCGGTAAAATGCAATTCAAGTCGAAATTTTCAGCATTAACATCAGCATGCAATAAACAGTGTTACATAAAACTCGAATATTCTTGCGATGTTATTAATGAAAATTACAATGAGTGCTATATATTTGTGAGCGGATGGTAGTTGACTTTTTAAACAAGATTGATTTCGAATTATAATTAGACTGAGCGCGATATTCCAGGGGCCTTATTTGCTAATTGTTTATGCTGGCTTTTAACGCTTGTAATGCTGAAATATCGCTCAATTTGTGGCTATAATTACGATTGCACCATCGATAATCACCAATTTTTAGGTACACCTTATTTAGGTGTACTTGAGTAATGCAATTCTCAATAAAACTTTACTGAAAAATTATAAATAAGAAATAAATTTCCTCGTTAGTATATTGAACATCATAATAAGCGAATGATTGTCGACAATTTTCAGCATATTTACTTAACGTGAGTAATTTTTGTTTTTCTCAAGTGTAATAATTATTATTGAAATGTTCGTTACTGTCGGTACAGATATAGTAAATCAATCAATCAACCAATTATGTAGTTCTTTACTAATAAGATTAATAAAGAAATTAGTAAGAACGGAAGTGTCAATTCAAGAATCGCAGATGCATAAACAGCCGTCAAGCATTTGTTTATAATAGAATATAATAATCTTCTGATGGCTTGATATTTCCCATTAATTCATCTCATTATATGTTTTTTTATATGAAAGAAATTGGTTATGCCGTATTTTATTTACCGCGTTCGTATCGATAATACGGTTGATTGGCGAAAAGTAACCAATAACCATGAATAGTATGTAAAAATTAATGCTGTAATAAAAATATTAATCGTATTATCTAAATGAATCTAACAAAGAGTGTGTCACATCTGCATAACCCCGATTTGTGTGTCACTTTAAAATCTTTAACCATCCGTGAAAACTATTAGTATCTTCGACCACTCATCATAACGTTTGATCTTTCTGGAGTTACAGGTTATTTTAGTATTATTGAAGCATTGTAGAGCTATACTAATAACATCAAACGGTATCGACACTTTGGTGTATGGCGAAGATACTTGCTCTGCCGATCAGCGAAGTTAAGCAGCGTTGAACACGGTTATTACTTGGATGGGTGACCGTTTCAACGATATTGCTTCGTCGATCGGTTAGCAGTGTTTTCACATATAACAAAATGACCGAGAGGTGTGAGGTGTATAGTATTCGAGGTTTATATTGCAATATAAACATCGAATACTAAACATTTCCAATACTGTCTAGTTGCTTTTTTTAGTTATTCATATGTATCTTGAAAAGGGTACGCGTAATTATAGTTTAGGAGGATGTTTTCAACACGGTATAGTATAAAACCGAAGCAGCAAGCAAGAAAATGCATAAAAATAAATTTTTGTTCTTACATATTTTGAACTACTAAACACGAATGCCATAGTATTATTATGTTCAATTCAATCACTGACAGTTTCCATAAGTCTAAATGCTGTACCATGAATCTCGTCTGCCATGCTTGATGTGTACATTTTGTAATTTTTCAATATTGAATCTAGTCACTACTGTGTAGGATCAGTAATTTTTATTATTTAAATGAATCCATCGAAACCTTTTTATATATTTTAACTCATTGAACATGAATTTCCAGAATGGTTTGAGATCTAATAGTTGGATAATTTGTTATAAATAAGCTGAATATTTTAAAAGCTATGACTTTTTAACTATACACAACAGGAAAATTCTAACAGGTAATTCTTGTTCTTTGATGACATAACTTATTGTTAGCAACGGTATTTTATCTTTTTGAAAATTTTTTGTTTTTTTGAAATAGTTGATTTCAATTTTCATTTGGTAATATTATAACTCTATAATAATTAGATTACAGAAGCTATTACCATTAGAAGAGAAATATTTATTTTAACAGATTTAACAAAAGTAGCTTATAACTGTAGAAATATCGAGCATTGGGATGGATGCATGCGGGTTCACACTTATTTCTACATATGAAAAGAGATCCCAAAATTATGCTGCGTCTACAAACTTCTCTTCTCCCCTATTTAAAAAAAATGATGAGGCGTCGACGTCCAGCGTTGTAATTGGTTAATGCTAAAAAAGAGCGCGAAATTTTGAATTTTCATATATTTTGAAATATTAGTGTTATATATCTACGAGTATGAAATTTATATTTTGGCAATAAATTCAGACCGAAGAAAAACAAATAAATTCAAATCGAAAATTGTATAACCATCAGTGATATTTAAAATAATATTATTGTCTTATATTTGGTTGATAGAAAGAAAACTAATAGAATAAAATGGAAGAAAATTTATTGTTATCATTTGTACATACTAAATTAAAAATTACAGTTATCATTTTTAATAATATTTCAGTTGTCCGAGGTCTTAGCCCATTCACCGCGAGAAAAAGATTAATTGACTAATCATATTACTCGAATTTCGAATTAAGCAACTGAATTGAAGCAAATATGATAAGCGAAGTGCGAGTAGTCTAATGCGATTAGCTATAGCATAATCCAGTAAGTGCTCGAAATCGACTGCGCTGACTGGAGAGGATGGGCTAATAGACAGAGTTGATCTAGCCAGTGCAGCGCCTGATCCTGAGCCATCGGAAGTGTGTTGTTCGATTTTCCATCAATTTAGAATGTAGTAAATGTATTTTTTACAATTGACTTATTTTCACTATTGACTTGGAAAAGCAAAGACATCAAAAGTAAGTTTAAATCAAAGTATTCATTTGATCGACTGATGCTCAAAATATCATTTAGCCATCATTATTTCAGTTATCGTGGACGTTCAATATTCAAATATTGAATTTGAATACTGAGAATCACATACAATACTGGTATTGTGTTCGAAAAGCTGCCTTAAAATCTTGCAACATGAACGAACTACTAAATAACGTCCCCGATGATCAGTTCACTCACATAGCGTATCTTATAGAATTCTATCCTAAGGAAGCAAAAACATTATTGACAGAGGAGTTGGCCAAAGCACACGATAGCTGGGGAACGCTACTGCACTATGCAGCTGATAATGACAGGGCTGACATTGTGAAGCGTTTAATAAAGCTGGGAGCTGAGGTTGACTGCTTAAGCGAGAACGGGCGAACTCCCCTCATGTATGCCATAGAACAACAGAGCACTGCATCTGTTTACGTTCTATTGAAAGCTAATGCCAGTATCCACGCCGTTGATTACTATGGGTGCAGCCCTGTGCACATGGTGTGCGATCCAGACTACTGGTACGACGAAATCGCTGAGCCAATTCTTCTTCAATTGCACCGAGAGATTAACGATATAGACAAGCTGGTTGAACGCTTGATGGATCTCGGGTGCAATTTCTACACTGCCACACTTCTGGCCAATGTCAAGGTGCTAGAGTGCATGTTGGACCGTGGCTACGACGTTAATTCGAGAGGTACTAACGATGGAACTGCGCTGCACGTTGCCGCTAAAAAGGGCAACTTGGAGTTGGCCCAATGGCTGATTAGTAAAGGGGCGAATATTATGGCTCTCGATGAGAATGGAAACGGCTTACTATTCCACGCAGCTCAGAGCAAAAACACGGTGATGATAAAATTATTTGTAAATCTAGGTGTAGAGATAAATACGGTAGATAACAGAAATGGAAGCACTCCGTTCTATGAGTTGATCAAGTATTCGTGGAAAAATGAGGCAGACGAGTGCTTAGAGTTTCTGCTTCAACGCGGCGCTATACTCAAAAATAGAAATGATCCCGAAGACGGCACACTCTTCAGCTGGGCAATATTCAAACGGGACTACAATAAAGTCAAATTGATGATATCTCATTTGGCGCTACTGCATGAGATCGGTAAATCGATTACGGAATCCGTAATGTTTTGCAGTGACGACGAGCAAAGACACATTTTTGTCGACGTCGGAAAATATTATGAACTATGCCAGCGAATGCTCAAATGCCACATCGTCAGTAACTTTTCGTTATTACAATTGCTGACGATGGACGAACACGAATTGAAAGGACTAGTGCGCAATGAAACCTTCATTCCTACGATAAACGACTTCTGTTTTAAGTTCAACATGAAGATGAAATTCCCTTACTATGTAAACACCCTATTTAATAATCTCACTGCGGTCAAGGATAAAGTGAAGCTAGAAAACCAAGCGGTTCAAGTAATCTGTAATATTTTCAATAGTGATCACAACAAGTGTTACCTTGTCGCGAGAAAAATAATGGAACTCCTGGACGCGTCTGATATCGAACAATTGAGTTGCTTCACACTTAATTAATCGCAGCGAGCAATATTTGGACTTTGCTAATGTAAATAACTTATTAAGGGATTCTATATCATTGTGACGTAATACAAATTTTAAGATAAGTGACAGTAAGAGTACTGTTTTGTTTTCAGTTTTTGGAAGATCCGACATGAAGAGGTATTTTATTGTACAAGAATAAAAATAAATCATTATCCAAATGATTTTTTTAATCTACCTAAGAAAGTAAATTTATTTAGTGATTCATCAACTCCAAAATTATGTTATATTGTCAAAAAACTCCGAGTATTAGAATAACATTATTCAAGTACTTTTAAAAAAAATTTAGTGATGATTGAAATCACTACTGAAGATTTACTTGATTAATTAGTATTTATTATATTATATTATTGATTGCTTGTGAATTAGTGCAATAACTCATAAGAATGTAATTTAAAAATTATAGAGTCAACATTTGGGCCAGATAAGGAATATTTATTAAAAAAATAGCTGATTAGCTATCTAATATATTTTGATCGACTGAAAACGAATCTGCTGTTAAAATTATTATACAGATTATCTTCAGTTTTGCTTCGTCGCAAAAGAAGAATGTTTTAGTGAAATAAATTCTTTTGATTTATTTTTATTAAATAAAGTGTGGATAAAAAGATTCGTATAAATCAAATGAATCAGTTTGACATTATTTAAAAATATATCATAAAATAGTTTTTAATAACATAGTTTTGAAATATTGCTTTTTATTTTTATTTTCTTACACGTTTTTTGTAATATACTCTCACAGAATTTACTTTACTCTTCTTTAATTTGAAAAAGAATCATTTTTCTTTGATAATTTTGATGCAAACTACGAGTTAACGGCAAATTTTTACATCTCGGAAAATTTGCAATAATATTTTTCAAAATTTTAACTAACGTTGTCTTATATAATTAATGAAATGTTCAACAAACTTCAAGCCAAAGAATTTTTATCTCAAAATAAGCCTTTTGAATTTATACGATAATTTTAGTAATTTTGATTCAATTGATCTGAAATTTGCTACATTTTACAAACTATAAATTAAGTTAATTGTCAAAATCGTTCAGTTTATATGTACCCGAATACCGTAAGTAATATAAGTATACCTAATGTTGGATGTTTAAATAAGAAGATATATAATTTTTCACTGAATAAAATAAAAATTTTATTTTTTAGATTTTTCGTTGCACAAAATTTCATTTGAAAACTTTCAGTAATAGCATTGATATAAGTTAGACACGATCCATTTGCCGAATAAATGGAATAAATAAAAAACGGCCTATAAAATCTTACAATAATACGATAAAATAATCTTAATGCACTACCATTACATTTATATATAAATTTATTGAATATCGTTATTATAAAGTTTAGCTTTGGATAAATATTATAAAAAATGAAGAGAATAATAAATAAATTATTTTATAAATAAAATCCTGTGAGCTAACTGCGGCACATATGATGTAATAATTTATTCAAAATAATTTTTGAAACTAAACTTATATAAATAGAAATATCACCTCAAAATTGTCATAGTTGAATAGGTAAAAGATGATAGTAATGTTGCTGAACGTAAAAATTATGAAATAAAGTTTGCAAAAATGCTATTCCAAAGAAGTTGAAACCCGGAATTGAATACCTTGTGGATAGGTACACGAGACGAGAAACCCTTTCTCGCACATCATGTGCCGTACCGTATTTTTTGATACGACGTGTGGAAAGTGCGATTTTCAACGCACGTTTTCTGCCGAGCATGCGGGAAAGACGCACTTTGCGCACGGAGTATCGAAAAAAAATGTATTACATTTATTTAGATACAACAGAAGGAGAAGCAACTTTGGTACACTGCGTGTCATCTATAATTTAGCTAACACGTTATTACGTTTGAAATAATAGCCAAATCTGTAAATATCAATGAAATTGGATTTTTCTTTGCTAATTAACATCGACGAATGTTAAAAATGTCGAACCATAGAACTATTTTCTATATGTATTTTATAATAGTTTCGATTTGATTCAAAGATGAAATCAAACGTTAATACAAACGAGAGGTGAGTGCGCGGGGCTCGCTTTACGACTCTAGTGAATCATAATACGTTTATGTAGGGCAAAACATAAAGTTTTATTATAAATTCTTCTTATGTATTTATTATATTTTTTTGAAAGTGTAATAAATACTGTTTATTATTCTATTGTGACAGTGAAAAATTATTAAAAATTTCAATAGCACAGCAACATCTTTCTGTTACTTAAGTAATAACTTCAATAAAAATTATAAATGTTAATAAAGAGTAATTATTATTTGAACAAAGCTGTGCAAATGTAACTTAATGATTTGAAGTGTTACAAAAGTTACGCCTATGCGAGTCGAATATTTGAAATAAAAAAATAAGGTAAAATTTATGAAGCTGCCAGCGAATATCAAACGAAAAAATTGTGTATGTTAGTATACAAGACTAGATGAGCGTGTAAAGTGCCTAGTCAGCGTGCTATCATCAATAAGTTGCCAATAAGACTAAACTGAACTCTGGAGAGAAGTTTCCTTCTACTTGTTATAACATTTATATGTTTTCACGTGTAATGAAACGAAACGAATACAAAAAAACAACAAAGTTTCTACTAATTATATAAAAATTAAGTCATGTACGTCTAATCGATAATTTTAAATAAAAATTGTAAACCGTTACAAATTGTTACTCGAAATTGAAGAAATAAAGATAGGAAATAAAAATGGTACAAACTCCTTTAAATGATACAACATAAGTATCATTTAAAGGAGAAGAAATAATTGTTGAAAAAGCCAACGTACTAGTAAATGTGTATTTCTCCTTAAAAAGTATTATCAAGTAAATACTATTCAAATATCTTTATTGCATTATCTTTTTCATCATCATATTTAAAACTACGAAATTTGTATAAATTATTTAAAAATGCAGTTTTTTCAGTCATAGCTCACGGTAATTTTTAGGCACAGCTTTTTTGCCAGCAGTATGACGTATGAAATATGTAACGATTTTCATTTATCTCGATGAAAAAACCCTTGTACTTTTAATATTATCTAATTATCTAAAGGCTCTCTTACATGGGAGCGGAAAAACGTTCGAGCGCCAGCGGACAGTCTGAGCGGACGCCCCGAAAAGAGAAAGTTGGTCCGCTGGCGGACGAAGGGTACTCCACTGGCAGCTCCAATGTTTTGACGCATATAAATACTATTCTTTTGCATATATAAATACACATAAGACATATGTGTGTATATATATGTACACGTACATATACACGTGCGCGCACGCGTACACACACACACACACACACACACACACACACATACACACACACACACATACACACACACACACACACACACACACACACACACACACACACACACACACATATATATATATATATATATATATATATATATATATATAATGGTTGGAGGAAAAAATACGGGGAGAAGCGGCAAGCTACTGCGGATAAAAGGAGCCCGATTTCTCTTCGTGCTCACGCCGACGGGCCAATACACTTTGCTTAAAGTAGTCGGATTTTTGCGATTCAAAAACTCGTATGATGCTTTTTTCATAGACTATAGTGGTCGTATATAGATCAGAAATTAAAACTCGATTAAAAAATAAGTTTTCGTTATAAGACTCAATTGACCGAATACCCTAAAGTCTTTAACGACAAAAGTAAGAATGGCCGCAAATGGGCCTGAAGTCTCTTCGTGCTGGTGCCGTCAGAAGACAACGCCACGCCAATACACGTTGCCTAATTAGTTATATTATATGAAAACGAAAGCTTTCATCGACGAATCTGCTGCAATTAACCTTGGTCATTGTTTTATTTATTCATCCATATAGATTCTTCAGTCCAATTGTCGAACAAATTGAGGGCAAGTCCCGAAAGTTGAAAAGAATTTAAGAAAGTGACAAGTACATCGTCATTATTAAGTTGTCAACAGTGAAGAGTAGGGGAATGTTTATTAATTCAACGTAGTCGACTCAAGGTGGAAGGAATAAAATGTAGCTGATTGGCCACTGAGAAAATGAGCAGGCAACAGTGAAGAGTAGGGATATGACTTTAAATTCGACGTAGTTGACTCGATGTGTATAGTATCCGAAAAATCGCTGGTGCAGTATAATCTCTTGGCTACTAAAATCAGCTGTACTCTAAATTTCATGACAATTGTTGGTCGTGTAATCGTTGCAATCGTTGCTGCAGTGTAGTTTCTTTGTCACTACAACCATTCCTACTTTGTGTATCCTCTTCCTGTAGAAACGATACCTAATCCATTTCCATCGATAGAGAAAATTTTGAGTAGAGCCGTTAATGATAAAAAAATTACCAAAGAACAGTTAGCATCAACAAAATTGACATTGAACGAAATGCTCATTAATCTTGTTTGTGAGCGACCAGATTTATGGAACACGACGGTTCCTATCATACAGAAGCCATGAACAAAAGTAAAGTAGCGAGCTAATTACGGACATAAAAAGGTCCGCGAAACAATGGAAGAACATGGTGAATTACAAGCAAAAATTAAAAAGAAAAATGGCATGAACAAGCGGATCATCTGCAAATTTCAAGAAACCTTGGCTATTGACGCGTAATCTGTCGTTTCTCGATAAAGTTGATTTGAACAATCGAGAAATGATGACAAATTTGGAGTTTGATAATCTTGGCGACTTCGAAGACTCAAGCGAAGAAATGAACTGCTCCGATGTGACACCGGAGTTACCACAATTTAGAACGAGTAGACCTACAAAAATATGACGAAAAATAATGACATTTTTTATGCGGCTAAAGAACAAGCGGCCACGATAAAAGAGTCTGTGTCCAATATACCTATGCCAGATTTAACGAATATTATTCCTTCATCACAACCCAAAGTCAGCGAAAGAAGCTAATTAAAGCGAAAAATCTATATGGATGATTTAAGTCATCCATTTAAGATTTATTTTGCAAATAACCTAAAGATAACCCGTCGGCGTCAGCACGAAGAGAAATCAGACCCCTTTTTTCTGCAGTTGCTTGCTGCTTCCTACCTTATTTTTTCCTCCAACCATTATGTGAGTGTGTGTGTGTATGTATGTACACACATATCTTACATATGTATTTATATGTACAAAAAAACAGTGCACAGTCGTTTAGACGCCAAAACATTGGAGCTGCCAGCGGAGAACCCTTCGTCCGCAAACGCCAGCCGACAATTTTCCGTCCATCAGCGGACAAACTTTCTCTTTTTTGGGACGTCAGCTGCTGCTGCTTATATATTTTGAAAGAGAGCCTTTCAAGATAAATAAACCATTATTGATTTTGAAAATCACCGATTCTTTATTGATAATCTCTCTGTATCGTTTAAACGAGTTGATTATTTTATATATGTTACTTTTTATTATGTAAATAGTTGAAAAGAGAAAGAATACGGTAAAATATCACCGACTATTCAAGTTGCAAATGTATTCACCGGAGTGATAGAACATTTTCTAGTCGATACTGGTCATAAGTGCAATTTCATTAAAATTTCAATCTCGTCACCTTCTCATGACATTGATGAATCTAAAACTATATACATTTGAAAGGTATTGGTAAGAGAAGACAAGAATCTTTAGGTACCACCTCGTTAGTTGTTTATGAAGTAGAATCCATATTTCATGTTGTCAAAGATGATTTTGAAACGCCAAATAATGGTATAAGTTGATGTTCGAATACAGGCAAATTAATTGAAGCTCAAATATATAACAATGACAACACAAAAAATGAAAAAGAAACAGTAACAGTTATTATTATTTTCGGCTAGCGGGGAACTCGTTACTTTTTTCATAGTGTATCTTTATACAAGGCTACCTCCAGAACTAGCGAAGAACGTTTCTAAAGCTTCTACGGTACGCAGATCTAACAGCAACTGAATGAAATGTGATAATGAATAAGTAGCCAATAAAGTTAATAAGTCCACAAAAAAATATTAAAATATCAGTTTTATATTTTGCAGCTGAACATAAATTTCAGGTAACGCTGTAACTTAAAGAAATTAGTGATAAAAATAAAATTGTATTCCCTAATTGCAAAACTACGAGGGTGGTCCGATAAGTACTTAGCCTACAAAAGAAAAACGAAAATTTTGGAAAAGTGGCGTTTTATTTTTCAACATAGACTCCTTTTAGTTCGATACACTTGGCCCAGCGATGCTCCAACTTCTTTAACCCGTCTGAAAAATAGGCTTCCGTGGCATCGATTACCTTCTCATTCGACTCAAATTTTTGCCCGGCGAGTGACTTTTTCAAGTTTGGAAACAAAAAGAAGTCGCACGGGGCTAAATCTGGAGAATACGGTGGATGGGGCCGCAGTTCGTAGCCTAATTCGACCAATTTGGCCATGGCGACGGCGGAGGTGTGAACCGGTGCGTTGTCATGGTGGAAGAGCACTTTTTTCTTCGCCAAATGGGGCCGTGTTTTCTGCAATTCGACGTTGAATCAGCCCAATAATTCGGCATAGTACAGCCCTGTGACCGTTTTGCCCCTCTCCAGGTAGTCGACGTAGATCACAACTTGTGAATCCCAGAAAACGGTGGCCATCACCTTTCCGGCCGATGGGGCAGTCTTCGCCTTCTTCGGAGCACTTTCGCCGAGTAAAGTCCACTGTTTCGACTGTTCCTTGGTCTCTGGTGTATACCAGTGGATCCATGTTTCGGCGACTGTCACGAAACGACGCAGAAACTCCTTCGGATTGCGCTTAAACAGCGTCAGACATTGCTCTGAAGTTATCTCACGGTTGCGCTTGTTGTCCGGAATGAGCAAACGCGGCACCCATCGCGCCGACAGCTTTCTCATGCCCAAAATTTTATGCAGGACATGACCCACGCGGTCTTTTGAGATGCCTACGATCTTAGCTATCTCGTGCACCTTCAATCGTTGATCTGCCAATACGAGATCGTGAATTTTTGTCACGTTATCCTCCGTGGTAGCCGTTTTCGGAGCACCTGGACGTGGCTCTTCAAAAATCGACGTGCGACCACGTTGAAACTCGTTAAACCAATTTTTGACGGTCGCCATCGAAGGAGAAGTCACCGTACACAGCATCCAAGCGCTTTTTGATTTCGCTGCGCGATTTCCCTTCCAAAAACAAAAATCGAATCACCGACCGATACTGCTCTTTTTCCATTTTTCACACGCTCTCAAAAATAAACTACAACTCCGATCCGCCTGAAATCTTGACAGTAACCATCGAGAAGGTTGTACTACGCGATAGAATATTTCTTTGGCGAGAGTGGTGCCATCGGGCGGTGAGGCTAAGTACTTATCGGACCACCCTCGTATAATGGAATGGAAAAGCAAGCATGAAAATTTAAATAGTATAGTTTCGTTGCTGTTTACTAGATTTGATTACTTTGTTGCTATTATAAATGTATTTCTTATGGAATGTGTCAATTTGCTGTGGATGCAGTTGACATAAAGGGCGTACAAAACGTACGTAAATATTTAAAATATCCTTATAAATCAAACTTTGTAATTAATACTTTAAAACAGTTGAAAAGTTATAGAAATGAGGTTTTATTTCAAGACAATAGACAGATTAGTATGTGTGATGTATATAATTTTGTTCTTTTAAAATTACATATTTACACATTCCTGAATTATTCAATTTTAGAAAATTCAAAAAAGTTGAAATTCATTTTAGGTAATAATATATAAGGTAAGGCATACATAAAAAAGTTGAATCAAATTGATGTAAATGATATTGTATAAGTATACTGTAACTACAATGTAAGTACACTTATTAAATTATTGAATGAAATTATTTAACTTTATTCGAAATACATCTTACATTGCCATATTTCCACGACTTGAATAAACTAAAATAAAATTATTTACATTTAATATATATTGACAGCTGTCATAATGACAACTTAAATGAAGAAAATTCATAATTTATTTTCCGCTAACTTGTTCATTTTTAGAAGAATCCATTGTGTTACGACGTACTCACTCCGACATGGTATTGGTTTGTTTACGTAAACAAACTATACGAGTAAATACAGTTTCGTGCTGTCAGCCAATACGTCCAGTTGTCCAACTGTCTATTCCTGTCATAGCGCCTACTACCCATATATTACAATGGTTTATCTTGTTAAACTGAGATATACAAATCAATTTTTCGATATAAAGATATTGCAGTTTGCAAACGTACAAATCGTACTGATTTGTCAGTGATTCAAGAATCTGACATTTTTACCTACTACAACGTAAGTAGAAGCAACGAAGATAGAGCGTCTATCTTCGTTGATAAAACTCACTTATAACGCAGTTTTACATTTTATTTTTTCAAATTCACACGATATCAATGTTCCAGTAATGCTGATAACTGTTTACAAATCATTAAATAATAATAATAATAATAATAATTTGTAAACAATTAACAGCATACGCTGTACGAAAAAGTCCATTTAGATAAATGATTAAATGGTATCAATGAAATTATTAGGATCGTTATGCATATTCAGGTATAAAACAGATTTTTATTCGGGCTTTATTTTCGAAATAAATATTGCGATTGAACAATAATGTTGGGTTAACGAATATAGCAAAAAAAGAAATCACTTGGACCATAACAAATAGGAACTATAAGAATTTTGTTGAAGCGTCGATAAAAATGATTGTGTGTGGGTCGTTTCAGAATTGCCGATCAGCTTTGTTATTAAAAAAAGATAACCAATCAGTAGGCATGAATTGTTCAGACGGGTTACTTCCCTTGAAAAAGCGAAAAATAATGAAGATCAAATCAATACCCGACGATTGGGGAGCGACGTACATGACAGCGCTCAAGTGCACTTATTTGTGGGAAATTCACAATATCAACGTTTCTTCCAAAAAGAACGGCGAATCGCTGGAGTCACCACTGTTCCATTTCAGAGACAATGAGAACTATAAGTGGCGCATGAAACTGTATCCTAAAGGTGTGGGCGGGCAGAAGGACGATGAAGTCGTGGTCATTCTTAATTTGAAAAGTTTACCCAAGGACAGTCCCACGGAGATCGAAGCGGAATACGAATTTTCCATAATCAACGAATCAGGCGAAGAGAAGTACTGCTCCAAATTTGTCGGTTGGTTCACCACGAAACTCGGCAACGGACGGTCATTGATATCCCGTCGAGCGCTCCTCGAGAATGCCGCCGAGCTTATTCCAAACAACACGTTCACGCTGCTTTGCAAGGTGAATGCCGGCACCGGTGGCTCTCTCTGCATTTCGCGAGTGCCGATAAGCAGTAATACCGTCGCCTTACCGTCCAAGTGGCATACAGAAACTCTGCAGTTAGTTTACAACAGCAATAAGCACAGAGACGTTATCTTCATTGTCGATGGCCACAAGTTCTCAGGCCACAAGGCGATATTGGCAGCGAGGAGCTCCGTCTTTGCCAGTATCTTGGATAGAATAACCAGTTTTGGAAGTCCTTCGTAAGTCACGCATTTCGTATCCATTTCTACGCCATTGCTTATACTATTCAGTTTCGCAGTCATGATATTTTATTCGAGTTCCTAACTTTATTTTATCCATTACAATTATGATGCGATAATTACAATCTTGCTCGACTCGAATCATTACAGGCATCACTTGAATGACAACAGTTTCTCTTATAAATCTACGTTTGATTTTATTCGCCACTGACTGTAACTTCATTCAAGGGGTTAGCTTGCATGTTTAATCATATAACAAACAACAACTCTATCTCAAAATTGATTCAAAAATTGAACAAATGAAATCGTATCGATCAAATCGCTGATTGTTGCGAAAATAACTATTCAACAATGTGTTGTCATGACCATTTTAATTGAATTTTTTGTAGTATCGTGGAAGTAACAGATATTAAAAAAGATACTTTTGACGAGATCTTGCACTTCATTTACACTGCCACTATCAACGAGGCAAATGTAACGAACGATCTGCTGGCAGCTGCAGAACGATTTGATTTGGTAGAACTGAAGAACAGATGTGAAATCCTGCTAAGTGATTCACTGAAGATTGACAATGTTATCGCCAGCCTCGTGACGGCCGATCGATACAAAGCTACCTATTTGAAGAACAAATCAATCGGATATATCATGTCAAAGATTAAAGACGTGATAGAAACTCCCGCGTACAAGGAACTTGCTAGTTCAAATCCTGAGCTTATTATAGAAGCATTTCAACAGGGTGCATTGCAAAGAAAGTTTTAGCTTTCTTTCGAACCGTTATTTTACTTAAAAGCTTGCTCTGCATATACATACGCATAGCACGTCAAAATATCGGAAATTTACCTCCTTATTTTCGTATCGAGTAATATAATAACGCGGGTAAAAGTATATGATTCGACAATTTCGTATTGCACAATTGCATTAATCCGATTTCAGATCGTTTAATCACACTGGTTATCTTCAATAAATTGTATAAATTAGAGATTTTATTTAAAAATAATTGGAAAAATAAGAGGAATTTTAATTACAATTTATGCGCGCTATTTTTTAATATTAAATCTCTTTTATACAATCCTTCGTACGACTCACTTAATTGATCGAATGACGCGTCTGTCGGTAAAAATAACGCAAGTGAAACAAATTGTTGTTTAATTCAAACCCTCAAGAAGAGGCTTTGTTTTTGCTTTTACTTATAGTTGATGTTTTTTGAGTTGAACATTTTTCGCTTCAGTTTTTTTATTTTTATCGTTGTATGCTTCAATCTTGTGTTTTTTGCAAGATCTAAAAGCTTGTATTTAATTATTTTTCATTATAAATCACGGAGAAGATGTAGACATTTTTTTATTATGCCTGTCCGTGGTGATATGACTGTATGTGAGTGCGTGTGTTTTGTCTGACTTTTCTACTCGCTGAATATCATTAATTTTCGTTCGCATCTTTGGAAATGTTAAGCGTTAGTTATCGAAAAATTGTTTTCAAGCAGATTTATGAATTAAACAAATTTTATAGCTAATTTTCAAAAATTGTTAAAATAAGGTACATGCATTGTTAAAATGAGGTACATAAAACAAGGTCATATACAACCACTATGCGCGTGATGTCATATAATATTTTATATTAAAAATGAATTTTTAAGCGTGTGACAGCTTGCATTAAACGAGCTCGAAATATCGTAGTAATCTCCTTTTTTGGAGTATGGAAATAAAGTAGATCCTCTACATAAATAATACAATTTGGAAAAAGGTGTTATTTTTTATTTCCTACTATATAGTTTCTTCTGTTTGTTACTGCATGCTTCAATATTTATTTTTCTGCTAGAACTGAACCGACTGCAAATAATTTGAGCAATTATTTTATATTCTGCCGTTTAAAAGTTATCAGAAAAAGATGGTTACGTTTAGTTGCTGTTATTTGATGGGATATATAAGAGTTAATTTTTTTCCTTTTAAACTTAATATTTTTGTTATTCGATGGATTTCTATGAATTTTTTTTTAATTATTTTTTGTTTCATTGTCTTTATTGATGTGATATGTGATGGTTCTATTTGAATTTGAGGTACTATATATAACTTTTGAATAATTATTTTGTGTATTTTTTGTTAAAAGTTACGAGGAAACAACAAAAATATGTCAATTGATGTCTTTCAGTGAATGGAATAGTATGAGTGTGCGTTGCCAGATTTTTAAGATTAGTACAAATTAACTGTAGAAAAAATTTTAAAAACCTTATAAACACAATGTTTGCCGCACTTTTTTTTCTTTAACGGCATCGTTGAAAACCTTCATTTCGAAGTTACGAGTATAGTGCAGATTTCATACTGCAGAAAGCCAACACTATAGATTTACAAACAAAAGATTCTACGCGTAAAGGAACAAATGTATCACAACTTTGTAAATAGTTTTTGGAACTCCTTAGCATACTCAATGAATAAAACAATATCACCGGTCATTCCAAGTGGCTAGTAACGTAGACATTCATTTCTTTAAAAACCTAAGGCAGTATATTATTTACAAAATTGAATTCTTTGCTAGCCTTCTATAATTACAAAATTTAGTTTTAATATATTTAATCTTAAAGTTTATTAAAAAAGGACTTTAAATTTAAGTCTAAATTAGATACTTATAGTCAAAAGCCCAACTAATTGAGCGTGAATAACGAATTTTGGAAACTAGCGAACCATCCAAACCGTCCTAATAATAAAATCAATGATATACAAGTTAGTAGATTAACAACGAAGATACGAAAGTAAGTTAAATATGTCATTCCAATTTTGTTTGCTTGATAGTTGTTACTTTTATTAAATTAACAACAATGTTTTTTCTTTTATTGTTGTAATTTGTTTGTTAAATTTTTATCTAATCAGTACTATTAATTTCTAAGTTCAAATTCAATCTATGATTAGCGGACGCGAACTCAAAGGTTAATAAGAACAAAAATGCCCCCCCCCCCCCAGTCTACATCGAACCACCGAAAAGGACAGACGTGTTTGTTGTAATCAGCGACACGCTAAAAATACGTGTTATCGTCATTTCAGAGCTGGTATGTATAGTGATAGTGCTAGTTTTGAGTGTTCTACATTGAGCGGACTGTACCTAGGTGCAGCTACCAATTATGACTGCAAGCTCCTCCGAGACGGCTTCCGGCACCGGGGCTCGTCTGCCGGCGGGTGCCATCAACACCCTCACCAACTTTATCCAGCTTATCCAAAAACTGAGTTATTCAACTGCTACACAAAGGGACAAATTCCCTAGCAGAGAACAAGCAATCGTTATCGAATCAACAGACGGTGTACAACTAAAAGAATATGTGCATGTCGTAGGCTCAATCGTATCACTTATAAACGTAAAGTTTGCTTCAAGAATTTCTGATAACAGAGTATGTATCTTCCTCGCAAGCAAGGAGCTAACAAAGAAACTAAATAAATATCAATACGTTACTATCCGAGGACAAAATCACGATCTCCGCCTACAACTAACACGTCACAAACGTATCATTCTTTCAAACGTTTGTCCATCGATCCCTCACTCCATCCTCAAAAGTACTATAGACAAACAAAACATCAAAAGGAGCTCTGAAATATCGTACCTGAAAGCAGGCATCGGCGAAGGCTACGCTCATGTTATGAGCTTCCGTCGCCAAACGTACACTGCCCGTCAATCACTTTTGCCATGCTTACCTCAAAATTAGGCAAATTTGAAAGTTTTGTATCTCGGTCGGAAATCATCGTATCATAAAAAACCGCAGGGCATTTTAAAGGTAATTGCAAAAGCTTCCATTTAAGACGTGCAGAGACTTAAAAATGAAAATATGTGTTTTTTACAGTAAAAAAACTGATTAAAAAAATTTCAATTTTTTTAACCTCGACTTAAATCAATGCCAATTTAGAACCAGGCGGTGGAGGGCAAATCGACCTGAGGGGTTCAGAGGGTAATGTTTTTCCCTTTAAAATTAGCACCCGCGGGGTTCTATCCGATGTTTTTTAACCGAGTTACGGCGTATTTTGTAAAAAAATAACCTTTTTTTTCAATCCTCAATTACTTCGACTTGCGTACGTTTTGGAAAAAAATGCCAAGGAGAAAAAAGTTTCATTTTGTGTCCAAGAATACGAAAATAAAGTCAAAATAAAGAAATAGAGAAAAAATTTTTTTTCGGTTTTTTAGCGCATTAAAAAAATAAAGGAATTTAACTTTTTTTTTACGCTTAGTTTTAAAATGTCTAGGGGCGTAGTAAATTACAAAATGAGTAGTATAAATTTATTTATATAATAATTAATATTTTCTGTTAAATATAATTTAAAAAAATAATAAAAATAAAAAAAAATTTATTTATACTACTCATTTTGTGATTTACTACGTCCCTAGACATTTTAAAACTAAGCGTAAAAAAAAAGTTAAATTCCTTTATTTTCATTTTTAAGTCTCTGCACGTCTTAAATGGAAGCTTTTGCAATTACCTTTAAAATGCCCTGCGGTTTTTTGTGATACGATGATTTCCGACCAAGATACAAAACTTTCAAGTTTGCCTAATTTTGAGGTACATAAGCATGGCAAAAGTGATTGACGGGCAGTGTATATACACCCCGACGATCTATCTAAACTCCCACCATCCATACAAATCACTTACGATAACAAGTTTTGGATATATCTTTCTTCTGTCCAACTACTATGCTTTATCCGCAAGAGAGAAGAACATATCGCTAGTAACTGCAGTGCGAACAGCACCTAAATAATTGAGCAATCTGACCCGAACTCAACAATGGCACAACCCAACCCCGAATGTAACTGACAAACAACACCAATGTTTTAAAGAGTCCGAGAGCATCCTCCTCCTCTTCCTCCTCTGCTTCTATGCCGATTACAAACCCTACCACCTTGAAAAACTCCAAGTTCAGCGCAGAAAAGCACAGTGCCCGAGTCAAAGCGAAAATAAGCAAAAAACAGAAATCTGAAGTTAGCGTAAAAACGCTCGATGAAATGATCGAACCCTTACAAACTACACTCAACGAACCGGGTAAATTGCTCGACTTTTTACAATTCAAAAGCCTACTTGAAAATGTACATAACTCGCCCGATGCGCTATCCATCACCAAAAATTACCGCGAAAAGACAGACGAACTAATAACATTTATTGATGAACTATATCCGAGACAGAAAAATTTTTTTTTTTTCAAATATACTACATTATTTGTTAATGTTCTCAGAATATGTGTATATTCATTTTAAGATCTTGATATTCTTCAGAAAAAATAATACATAACGCTACTAAGGAGTACAGTAGGCTAAGTACTCGACGCATGATGTGATTTTCACATGCACGGTGCGTGTTTCCCTACTTGCACTCCCATGTTGCGTATTAGTACATTACCTAACTAGTGCGGGAAAGTAGATTCTTGTCTCGTGTGAGGTTTACGTCCAAGGGAAGCGAGTAACTAAGCAACTGGTTGGTTTATTGTTACACACGAACGGAGCTGTCTTCTTGAAATCTCTACGATCACAGTCAAATCTCGCGCGTTACTGATTTGAGGTTCGCGGAAGAGGCGTATCGCCAGTCTTCGCGTACGCGAAATCCGTATTTCTCTTAGTAGGATTGTTTGCATCGAGTTTTTGCACATGGCAGAAAGATGTAAAAACTGTATTTCTTTTATTACCATTAGCGCAAGTTCCAGACATAAGTGACTCTTGTTCTCTGTCAGCCTCTATCTCTTCTCTCTCTTTGACAAAAAATTTTACATTCTTTGATTACTTTACCGAATATTTAATGAATATCCTAAAACTATAACTCCTAAGTACGTTTTACATTACGACGTTCAAACCCTCTAGTCTTAACACCCACTAATCCCAATTCCCTTTTGACACCATACTTACATTAGCGGCTTGTTATAGCATCTGACGTAATCTCACTACCTAATATATTGCATTGGTATACGTATAACCTGTAAATCTAATACATGTATCTATTTTACTTTTATGAATCCAAAAATTGTGCTAGAAATTTAATAAAAATAGAATATATAGAAGCATACATATCATATTTTTGTAAATTTATGTAATATATACGTGTGTACGAAAATTCATATATTGGTGTACGTGAAAATTTTCGCGTTTGCGAAAGAAATCTTTGTGTATGAATTGGTCGATCGCCATATAGATAAACTGATATGCATATGTAATTACTTTATAAAATTGTTAAGTTTTTTATTGGAAATCAAATCCCACCCTACTATTACATTACAGTTTTTTAAATTTATTATAAGTTGTTTTGTTTTGATTTAATATAAGTTTCAAATCCGACCGATAGAGGCGCTGATAACAGTAAAGAACAAAAAACGCAAATCTTGCAATGTAACTATAGACTGTAAATGTGGCTGACACTGGACAGTGGACAGTAACACCGTGATTGGCTTAATTGATGTGCATTGTGCATTTGTTAAGGATGAACGTCTATTCTACTCGTTAGTCATTAATACTTCGTCAATAATATTGATATTGTTAATTTTCATACTAATTCAATAGCTCACAATATGCATATGTAGCTCAAACTTATTAAGTCATAAATGAGTAGTTATAATTAATTTCTTTAAAATTTGTTATAACTTATTTTTATCAACATGTCATCCAAATCTGACATCACGTTAGAACAATTTTATATTTTTAATAGCAATTATGCAAAGAAAGAAGGAGAGGTGAATATTTTTTATTTACATGAACTATTGGAATTAATTTGTTTAATGGTAATACATAATGTTTGATTAGGAAAAAAACAAAATTCTATATTATTATCCTGCAAAAACTGATATTGACAGTCAAATTAGAAATATTGGACTTAGTGAAGCAATAATTAAATTTACAGAGTAAGTACAGTACCCAATAGAACTATTTGCTATGATAATTTTATTACTATAATTTTTTTTTATTGCAATGATAGATCATTTAACCCTGGGAAATCCTGTGATTATTGCCACACTCATAAAACTCGTCAAATTTACTATCAGCCTGAAACTGATTTTTGGATGGTTATGGTAAAATTTCAATCTAGTTTCTATGCTTTGAATTTTTATCAGAATTTGAAAATTAATGCTATTATTTAAACTGGTTGGAATATAGATTGTTGGTTTACCATCAATAACAAAAGATAAAGATGGTAGTGAAAAAACAGAATATCAAAATGATGAGGTATCAAGTGCTGTTTGTCAAGCAATATTGAAACAAACATACACCATTTTTCGCCTTTTTATGGGATCATTTAATACAATTTTGAATGAACCTGACTGTGGTTCGGTCACATTATTAAAACATAAACTGGATCACTTCTATTCAAGAGTAAATTTTTGTAAATTTATACAGTCCATGAATTTGTTATGTAAATTCTTATATAATACATGTTTTTGCAGTATTTATTATCTTTGAAACTCAACAATAGTGATATTTTAGATATTTTTCAAGGTTTACAATTTCTACCGTTAGACAAAGTTACATTTTTACGTGTTCAATGTTTCATGAATTTAGTTGAGTCAACTTTTCCACAAGTGAAGTATTCAGCATTTTTATATAACGACCAACTTGTTTGGTAATTAAATTTTCATATAATCATTTCAAATCTTATTTAGTATTTTGTCTATAAAATTAAAGTAATTTCCGATTAGGAGTGGCTTAGAACCTGAAGACATGCAAGTAGTTTATCATTATCTAGTAAACACTCTTTTACCAGCTCATTTAGAAAAAGAGCTAGATGGAGGATCCATTCCTCGCAATTCTGCATCACCATTTAGTACATTACACTATGGAAAGTAAGGTTGATTTATAAGAAATTGATATAATTTTTAATAAAAGAAGAAATAAAATCATTTAATACAAATTAATCTTTCAAACACAGATTCGTTACTGGACCTTCAAGTATTAACGATGTCAAAAAGTTGCCTAAAGTGTTCATCAATTATTCAACAAAAGCTACACCTTTGTACTTGATAGTTTATAGGGCACTGAGTGCAACAGTTTGCTTATTTGTTGATAGTAAGTTTTCTTTTTAATATATTTTGAATAATCTTGTTTTAAAATTTATATACATGTATGATAACTTTTTTAGACACAAATAGTCCCATGTTTTACAGTAGTTTAGATTCATTTTTGGGAGTGCAATTAACGTCATTAGTAAGTGCTGTTGCAGAACAATGTTCTAAGCATTCATTGTCTTCATCAGAATCAAGCCCTAAATATTTGTATTTCAACAAATTGAATTTAGCATATAAAAGCACAATTCATTCTGACAGTAGACGTTTTTCCAGTGCCTTAACAACTCCAGAAGTTTTAAGAATCATAACCGACATTAATAGTGATTCAATAAGGTTTGTTAGAGATTGATGTGATTCAATTGAATGTATTGTAATAAAGTGTAATATTTTTAGACTAAAAGAAGCTGGAGAAATAGTTATCAAAACAATGAGCGATTATTGGATTGTTGGCAAGCTATCAAATTTAAGAGAATTTTTTGTTGTTATCCAGCAAAAAAATGCTAGTATAATTGAAATTGATGGTAAGTAAATATGCTTATAAATTGTAATTTTATGATCCATGTAATAAATAACTTTTAATACTATAATTTTGCAGAAGAGGTGAAAAGATTATGTGATCAAGAACTGAAAGGCATTTTTTTTTATTGAAGTTAGTTATTATAATAGTTATCAAAATTATTATTATTTGATAAACTGATTTAGGTTTGATGTTGCCAAAAATGAGTTTTAGTAATAAAAAAAGTTATATTTTTAATAAAATCATTCCATGTTAGATTTAAAAGTTTGCTAGTGAACATTTATTTTCTATCGATAACTTGAACATTGATGATTGATTGAGGCACACATAACATTGCTTACAATTTCTGATCTATCATTGAAAATGTATTCAATCTATACATGTAAACTGAATGATACATAATTGAAAAATTGTACATATTATTGTAAAATAATGATTAAAAACACGTTTTATAAATATATTTCTATTTTATACAAAACTTCAGAAAATAGATTAATTAGTATAAGTTTCTAATCTGATTTTTCTTAATCTTCTTCAACATTTTTTATTTGTTTCGGAATAATATTTGAAAATTTCTTGAATTTCGCAACATAGAATCCATCCATATTATGCATATGAGGATAAAAGCGTTTAGTTAACTTTAATGAAGGATGGAATCGGTGTTGCCTATAGTTCGTAAATCCATCAGCTCCAAATTCCAAATTAGTTGGATACAGCATTACGTTTCGTTTCTTTAATGCATAATCAACGATCATTTCATTTTCTTCAGGGAGTATAGAACAAGTCGAATATACAATGATTCCACCGGGTTCCGTTCCCGATCGTGCTTTCACCGAATCTATAGCAGCTAAAAGTAATTCGCGTTGTAACGTGAAACACCTTTGTAAATCTGCTTCATCTTTATTCGTTTTCACACTTGGATCTTTAGCAACTACACCTGTACCTGTGCAAGGTGCATCTAACAGCACTCTATCAAATCCCTTTATCACCTGAATTTAAAAACATTAAGAATTTAAGAAAAAAAATTCTTATATAAGTATATAGGTTTCAGATTTATAAAATTGAAAAAATTCTTACCGACGGTATTTTTCTCCCGTCATAACTACAAATAACTGAATTTGTAATACCCAATCTATGAAAATTACCTATAACTGCTTTAATTCTGTCCTTGTTTACATCATTTGCAAATAAGACACCGGTATTTCTCATTAAAGCCGCAATATGTGAAGATTTGCCCCCGGGTGCTGCACACATATCTAATATCCTTTCATTTGGTTTTGGTTCCAAAGCTATAACTGGAAGGAAGCTAGATGCTCCTTGTAAAATGTACTGACCAGCTAAGTACTCTGGGGTTGCACCCATTGGTACTTGAGATGAATATACAACTAAACCAACATTTGTCCATTTTCCAATGGGATCTAAGTTGACACCTCTGTTTATCAGTGCTTGTGCCAAATCTCGCCGACGTGTTTTTAATGTATTTGTACGAATGGTCATAGGTCTTTGAACTTCACTAGCTTCCAAAAATTCAAGCAGTTCGCTCAATGGAAAGATTTGCATAAGTTTATCCATTAAAAATTCATTGTAACTAAAGTATGTACACAAGTCTGATTTGAGTAATTCTATATACTCAGTCCTAGATCTTTCAGGTTGCCTCAGTTTCTTAAAATCAGATAATACCATTACAACATCTTGAATTCGTTGCTGTATATCTTTAAGATTTGTTGGATTTTCAAGCTCTTCCTTAGTAGGGAAATTAAATATTTGCTGTTGCATTATACTTTCATTCATTTCTGCTTCAGCTAGTTTTCTGTTGAAGAAATAATTTTAATCATTTTAAATCTGTAATTTACAAATGAAACAAAAATACATTAAAAAAATAAAAATCTACCTCTCTTTTTCTTGTTTCTTCTTCAACCTTTTATTAGCTTTCTCAATCGGTAATAGACCATTATCACCATCATCATCATCATCATCATCGTCATCGTCGTCATCATCATCATCATCGTCATCATCATCATTCTCATAATCATCTTCATCATCATTGTCCTCATCTTTCATTTCACTGTCATTGTGATCATCGCTATCCTCATTTTCCATATCAGATGGATTTTCATCTGAATCTTGATCTAGTTCTTCACTATCACTTGAACTTTTATTGACTGATCTGCTTAAGTAGTCATCAGTTTCTTCTATTTCATCCTCTGATAAGTATTTATCCTGTAAGAAATAGTTAAATTAAAAAACCTATTAAATTATATCCATTTAAATTATATCCATTCAATACATATGTAGAAATATATTTACAGCTTCATTATCTCTATCCTTATCCTCGTTGTCACTATCATCACTTACATACATGAATTTTTCTACTATAGAGTGAATTTTCTTTTGCTTAACAATTCTCATTACAGAATCATTTTTTGGATTTTGTAGATTATCTTTTTTATTTACTATTTTGGTTTTACTCTTATTATTTTGGATTGCATTATTTTTTTTTAGTTTTGATTTTTTACCATCTACTTGTTTAGGAGTAATCACTTGTGATTTACTTTTATTTTTTAGGTTTTTCTTTCCATTTATGGCTTTATTCAAGATATCTATTCCATTCGTTACTTTTCTCTGAAAAGATATAACATACAACTTCAATCATAATGATCCTATCTTAATTGTTAGATATAACTATTACTCACATTTACTGATGTATTTTTTAATTTATCTTTCTGATCAATTTGCATTTTCTTATTTTGTCCTGGTATACTTTTTTCTGTAACCAATTTTGATTTCTTTTTTTTGTTGAATTCATCAGTTAGTTTATTAGCTTTGCTTTCCTTAAATAATTGTAGTTTTGGTAACTGTTGATCTGCTGTTTTTAATTTTTTAGTTTTAGGTTGTAGAATATTATCCTCATCTTGTACTTGCCTCTTTTTACTTAATTTAGGGCTTTCATTTTGCTTATTATTATTGATGGTTTGTTGCTTAACTTTTTTCCTTTCTTCTTTTTGTTTTTGTTTCAACAATCTTTTTTTTGCTCTTTGTGCTTGTCTATGACTTGGTTTTCCTTTTTCTTTTTCTGTAATATAGCTTTCAATATGTTAAATGAAGACAATCATATATTTATATGTACATATGTAAAACCAAAACTAATTTACCTATCAATCCTTCAGCAAAAACTGGTTCTTGATGATTTTTACTTTTACGTCTAGTACCTTTATTAATTTGTTCATCAAATTTAGCTTTTCGACCCATATTGTATGACACTATAATATATAAAAAAAAAATGTTTTTAATATTAATGAGTATGACTATAACTACAAATATAAATAAACTATGTAGTCAATTAGCAGTAAAATTGAAAATACTAATACTAACCTAAAATTGTTTCCTTATAACTAATGTGAGGTTATGTAAAATATATTTTTCTGCTTTCGATTTTTGAAGAAATTATTTACTTTTATTGAAATCTATGTTATTAAAATAAAGATGACTATTTGTTGTTAAAAAAAACTACAATAAAAATCATATCTTTTTTATTTCTCAAGCTCCGGAACTTGCAACCATGTGCTCTCGTATTTATGAGACCAACATTTTCAACAAACCAAACAGTCTAAAGGAAAGGGGAGGGCCGGGAGGGAATAAATGAAAGGAAAGGCTAGTTTTCATGGTAACACGAATTTTCAGATTCAAGTAAATTTATTTACGTTACATTAATTCATACCAATATTAATCGAGTAAAAGATATTTATGTAATATTTCTATCTCATATTTTCAAATATGAGTGTTTAGAAAATGGTGTATTTCTTATACAAAAAAGTAGGAGATATTTTTCAAATAACATACTATTTCATGAAAATGAATCATGCCTTAAAACATACATGAATACGTATTCTATATATGTGTAGCATAGTGTTAGGTAGATTCGTGAGTGTAGTGGTAATTGACCGTTTGTTTATTAGAAAAAAAATTTAGATTTGTCAAATTTGTGGGTAAAGAACAAAGAATAAAAAATTAATAACATATAGATTTAAATCGAAATAATAAAAATTTTTAATTGTTTAATGCAGAATATTTTTATAAGCAGCAAATGACAAAGAAGACTCAAAATGTATAAGCAAAACAAGTAAGATTCACAGAAATAAATTGATTTGTTGGTACTGGAAGAATTTAGTAGTTTATCTATTATTTCTCACAATTAAAAATGACCAGCCGAGATAATTCAGTGGCAAAAAATACAGATGATCATAGTGTTGAGGTAATTAATATTCTGAATACAAAAATAACTTTCTTAATATTAAATTATATTTATCATAAAATTCTTTTCATATTATTATACTATCTAATAAATTGTAATAAAAGACTTCTTTCAAAATTAATTTTTTCATAAAGCCAGTAAACTAATTTATTGAAGCATTATTTTCAGACATTGGCAGAAGTCTTTCGATGTTTTATTTGTATGGAAAAATTAAGAGATGCTCATTTATGTCCTCACTGTAGTAAATTATGTTGTTATACATGCATAAGACGATGGTTAACTGAACAAAGATCTCAGTGTCCTCACTGTCGAGCTGCACTGCATTTACATGAATTAGTAAATTGTCGATGGGTAGAAGAAGTAACTCAGCAATTAGATACTTTGCAGTCTGTGAGTATTTCTAGTGCTAAATTTGAAGACCTAACTAAAGATAGGTAAGTCAATTTTCATTAAAAGTAATAATTTGTTTAAGAATATATATACATGTATATGTGTGTGTCTGTCTATGTGTGTATATAAATTGTGAATAAAATTTGTATTAGATGCTTAACTCATCATGAAAAACTATCTGTCTACTGTTGGACTTGTCGACAATGTATATGCCATCAATGTGCTTTGTGGGGTGGAACTCATTCTGGACATACTTTTAAGCCTTTAGAAGAAGTTTATGAAACTCATGTCAACCAAATCAAATCTGAAATAGGACAATTGAAGCGTAGACTTGTAGAACTGATAACAATTGTGCAAGAAGTCGTGAGTCATAATTTATTCATATAATGATACTGAATCTAACTAATTATAAAGTGATTAATATAAAATAAATACATACAGGAAAGAAATGTAGAATCAGTCAGGTCAGCAAAAGATGAAAGAGTCAGAGAAATAAGGAATGCTGTAGAATTGATGATTGCTCGTTTAGATGCTCAATTGAAATCTAAATTGTTGACATTAATGGGTCAGAAAAATTTATTAACATTAGAAACAGAACAGTTAGAAGCACTGTTACAAGATATTGAACAACAATTACATTCATCTTCTCAGTCTGAACTTATCACTCGTAGTGCAGAGTTGTCACATATTATATACCAAGTTCGTAAAAAACCAATGACTAGTTTTGTAACACCTCCAGTACCTGCTGACTTTCCAAGGTATCAAGTTAGGGAATACTATATTTTAATAAATTATTTTATAAATTAGTTCTATTAATTATTTTATTTCATTCATAGCGAAATTGTACCTGGCTATGACAGCGCTACTTTTGCAATGCAACACTTTTCCCAATTACAACTTAAGGCGGATCCTGTTTATTCTGCACCCTTACATATTAATGGATTATGCTGGCGCTTGAAAGTTTATCCAGATGGTAACGGAGTAGTAAGAGGAAACTACCTATCAGTATTCTTAGAGCTAAGCGCAGGTTTACCAGAAACTTCCAAGTATGTTGAAAATATTATTTTTGTGTGAAGTAGATAATAAACTCAAACTAGTATTTTATTCATGGTTTAATTAAGTATAGCATTACATCAATTCATACATTTTCAGGTATGAATACAGAGTAGAAATGATACATCAAGGATCAAGAGATTCTAATAAAAATATTGTAAGAGAATTTGCATCTGATTTTGAAATTGGTGAATGTTGGGGATACAATCGATTTTTTAGATTAGATTTGCTAGCTACAGAAGGGTATTTAAATACAGACTTAGATACTTTAATTTTAAGGTAAAACATTTCACGTAAAATAATGAATAAATTTACACCAATTTCTACTATCCTTTTACTAATGATGATATTTTAGGTTTCAAGTACGACCTCCTACTTTTTATCAACGTTGTCGAGACCAACAGTGGTATATCAATCAATTACTAACCGTTCAAAATCAATACGTTACTCAAATTAATGAACTCAAAGAAGTATGACTATTTTTTGATTACTTGAAAATATTTTTACAATGGAGCACTTTTGATAGTAAAACAAATGTATTTTATTTTCAGAGACTGGCTTTGGAAATTTCACGTAATGCTGCAGCAACAAGCAGCTGTAGTAATCCTACGTTAGAAAATTCAATGTCATCATCTACACAACAAATTCACCAAGATTTACAAGAAGAGAAAGATCAAGCCATTGAAGAATCACGCTCTACCAATGCTCCGCACTCAACTGAGACTTTTTCTGTTACATCTAGTCCTTCTAGGTAAGTAGTCTTTTTGTTATAAACTGTGTTGACTTTGAACATCGAATTTTCTACAGTATTACTACATTTTCAGAACTTTACAAAATGTAACTCCCTCAAGAAGTAACAGCTTTTGGAAAAACATGCCATTGTGTGATATTAATGAACTTACAAATATTTGTTCAAAGTCAGCACCCTCTTCGCCCCTTCGTTCCATGTCAGTGAAAATGAATAAAACTAAACAATTGGCCAATAGTGATGCAAGTGGTAGCCAACAGCTGATAGATCATAAAACTTCTCAACAATCAATTGAGGACAAAAACTGTGGCGAACATTATTCAACACCAATTTCTAATTTAGCACCTGTTTTGAACTGTCAACAGTTTGACGCACCGTCAAGCAGCAGTAGCAGCGAGAGTGGGGTAATATATATATTTTAATTAAATTATTAGAAACAAATTATATTAAATGAAATTAATTAATCATTAATTTTTAGGACATAAGTGAGCATGAAATGTTTCTTGGGGAATGTGAACATATTGAAACTAATTCAGCTTTATTAGATGACAATTTTAACGATGAAAATGATGTGGATAATGAAACAATGTCAGGTAAGGTTTAATTTATTCATATATAAATCATTTTATATGATAACAAATAAAACGTCAATCTTATACATTGTAAAAAATGAAAAATACATTCATTAATCTAATTTCGGCTCAATATAATGGGAAAATAAAAAAAGTCTATTCATTTAACAATAAACGTATGCAAATAAATATAGATATATTTTATAGGTGAGAATGACATTGAAGTTGCCGAGTCTTTAGTGCCATGGTTTCAGAATAAGAATAAGATACATTGTCGGGAGAATGATAATTTAACTACGGACAGTAGTAATAGGTGATATAAAATTAGGAGTTAACTCATGTTTTATTGATTAAATTACATGCTTTAATATACATCGTTTTTCAGTAGAGTACGGGTTAACGACGGACTGGACGACGAAATTATGTTGCTTCATTTATTTGAAAGGCATAATAGGAATTCAGCTTGGGCATCATTAAATTTCAAGCAAGGATCTGAAGAAATGAACGACTCAATAAATCCTTTTTCTAGTTTACAAAGTTACAATACAACTTCACATAGTCCAGAGCAAGTGGGTTCATACATTTCTTTAGATTTTGTACAAGGACATTTGAATTTTCATTTGAATGCCAATGAGAAAAGACGTCTTAGCGTACGTCAATCTCCTGTCTTACCTTTTTCTAATAGCCGCGTCAACTCAGATAATCAACGTAGATATCAAGATTTTGGTGATATATTATCAATGAATAATCAAACAACTCGCTCGGAACCGACGACTAGATCTAATTCTATTAACTATGATCAAGATCAAATCGTTTGCTCAAAACTCGCTGAAATAAATTTAATGGATAAAGAAGGTACACCACGATGGTTAAACTTAACAGTACCGAGTTGTATGTTTCATTAGTTAGTTATTCATTTGAATCATAATACAAGTATTTTAATTTTTGTTGTCTTCACTTAGTATCGTTAGGTAATGCAAAAGTTGGTCAGATATCACCCAGGCGCCAGTCTTCACCAGTTGCAACTAATACGAACTGTTCCAATCTTGAAAGTGATAAAATTTATGAGTTTGAACAACTGATTCGACGTATAGATTTATCATCTAGCAATAACACAAATGCTAGCGTTGAACATTTGAGGTGAATTTCGATTGCCCATCAAATCAAATATTTAATAATTAAGTTAATAATCGGTTAAAAAATTTGTTATTTCAAATTTCAGAAAAAATATTTCACCTAAAGAAGAACCTGTTGCCTCGCCACAAGTCGCAAAGCGAACATTGCCACCAAATGAAAATTTTGATTCCAATCATCATGAAGAAGCGGCTGCCGCAAGTAACTTTAAGTTACCAGAATATCTGACAAATTCTAGTAACTATAGTTGGGTCCCTCCTTCATATCAGCATAAACATGGTAAAGTTAGAGCTTGTCAATTATTTAAAAATTAACTTTTTGTTATATAATTTGTTTTGAATATATTTACTGTAATATTCTTATTTTTTACATTCAAGGTCAAATGACATGTATGGATTTTCTTTTACAAAGTCCTAAAAATCAAAATACAAGAAATATTTCTTCCCCGAAGTAAGCTTTACTATTCTAATTTAGAAACTTTTTCCAGCGTGAATGCTTCGTAAGAATCACTATTGTTTACAGATCGACTGAGGAAAAGAGGTATTCAAATTCTCAATAATCTCAATCAAAATGATGCGCGATAACTGCGTTAATTCCAGTTACTGTGTTCATTATTACTATTCATTATTAATATTTGCGTTTTTTATATATGAGTGATGAAAATTGATGAAAAATTCTTCTTATTGTATTCGTAAATTTAAAAAAGTTATGAATACAACGAACATTTTAATGAAACTGATAGTTTTTAAAATATCAAATAGCAAATTATTCATTAAAACATTTCAATGAAGTTGGTCAGTTTTCTTAAATGTACATATCATTTCATAATTTTCTGTAACTTTATCATAAATGTGATCATTACATTTTCAAATTACTAGAAAATTACATGCTACATAAAAAGTAAGTGGAAATAATGAAAATAGAATAAACGAAAAGTAGTATGAAAAGCAGTTTCCTTTGACCTTGCCGAGCTTGAATATGTATAGATGCTAGGGTGACTAAATAATAATAATGTTTCGATGATAAATTTATATAAGTTGTAAGGTCACGTCAGATCTGAATAATATTTTTCTTTAGATTTTCCATCGTCGACTGAAATTGGCCATGCGCGCGCGCCATCCGTTGAGAGAAGCCAATCGAAGTCATTCTATGTCACTCTATAAGCATGACCTCGTTTTGGTGCCTCATCGACCTCTTTCCGTGGCGATGGCAACGGCAAAATAGCAAGTTTATGACCCACTGTATATTCTATTGGGATACTTTTTCGAAACGTTCATCAGTTTCAACATTTTTTTGGTTTTTAATATTTTTACATTAACTCTCACTTTCACTTGTTGTCAATATTGTAACAACGTAGTTGTGGTAATAAGTGATTGTAGAATACAATGTTTTACATCACCGAACGTCATAAATTTGAACATTTTTAAAAGACCAAGCTGAAATGTTAAAATAACATTTATTTGTTAAACAAAGCTTTTCTTGCCTTTGTCTTCTTTTTGATAGTTAAGTCCATTTGTAACTCGTGTGCGTGCCACGATCGTTTATATCATTGAGAAAATAGCCGCTAAACTTTTTGTTTATTACGAGTATAAAAGAAAACGTTTTAAGTGGATAGCAACAATTTTTCTTTACTGTAGTTAATTAAATAGAATCTTCAAGTATATCCTGAAACGTGTACTATATTTACATCTACTGACAAGAACGAGCTGTTGTAATTATCATCGGCCATTTTGCATTGATTCGCAAAGAGTCGTCCATCAATATTTAAATATTTGAGAGTGCTAATCAGTTACTACTTCTTTTTGCATTCTACATCATCTCGTACGTCTCGTTTAGAAAAACTCTAACGATTCTGCAACTCTTATCAAATAATTATATGACGTTATCAGTAATAATATCGATTGTAAACTTTTCATTTCAAATAATAAAAACCATTTAGGTCACGATAAAAATACTGACAAATAAGTTCAATTAAAAGCTTCTCGTCCTAAGTGATTCGACGACAACAAGCTCTACTGTTCTCAAATATTCATCTATGCTCATAAATTAGAATAGATTTTTAATCCACAAATTTATTTATTATATGATTCAATAAACCGATAACTAGTTTCATATACTCGTGATCATAGATAACATGGCGTACACAACAAGCACAAACGAAATTGTCTACAAAATCGAAGTTTTTTTTGCAATTACGCATTTATTATAAAATCAGTCCTGTTTAGATTTTCTCTGTATTTATTTTATTTATAGAATCAATTGTAATTTTTATAAGCGGACCTTCAAAGCCAATTTGTCTTGGTGAAATAAAGTAGTTTAGAAATCAATTTAATGATCTTGAGTGCAGTTGTTTTATTTATGACAATAATAATCTGATAGTTTGATATTAGACCAAGAAAAAAAATTAAAAAACACGATAAAAAATTGTATTACCATCTTTGCTCTGGTGCCACCAAACGTTTCACTTTTGTATAGAATATTTCAAATCAAACTTCAGCAAAAATTATTTCTTTTTGTATGATCACTAAAGTTGATACAACGTAAATCGGTTTAAATGAATTCCAAAAAATATAACATACAATTTTCATACAAATTATCGCGAACACGAACGATCTCGAAATGATTAATAGGTAATTGATCAATCTTGCGTGAAAGAATTGTTGAAGGTCATAAATACCAATTTCGTAAAAAATTTTTGTCTGAAAAAAAAATTTTTTTCCTTTGTTGAAATGAGCCAGTTTGGAAATATAAAATCTATAGCCGCAATGACCTTCCAGTTTATAGAGTGAAGGCGTGCACATTATTGCAGCTACACGCACTTTTTGCTTGCGAGATACAAAAAGCATAAAGTGAGAGTTATTCGCAACAATTGAAGTCGACCTGCACAGAAAATAAAAACTACTTCGAATCGCTAAAGTTATTGAACGAAACCAGACTCCAAAAATAAAAAGATTTCATAGTTTTAGTGTTCCATGTAGATGGATTATATCGGAACGCGTATTTATACAGAAATCAGCACTGTAGAGTTACTGAACCGAATTTCCTTCTTTCGTATTGCAACAAACACGCAGGAAAAGAAAAACAGATCGATAAACCGTACCGAAATATCAAAGAAAGAGACTAAATTGCAAGACGACAATTGAACCGAAGACGCAAGAAAGAAAACTTCGGAAAGAGCCAACAAGGTACATGATTGTCATATTATGGATTTTTACTATATAATTATTATTAGATGGTTGTTGTGACGTATTATTATAAATAATATATCCAAGAAATATCGTCAACGCAACATTTATTGTACGAGGAAGCCTCACTGTTTTCTATCCGATGAGAATGTAATACGCGAACGAAAGCTGCGAAATAAATCGAAGCGATTTTGAAAGTCGACGAAGCTAGAGTCTTGTCGTCATTTGCGTTATCGCACAAAGGAAATAAATGCAAAAGTTTACTCTGAGATTATTAATCAGTGAAAAATTTACAATTTTCCTCGTATCTAATTGCTCGTAACATCTCACTACACATAGTTACGTACAATGATTCACGTAAGAGCTTGGATCGACTAATGTGATGGAAAATTCTATCTTATTCAAGTCCACAGTAATTATTTGCAATTATCATATTTGCTTTGTGGTATTTTTTCTATGACTTGCCGCTATAAAAGTACACGATTTTAGTTTGATTAAATTAAGTTTCATGGGGAAATCGGTTTGAAGAATTGTACAGCTTACATGTAGAGATCACGCCGCCATCGCGTTCAATATCGATCTCTTCAAGGCACTACGCAATAGGTCATTTTAAAGTCTACGCTCTCGTCTTTTGTCCGTGCGCACATTTATAATTTTAATAATTTCTAATAAAAATTGAAAAAAGTATGACACTTATTTTCATACAAACTGTCATAATAAATCTTGAGTTGCGTGGAAACTTTAAAATCATATTTATTGCTGTACTTGATGATATATATCGTAAGGTCATACAAAATCCGAATTGGTCGGCGGGGTATTCTCAAAGCCAGAACGTTGCCAAAGGATGCAGACGATGGTCGATGATCGTTTATTTTTTAAATAAAAAAGCGTGAGGTGCTAAGTAGTACGCAATGGCATCAATATCGTCACGTATTCCAAATATTGAAAAAGATTACATACGCCCAAGAATTTAAAAGATTAAAAAATACACGAGTTTAAAATTACGATATTGCCATAAATGCCCAGGGGAGTTTAGTATACATCGCTATAGGTCCGCGAAATTCCATCACTATTTTTTGTTTCTTAAGCTGTTCAATGCAAATTCCGAAGATTTCGAGCGCACAGACTGAGTAGTAAGGACTTAGTTACTACTTTGATATACAAATGAAATTATCTCAAAAACGAAGCTTAATGTTACAAAGATATCTAATAGAAGTTGCTTATTTCATCAAAATACATGAAAAAGCTTCCACGAGTATTCTCAAAATGTGATAATTTCGTGAGATATAACGAGTGATTAAAATTATAACTCATTAATTAATTGTATCGATTTGCCGTGACACGCTTACTGATCAGAACGTTGACTTTATACTCTTTCTTTGCATTCCTCTTCAAATGCAAAAATGATCATTATATAGTTATTAACAATTCATTGATAAACAATATAGGCCTATTGGCAACATTGGTAAAATTTTAAATAGAGCTTTTTTATGTATTCGGACGAGGTAAACAATATTTTACAATGGTTTGGACGCATTTGCTATAAGTTTAATTGTTAAGAAAAATCTACACTGGGTAATTATAGACTATATGTGGGACTTTCTGTTTGTGTTTTGTTTTGATGGACGTAGGAGTGGCAACATCGCAGAAAGAATACATATTTGCTTGACCAGCACCGTAAAATATTATGCAGACTGGCCGCTGCTAGAAGGTCGGCTAGCAATGTAGGGTTTGAAGACTACGAGTGTAGAATAACCGAGAATGGAGCGGAATAAACTGAGTCCTGACTACACGAGACACACCTAAGTTTGTAAAAAAGAATCAGCACCATCTATTGACTTAGTAAGGTACTAGTGATAAGAAGCTACATACGGTAAAATACGACGCAAATCTATGGCCATCTACGCGATTCGAAGAGAACGCAATATATAATACTCATTCATTGAGCAAATCGAGCAATCAAGCGATATATATATACATATACACATATATACACATATGTATATGAGCGTGTGTGTATATATATGTATATATATGTATATATATGTCGAGAGAGAGAGAGAGAGAGAGAGAGAGAGAGAGAGAGCGAAAGAGGGAGAGTGGGTTGGCGCACACGCAGAGGGGTTTAGCAGTTGAGCGAGGTATACACAGAGAGCAGCCAGATCGAAGCGAGTAGTCATCGTGGCCATTGTCGAGAACCGAGAGCTCACGACAGACGAGTGACTTTAAGTTTCATAGAAAAGCCCTTGTCCATCCAGTAAAGATCATCTTTTACGGTGACCTGCCCCTCAAGATACCACCACAATACTGGAGCTTTCAAAACAACAGTCTGCAATCATTACGACAGAATAGAAGGCGTACTCATAAAGAGCAGAAGGCTCGTGCTGCGCTGCACACCAAGCGTGAACTATTGTATTTGGAGAGAGGGAAGGACAATAAGAATTGTAGACTGATTGGGCAGGAGTAGTCACCGTGGGACGTCCGCAGACGACAGACGTTGCTGTGGAAGAGCAAGCGAGACACAACTAGGCACAGCTGATCAGAGACAAGAGCGAGCAATTAAGGCTCAAGCTCGACGACCGAGAGCGAGACTGTTATACGAGTCGAGTGCGCGCGCACATCGAGCGAGTAGCAGTAGAGTAAGCGCTAGGCAGCGAGCAGCTGAGTAAAAGAGAAAGAGAGAGCTTTCGAGAAGAGTGGCAGTCAGGAATCTGATCGAAGTGCATGCGCGAAATCTCGATAAGAGGCCGGGGAGTCGCAGGAAACGAGGTTGACGAGGACGAATTGGAGCCGATCGGATCGGCGCAGAATTGCAGAAAGCGGCCGAGAGAAAGGGGGAAGGTCGACAAAGAAGCAGCGCTTGCGGTACGCGCTGGTGTTGTTATCGTATGTGTGTGGCTGAGGCTGCCGCTAGCAAATTTGGCTGAGACTGACGGGCATGGTATACGCGACGGGTGCCTGGGGTATGGGAGAGGCACCAACTCAGTGCCACAGCGCAGCAGCCTGCAATCCTAGCAACACCAATTCCCCCGTAGCCAGCGCAGCCACCTCTTTCTGCCAGGATCACGATGAGGAAGTCGCTCTCCATCCACTTAAGAATCAGGTGAGAGAGCCCCGTTCCTGCCTGCGCACTTATGGCTTCTTTCGCGTTTTTTTTTTTTTTTTTGCCACTATCCCCACCACTGCAGCGCGATCCTCTCCCGTACGTGGCCACAATCGCTGCTCCGTTCCCCATCGCGCTCGCAACATCCAGCCAGAACTATGTCATCCACGTCGTATTTCCTGTCGCGGTCCCTTTTTCACGACATCTGGTCGTTCTCACCGTTGCCGCGACGATAAGCGCATCGCCGTCGCATTATGCATGCAAAGGCAGCGCGTGCACGCGCGTACGTGCGCGAGCGGGTTATTTTTATGACGACGCTGGAAAGTTGAGAGCTCGAGAGAAGGCGTTGCAAAAGCCAAGTAAGTCGACTTTCCAGCGCAGCCGCTCTCCGCGACTACGTAACGTACGCGTGTACGCGCGCGCGCTCCACAGTGAAACGGCTCTCTTTTCTCCCTGCGCGCTCGCGCGAATGTCTTTGTTTCGCGTGCGCTTTTACGTCGTCGCTCTGCCTCTGGCCGCGAGTGTGTCCATGTGCGCGTGCACGCGTACGCGAACGCGTACGTGGACGGAGTGTTTGATAACAGACAACTCGCTTTCGTCGTCTGCTCGCGGCACTCGGCCGACGGTTACTTGAGAGTCGAGTTTGATGTAGACCAGCGACTTTATGGAAAGCAACACAGCTGACTCTCATTGTTCACTTGTTTGTCCACGTGCAGGTCGGCGGTCATACGAGGCTACTGCTGTTCAATCAAAACACCATCTGCAAGCCGTTGAACTGCAGAGAACTTGACTTTTACAGGAACATTCCACAAGATATACAAATGTTTGTCCCAAAATTCAAAGGTAAGCTAATATTCTGATACTAGCAACAACAAACAAAAAACCCTTTCATTATCAACAGCTACTCGCGCGCCTACTGCTTAGATAAGGTATACCAACAATTAAAACATTCGATTTTATCTATCATGCTTATGTTATGTATAATGTATCACTCTCGTTAGATTTTTTTTTTAACATTAATACGTTTTATCTCTATCTACTTCATTTTAGTCTTTATTGTGTGTTATTGCGCTTTTTCTTTTTCTATTATAAATGTCACAAGAAAGTCTCATCTTTTTTATTTATTTAAAAAATTTTTTATTTTTCATCGCAGTACATTTCAGCGCGATCGCACGCACTTACGTGATTTTTTACATGATGATCATTCTTGTTACAGTCATGACAATTCATCGGACTATATGCGTATATATGTAATTAAATACGATAAGAGAGTTCCGATAAATTGCAAAGCAAATGTACTAAAGATTGTAGATAAAACGTCATTCCAGTGCAACAAACTGAGGATGACGCTTTTCTCTGCGACAGCATTTTCGTCAATAAACATTTTACGTAATATTACCTTTTTTAATCCCGACTTTATGCGTGTGCGTGCGTGTATGTGTGTGTACGCGTGCCTCAGCATCCGTTTGAAAACGTCACAGCCGTACGTTTACTTGAAACGTCATTGCGCTAATTTACAAGTGGCTGCGACGCGTATCGTACGATGTACATAGGCGTCGTTTATTTTCGTCTCGCGTACGAAGTAAAGTCTTCCATTTGATGTCGATTTGTTAACGGTTAATGAAGTTAACAGTGCTTTACGATTGTATTATTAATTGTTAAATGATGATGTACTCATTAGGTCATTTTATCTCGGTATTCTCGGGGCGATTCAAGTATCGACCTGTGACCGGGTTAATTTTTGATAATCAAATTTTGGTAAGATGGTCGTGATCGACGTAATAGCCAATAGTAATGGTAATCAACCTCGGCAGCATAATTGCAACTGTCGAAGATTGAAAGAAATGTAGGCGATTTAGCAATGCCTGGTACTTAGCTGTACACCTATTATCCGAATAATTTATTGCTGACGCATTATCGTAGTAGGTAAGTATGTTTACGCACGGTCAATGATTTTCAAGCAGAGCAATTGATGAGTCAGTGCGTTTCTGACTGAGTGAACACTTCCACGAGCTTTTAATAATCTCGAGTGACGTGTGTTCGTCGACGAAAAACGAAAAAGAAAATCGCCAGGAGAATTTACTCGAGGTGCCTGCAGCGCGAAAATGGCGACACCGCAGAGACAAAGACAAACGATAAAAGAATGGCCGCGCGCTGCAGCGATGCTGCGAGTGATTTCTCTGGAAGCGATCGTCCGAGTTTCATCGTTGGAGCTAGAGTTCATTGGGATTGGCGTAAATCGCGCGGGTCGGTAGCATATTACGATCGGCAATCGAAGTTGGGATAAAGGGGGATAGAAAGTGTAAAAGAACATTGTGCTCGCTCATGAGGGACGCGCTGAAGGTTTGCAAAAAGAAAAGGGTAAAGATAAATAGGAAAGAAAGAAAGAAAGAAAGAAAGAAAGATAGAAAGATAATGAGGAAACAATTGCGAGATGAAATATGACATCAAATCGCGCAATGTTTGATGATTGTCTAGAAAAACAACCTTTTCTTTCAAGTATCCCCAGAGCCAATAAGTCACAAGGATACGTGTCTGGGAATCGAGGCATGGCCTGCTCGCAGACTCACTAGTGCCCTGAACACATTCCATTTGCTTCTCCTTGGCCAATGCTCGGGGTTTGTATTTTGTTGCTGATCATCAATATAATACCAAAATCAAGCAAAAATATTAGAGCTGAGCTCGGAGGCGTTATCTTATACAACTCTCCGACAAGCATTTTCAACAACATTTTTATACATATTCATATGCTCAGAATTGTTCTCCATTCAGGCGGATTCACTCTATCGATGTATCTGTTCTTACTGCTAATACTATAGTTGTTAACGATGCGGTTATTATTTATTTATTTGACCTTTGTCGCCTGTCAGATCTACGCTCGCGTAGTCGTTTATTTCAGCCAAAAGTCAGACTAACTGTTACACGAATTTTGCCGTTCTTGGCCTTGATTTGATACGTTGAACGTGCGGAGAAGATGCTTGGTCGCCTCTAGTGAGAACAATTCTAATCGAAGCCACGCATCTCTGCCAGTCGAGTGAAAACTTTAAAACAAGGGGGGTGGTTCTTTGCATTTGTAATATGTTGCATGGCGCACTCTACAAGTCACGTGCTCATATTTACATCGATACGTCAGCTTTCAATTGCTCGCAATTAAAAGCGGTATCTTGCCAATAATCACCTATGTATTAAACTCTTGTCTAAATTGTTCGCGACGGCTTTGCGCCAACGAGTTACTTGTAGATAATCAAATGTGTAACAATTGCCGCTGTCTTTGTTTTGTCTGAAATACAGGCTTTGATGAACATTAACGCACGATTGCTCGAATCGTAAGCAAACAATGAAAAGCCGGCTTTTGATTAATCAATCGTTGATCGGAGATGCTAGATTTGCGAGTCGGCGCACGTGCGCACGCGACTCGTCTTGGCCAAATCTAGCCCGACGGACTATCGATCGATATCCACACTCGCATGATCCTCGCCCACGGCTGCTTATGCCCGTGCCTTCGTGTTACAGGTGTGATGCAGGCGACGAGCAGCGGCGAGGTCAAGCTTGAGAAACGCTATAGTCCAAGTTTCAGAGACCAAGAGCATCGGCCCGGCAAAGGCTCGACAAAGAGGAAGCGCGACGACGTTCTGAGGTACGAGAATAGCCTTTTATTACTGGCGCTCGCGTTTATCCGCGTTTATCCGCGTCTATCCGCGTCCATCCGTCCGCACGCCCAGCCCCAGCCTCCTTCCTGCACCGAGCCACCGGGCCACGCGTTTCACTCGCGCCAATCTGTTGCAGAATGAAGATCCACAGGAAGAACAGCTCGGTGGACATACTCAAGCCCGGCACGCATTTAGACTCGTCGGCGAACAAGCAATGTAGGTGCCAAGCGCGAGTCGTCGCTCCCTCGGCCCCGCCAATCATACAACTCGCTCTGCTTGCAGACTTTCTACTGCTGGAGAACATAACGTCGCGCTACACGCACCCGTGCATTCTGGACCTGAAGATGGGCACCAGGCAGCACGGCGACGACGCCTCCGCGGAAAAACGCAGGACGCAAATAGCCAAGTGCGCGGCGAGCACGTCGGCCTCGCTGGGCGTTCGCCTCTGCGGCATGCAGGTTCGTATCGCTTTCGTATCGGCTTTCCGCTCCATCCATCCATCCATCCATCCATCCGTCCCACCGTCCCTCCGTCCGTCCGTCCGTCCATCCGTCCGTCTCACTTACTCACTCACTCACTCACTCGGTTTGCTTGGCGTTCGTGCGCGCGCGCGCAGGCCTACCAGGCGGACATTGATCATTACGTCAAGCGCGACAAGTATTACGGCAGAGAGCTCAACGAAGAGGGCTTCAAGCTGGCCCTCTACAGATTTTTCCACAACGGCTATCGCTTGAGAATCGGCGTCATTCAGCGAGTCATCGCGCGGCTGGAGCAGCTACGACGCGCCATCGAGAGGCAGAGCAGCTACCGCTTTTATTCCTGGTTAGTTCCCCCTCCGCTGGCCCCGGAGCCCCGTCGATTGATCCGCCTCCTGGCCGTTTCAGCTCGTTGCTCGTGGTCTACGAGGGCTACGTGCTGGATGACTACGCCGAACACCGTCACAGCCCCTCGCTACACGTGGACGAGGCGTCCAACGTCGGCTACATGGACAACGTGGTGGTAGCGTCCCGCTCTGGGTCCGAGGCCTGCTGCTACGACGCCGACACGAGCAACCACTCGGTCGATTACAATCTGTCGGTGAACGAAGAAGTGAGCCAGGCCACGCTGCATCGTGGCTTCGGAGAGGCAGCGGCGCGCGGAGCCAAGACCTCCGAGGGCTTCTACCCGGTCAACGAGGAGACAGTCTTCATGGAGCACCCGGCCTCCCATGCTCTCATCAACGCCCAAACCGCCCACGACAACTGGGTGCTCTACGGCCACAGCAGCAGCAGCAGCAACAGCAGCAGCAGCAGCGGCAGTGGCAGCGGCGACGACTACTGCTGCGGGCAGCACACCGTCGTCAACTCCGAAGACACCAGCTCGGACATCGACCTGCCGAGGAGCTCGTCCATCGACGACGGCTGCCCGCTCAGTCGCAACCGACACCTACATCATAGATCCCGTCGCATCCGGCTCTACAACGAGGACAGCTCGAGTGAGCGTTGCGACCACGGCGAGCGCGACGTCGACGAAGACGAGGATGATGTCGAGGACGGGGACGAGGACGATCGCGACCACGACCACGACCACGATCACGACCACGACGGCGAGGACGACGACGACGACTGCGCGACCGTGTCCAAGCGCAGGAAGGTCAAGGCCACGTCGGCGAGCGTCAGTCCGCCCAAGGATCACCTTGTGCCCGGGACCGTCGTCGACGAGACCATGGTCGACGTGCGCATGATCGACTTCGCCAACACGACCTTCGGCCGCACCTCGACCTCCTGCTCCGCCAATCCCGTTCCGTCCAACTCCAATTCCACGGTACATCAGGGTCCGGACTCCGGCTTCCTCATGGGCCTCGACAGCTTGAAGCGACTGCTCCTCGAGATTCTCACTGAGGGTTAAGCGTCCCTTACACCGCCAACGCGGAAGAAAGAACCGAGTGACAATCTCACGCGCGTTACTTTGACACGCGAACTATTGTGATCACTCCTCGGACGTTCAATGCACCTAACGCCATACGAGAGGCTGGTGTCACTGTTACACATACCAAGTTGGTTTCGAGTGACTTCGAGGCTGTCTTTTCATTCTTCTTTTGTCACAAATGAATATCTTTTCTGTTTTTTTTATTTTACGTCTCACGTATGAAATTTAATTATGATTGAGTCGATCAAAGATTAGACATAATATGTCGATAAATTTCTAAAAGGGCACATTCTAAGGGCGCCTACGAACAGTGATAGAGAATCATAAAAGAGAAAGAATAAGAGAAGAACGAGAGTGTGAGAGATAAATGAGCACCGATTGAATGCAGAGCAAATGTGCGATAGACAGCAACAAGTTCACGTGTACGTGCAGTCGAAGAGTATTAAGGGAAGTTTCCTTTCCAAAACTGAAACTAGTTTATTAGACATTCTATACGAGGCCTATGTATATAGTTAGCAGATATAATTTTAAACTACATGTTCCACGATGTTCTGAACGTTCAATAAAATACTGAATAATACAGTGAGTCATGCGGATATGCGGGCGTCTACGTGATCGACTTGTCTATATACAGCCAATTATTATGTTTCGTTTAAAAAACTCTTATGATATTATAACTAAAATCGAGTCGACATGCGCAAGCAGGTGCACTTACGTACGTGTGTATAAATGTAAATGTGTATAAAATTACAGTTCATTGATCAGTTTCAAATTCATTATTCCAAGCTCCTGCCAATATTAACTGAAAAAAAAATTAAGGAGACTACGTCGACAATTCACTTTAGTACTAAGTTTTTAATCATTGACCAATACTATACATTTCATTTATATATTTCTTGTTTTTAAGCTTTACCTTCTACTCGTTTCATCAAATCATTTCATCAAATCATGGTGCATCATGTTTATTATTGCAAAAATATTAATTATTATATTACGAATGTTCAATCTACGTGTGTAAACGCTCTTGAGTCATCTATCGATTAACTATTAATAATAAATTACGTAGTATGACATGAAAATGTCTACCCTACGAATGATTGAGTCAGAAATAAGCTAAATTATTTCGTTATCGTACATTAAACTTAACAGTACGAAAACTGAATAACTCAAATTATATATACGCATACTAATACAATGAAAATGTACAAATTGCAGTTAAGCTGTATTATTTGTGTACGAATACAATTTCACACACACACACACACATATATATATATATATACACATATATATGTGTATATATATGTATATGTATATACACATATTTTTTCCATCTACATTGTCATTATCATCCAATACCTGGACCGATACACGATTGAAAGAAATACAAATATATTTGTCAAAGTTGAGAAACAAATACGCTAGCAAGTTCCCTAAATATAGCATTGTAAAATTTTCATGTTTCTTTTTTTGTGTAATAAAAACATTTATTATTACAAAAAGTTGCATTAACCGATTGTGTATACAATATATTTTTAGTATGTAAGATTAACTAAACGCGATTTGTTGAACATCCATTTTTTCTAGTTCCTATATACCATGTTGTTTCATGTTTTGTAATTAAATTTTTTTAGCCAAATTGTATTGAGTAAAACATAGATTACCATAAATTGTACACACTGTTTGATGAAGGGCAATGGATAATAAAAGTATTTGAAATTTTTGCAATATACTTTTAATGAGAATTTATACATTTTTATTATTCTTTCTTTTTAATTTGCGATTAAAATTTATATAAACAATCAAAGTCATAAGCATTATTACTTATAAAATATGTTGTTTATAAAAAATACATTAAATAGAAAGCTCTTGGAAAAGCCTTACCTTTCATGAATTATCATTGAAATACCTGATTTCATATTCCATTTTAGAATTGAGGTTTATGTTTTTGTTTGTATTTGTGAAATACTACTAGCTAAACAAGCATGAATCTATCATGATGTGTAACCTATATTTCTCACATTAACAATGGTTATATTCATTATAATTAGATATCAAACATTTAATTTTTTTATTCACGCAAATTATCATACTTTTGATTTGGTTGGACGTTAAATTAAAGAATGTTTTATGAATATTATTATTTAATGATTTCGTGAAATTTTTACGAATATTATTTTCATACTTTCATCATCAAGCAATCTACTATCTTTATTTTCCAATTAATTAATCATTAATGTTCAATCCACAAATATTTGTAGAGCAGTCTCTTTGGATGTTATACAAACTACGTTGTTGAAACATATACTAAATTTTTTATATTATTTACTTATCAATAGAATGTTAATACAAATTGATCATAATTTTGAAATACAATTAATCATCTGAAAATTGACAATGTACATATAAATCAAAACAAAATTACATCGGTTTTTTCTAATTTCTAACACTCAATAAAAATGTAGAATTAAAGTACTATAGTACGTATAAAAAAATTTCATGTTATTGTTTACGGCGTACTGTTTGTTCTGAGTTTATACATACATATATACATACATACATACATACATACATCCATACATACATACACACATGCATACATACGTAAATACGTCATGCATACCTACATACATACATACATACATTCATACACACACCCACACACAGTCATATATATATAACTACACCATTTCAAGTCGCATTTTACGTTAAATTTTCCAATACGTTCATACATTACATTATACGTAATTATACTCGAAAGGCACGTTTCCTTATAAAGTGGATGTTATATAGATTAGTCCAATGTCATAATCATGTCATAACTAAAATATAACTTTATGAAAGCACCCATAAATAAAATTTCATTGATTTGCTGCATTACTTTATATTCATAATTTGATTTTTTATATAGAATTTTTTCATTAAGTGAATACATTAACAAAGATATAACTCGAAAAATAAACTATTTCGCTTGGTTATCAAATAATTTAATACTAATGGTGTCTGATTATACTTACACGAAAATTACTCCTTAAATTTTATTGAAAGAAGAACTTATGTAAACGATAAGTGGTTTGTTTTATCATGCTTACAATAACTACATCTAAAAATAATAATTAGTGCATTAAAATATGTGATGTGAATTTTCATTTGAAATCGATTGAATAAAGAATTTTTCATATATTATTTTTGTTGTCCTGAATATTGATTAAAGTAATTCAATGTTGACATACAAAATGTGCTAAAAATCATCCAAGTTCATTTATTTTTGTTTTTAGCATAATGTTATATTTTTAATAACGTAAAGTGCATTGAATTTAACAGTTTTTAGTTATTTACATAATTTTTCAAATGATGCCGTATTCATTAATCAATATGAATTTTTTGTTAAAAAAACTCATGTTCAAGCTTTTACCTAAGCAAAGTCATTGTTTGGTACAAGAAATAATAGATTTACTCGCATAACAAACATTATTTTAAAAACTTAATATTTAACCAAAGGTCGCGGCAGCAACCTTGACTGTGGCATTAATACTACTTTGATTGTTCGCATTAAACAAAAAAATTAGCACAATTAATCCACACAATAAATGAAAATTGATTAATGCTAAAATACTTTTAGCGAAATTGATTCACTTAAGGTGTGTGTACGAGAATCCTAAAACTTTCTTTGAGAAAAATAGTTCGATATTTACAAGCTATTAGATATTTCGTTTCTCACATGTTCAGTTCTTAAATGCATATTAATAACTTACAAAATACTTATCTAACTGTCATTCTCTCCAGCCATTTGATAATGATAACGACGTAAAGCGGATAATTTCAAGCGTTCAGTCTCGAGAGCTTGCTCCAATTCCAAAACTCGGACTTGCGCTTCCATTTCTAATCGTTTTGCTTGATGTAGACTTAATCCAGTGATATCCATGTCTTCTATAAGTGGCAACATATGACTTTAATATTTAACAAGATTAAAATTTGTAAATTTGAAATGTAAAATATTAACCATTATCTTCGATTAGCTGGCTACAACTTTTGGCAGTTGCTACTACACCTCCAGTCGCCTGTGTTACTAAGCGAGATGCTTCAGACAACGCAGAAAGATTGGTGCTGTTTCTATCTGCTTTTACTCTACTGGCTACAACTAACTGGGCCGTTGAAGCAGCAATACCTTGAGATGCTACTACGAGCTGCTCAAATTTTCCATTGCCAGAAACAACTTTATCAGCTGCTTCTCTAAAAATATTATTTTATTCCATTTTCTATACAGTTTATTACCTAATAATTCGTAGATCAATTTTTTCATACAAAAATCGTATACATACAGTAAAAAGTTTGCTCCCATTGCAATAGCTTTGGCTGCTGAAATCAAACCTTCAGACCACTGATGATTTCGCTTATAAAACTCAGTGGCCGATGCTGTGCCTTTGCCTTGAGCAACGATTTCCATTTGTAAAAAGCGTGATTTTTTTACTAAATTTCTAATAGCCATCATCAATTCTGTGCACGAGTCAAGTATTTTGCCGTTTACTTCTAATTTAACTCCAGAATCTGCAGCACGCGATTTGTCTAACATTTCCTATAAATATTTATTATATATTAAATTAGAACGAACGTTTAATTTTTCTGTACAATCATGATTTATATGATTCGAAGTGGTATGTAAATCATCACTATACGTAATGTAATAATAATATAAACTATAGTAATTCAAAGTTGGATTACTCTGAATTGCATCGAAAAAAATAAATCGAAATAATTCTTAATTAGATATTTAAATTCTATGTCAAAGAATTGTCAAATTGATGTTTTTATAAATAATTAAAAATTCGGATTTAATGAAAATTGTTCTTGTAGGGCGTTAATAAAATAACGCGCAAATACAAAAATAATAAAATAAATAAAAAAAATAGTGGGGTGAAACCGAAGATAATCTACTGCTTATACATCAACTAGAAGATTATAAGGTGACTTTACTGTTTTTATAAAGTACAACTGATGCAAGGAACAATATTTCTGGATATATCAAATTTGACAAAAAAGAAACAAAAAAGGCATAAACTGCAATTTTTCACCTGAATTCTGGCAGCTGCTTCTTCAATAGCTTTGTCCATACTTGACAATTCATTTTCTACTAGATCACCAATTACTTCTGCGTTACCTAATACTTTCGATAGAGAGTCTGCTAAACCCGAAATTTTCTCCAATTGTTTCTTTACAACTTCAATTTGTTCAATGGTAGACTCTGATTTTTCTTTCATGTAACTGATCATTATCAAGCCTTGAGACCCAAGTTGTTTACATTCATCTGTTAATCCTACAGAAATTTAACTTTAATGACATTTACCAAATAATGAAAAATAACTTTATTTCAGATCATTAAATAATTGACAGATCGTAGTATTATTACGAAAACCGATTACGGACGGGTAAATTCATAACACTATAATTTTTTAAACAATCGATAAAAAAGTACTACTTACTATCTCCAAAAGAAATGTCTTTGGACGTATTAGACGTAAATTTGGCTTGCATCAAATAAATAGAAAGTGTATAGGCGGTGTGAATAGCGTTGCGAATTAATTGCCCTCTTTGTGCGGTATCCGTCATGTAAGTGCTATAGGCTGTACTTAAATTGCCCAATGCGTCGTCTGTAGGCTTTACAAGACTACTAAGATATTCAGGTGTACATGTAACTGCAGAGACTGCAGGATTATCAACCACATGCATAGCGTTTTGTAAAATCGATTCTGCTTCCGATAAACACATCACTGCAAGAAAAATTTTATTCTATAAATTTCTCGATATTCCTTTCAACAAAATGATTCATTGCTATGTTCACATCCATTGACTTACAAAGCAAATCGTACAAGGCCGCATCGGAATCAGCTTTCGTTTGAGCGAGAGAACGTTCAGCTTCAGCTTGCAAATTTGATATTTTCAATTCTAATTCTTCCTTTTGAGCGGTTGAATCGTGTAATTCTCCTTCCACAGCAGCTTTTTCGGAGCTAATAAAATCAATCTTGGCAAGAAGGCTCTACAAAACATTGGATATACTCATAAATACATACTTAATTAATAAGTTGTTAATTATACATTATTATTATTTATATTACCAAATTTTCAGTTTTGGCTGCGTCGTATTCTTTTCTTACTTCATCTAAATCGGCTCGGGCCTGTATGACTCTTTGCGCTTCTTGTTCTACGGTAGCTTGTCCTTGTACTTGCTCCTGTAGTCTTTGTTCAGCTTCCTGAGTACGTCTTTCAGACTGATCCAGTTTCAATTTCATGCTTCCTAATTGTTTATCGACTTCCGCTTTCTAAAATTAATGACAAGTGTCATTGAAAATTAGTGAAAACAAGTTGCGAATTATTACCTTTCTAATCAAATTTATGTGCTCTTCTCTCAATTTGGCATACACATCCTTCAATTTTTGAAACTTTTCTTCCAATACTTTACTTTTCCCTATAATAAATTATCGTTCAATCGTTTATTTAGATGTTTCAATAAAATGATAGATTTTTTTTAAGAATCGCTCACCTTCGGCTGCTGTGCACATTACTAATATTTCTTCTTTTTGTTTTGCTAAATCTTGTGATGATTGTTTTTCTTGGAGAATTTCATTTCCCTAGAAAATTAAATTTCTCGCTTAGTTACAAATATTTGGAGCAATATGAATCGCATGATTTTTAAATAATTTTTAAGAATCAAAGTTCATTTAATCACCTTAGCTGAAATCAACGATTCAAGCTCTAAAATACGATTCCGTAAATCCCCGATAACGTTTTGGTGTTCAACCATTAAACGTTGCAATTCCTGTCTTTGTCTTGAATTTTCTTGGTGAAAGTGTTCAATTAAGCTATCTCTAAAATGTAAATGATAGAAAATTTACAATTACAAGATGTTTTTACAAATATTAAACATTGCAACAATACCTTTCGGCTAAAACATCAGGTGAAATTGAACCATTGTGAGTAGAATCTGCTGGGTCACCTGAAAGTGAGCTAGTATCTGAGGTATCAATTAGAGCTCCTTCAGTATCAATAGGTTCCTCTGGTGGTAAAACTACTACAGGAGTGACATATGTTCCTAATTCAGATTGAATTAAAAAGTTAGGGGGTTTCTGTACACGGAAAAGAAAAGAAAAATGTTATTAAACTGTCAGTAATATTGCCCGTAAAATTTCAAATAAACCAATGAATTCTTACTTCTGGTAATGATGGTATGGTAATTAGATGTTTGAAATAATGCATGTGCATGACTGTATTATAAAAGCTCTTTAGGTCTCTAAATTGTTTAAGGAAACGTTCTCTATGACCAGATAACGTGTCAGCAGGAAGCGCACTGTGTAATTTAAAAAGCATTTTTACGCAGTAGTCATAAAGCTTTGATGCATCTTGAACACATGGGATCAATGGTGCAAGGCGACATTGGCCACATGGTGTCATTGAGTTAGATCGTGATAAATCTAGAGATCCAAAAACTGTAATATAGTGCTTAGTTAGAATATAAAGAAATAATTTAAACGTATCATTATCATAAACATATCATTATTTCAAAACTTACCAGCTTGTTGCAGATTAAGAATATCATCCATGTAATCAAACATTTCAACGGTCATTTGGAAACTTGATAAAGTAAATAGATATTATTGTTTATTCCACTAAAAGATAATATAAAATTTGTATTTAAAAAATGAATACACACTAAACATTTATGTCATTTTCTCCAATAGCTTCGAGTTCCTCTGGAGTAACCTGTAGATTTCCTGGCATGCGAGGATTTCGCCTATGAAAATCTAATTTTGTGATCAGTAAACGTATGTATAAATGTATCAAACGACCATATTCATCTCGCAAATGCTGCCACAATTTGCCAATATCTTCTAATTTGCCTCTATGACGCTGAGAGTCAGGTATGACACGAGGATGGCCTTCGCGTAAAATTTTGTGCAAGACATGACAAAATTTCCAAGCTACAATTCTATGTTCTTGTAGTTGCTGACGTAAAATATATGTCCAAAAAATTGTAGCTCCTTTTTCTTGATATGTACCTATAATTGCAACTGAGATAATATTAAGGAATAATCAGGTACATAAATAAATCCATGAATAATTGATTATTGAAAATAAAGGATACTGCGCACATGCTTTTCTTTCACTCTTGTTTCAGCTGGATTAACAGCTTTTGCAATACTGGTACTCTGAAAAAAGATTACAAAGGTTATATTGTTTTCAATTAGAGCATCTAAAAAAGCATTGTAAAAATTCTACTTAATAACAAGCACGCTATAATATATTTGTAATCAAACTCACCAGTTGATGCATTTGCTTCTCATTAAATGGTAATACAGACATGTTAGTTTTGCAATATGTCAACAAAGTTATTATAAAATAAGAATATAAGAATAAGTGATAATCGGCAGATTATAAAGCACATACAATCTCTTGTCATTCACTTGTCTAATCCGATCACCTCAATATTCTATGATGCTGCATCAAAGGTTATTTTGGTGACATGCACTATCTGCAAAGCTAATTATTAAAAAAATAAAAAAAGTTCTCTAGTATATCGTGTTTATTATAATACAAATAGAGAAAAATCACTATTTGATGAATTTTGTCATTCATTATACAAGAATAGAGTAGTGGAAGGTGAATAATAATATCATACATAAAATTTGTGTGATTGAATGTGAAAATCAAAGATTTTGATATAAGTAATGTACGTAATTATAAAAATAGGATTTAGCAGAGCGCTGAAAAGAGTTAATAAAACAACTTTGCAAACTACATAAGTTTGCTATATACTAGTAAAAATTCTGTTAGCAAGGTAGAAACTGTGCATAGGAAGTATGTTGGGAAAGAAAGTAAAAAAAGGGTTTTTCCATAGATCAAAGCTGTACGCTGGTCGTTGAACCGTATGCTTACAAAACTGAGAAAATAGAGCATAACACATGCATTATAACCCAAAAGAGGAAAGGAAAGAGAGAGATGCAAGATAGGATATTTTCGTTGCAGTGTACAAGGAGGAAAAAGTGTGTATGTATAATATAGAAATACACAAACACCTATGTAAATAGTAACTTATATTTACGGTTATTTACCTGGAACTTCTCGAAATGTTCTCGCTCCAAATCCAAGCTAGTTTTTCTTTGTTGAAGCATTCGAGGCAGAGATAAGGAAGCCATATCCGAGAAGGCAGTTGTGTATAAATATTTGTGGCGAACGAAATCGCACCAGCAAATTCTCAATCAGTCGCACCTACTCGTGATATCTACTATACTCATAAGAGAGGAGGGCCTCGGAACCGCTAAATAAACAAATAGATACCTACACGCGAGAGAGGCAAATATTAGAAGGTTGCTTGGCGGTGCAGCACAAACGTAGTGGCGACGGCCGGACGACTGTCGAGCACCGAGTGGGAGTTGTTGATCGTCGAGTGGAGAAATTCACCGCAACACACACACACTCGTATGCCGAAACGGCAACTCGGGATAAACAGAGCACGAGAGAGAGAGGGAGCGAAAAAACGCAGTGTAATGCACTGCGATAATACCAAGTGGCAACGACCAGCAGGATAAAAGCAGCAACACTATACGATTCGATGATTGTAGCGGCGACTACGGCGGCGCCTAATTCGGAGCAACAGGAGCATGAATGGATCGCTTGTGTCTTCTGTCGCGCACGTCGTTGGATTCGCTAGTGTGCTCGTGTATACGCACACAACCATCAGTAGCTCAATGGTTGCAGTGACGTGTCGACATCCGCTGCTGCCGTGCTGCTGCTTTGTCTCTCTTTCACTCTCCATTCGGAGTAAATGCTGTATATCCTCCTTTGCCTCCTCGCGCACACGTTGTATTTTTCTCTTTCTTCAATTTCTTTAACGACGAACAGCTGCGCGCGAGTCTTTCATCTGCGGTTTCCTGAGGTGCTTTGGAAATAGTGAATACAGCAAACTTTTACAATATATGTGATTCAAACTCTATCATACTGGGATTAGAAATATTATAAGCTGCGAGGTTATCGCGGTGCAAAATGGGGAGAAACAATGTATTTTAGATCTGTTTCAATAATTTTTTTTTTCAAAGAAATGGATAGATACAATTTTTATCTATCGCTTATATATACCGTCTGCAGGCTCCCTAATTACTTTTCTTAATTCGCGCAAAAATTATTACAAATATTGAGGCATGAGATGTTTTATCTGGGTTTATTGATGTTTGATTTACGAGATGAGATTAATCGTCAAAAAAGGCATCCAAAAAGCTGACTCTGATTACATGCGCGTTAAAACGTGATGTTGCACTGTAGACAACGCGACGATGCGATGGAATGCTCAACATAATAAAAGATTGCTAATTATCAATCTGAAAGGCGTATTTATCATTTGCAATAATCAATAAAAACAAAAAATTGAAAATGCCAACTACGTTATACGACCACAGACAGATATCGAGTAGAACATGCGCGTCATACAAAAACACTTATAGTGTACAAGACGTAATCATAGATCGCGTAGATTATACAAAATTGCTAAGTTAGTGGAAAAATTATTCTCCATGTGTCGACATATTTATTACTTGTCAATAGTATATATAGATTACAAAGGTTATTTCGAATAATTGAGCGTTCGTAAAAAGAAGGAAAACATCTCGTTCTAGAGTCATTGACGACGATAGCCGTGGTAAAGTCGGCACTGGTTGAAAATAAAACAACGCGATAAACAGAATCAATAAGGAAGAGATAAAAAAGCCGCTGCTCTCGAGTGCGAAAGAAGAAAAAAAAACGGGCACGCGTGCGTCTAAAAAGCGAGGTGCCGTATAGAAGGCACGCAAATTCGGGAAGGTGGCATATAAATTTGACAGTTGCCGCAGCGCGAGCGGTAGCGCCTCCGTCGAGCGTCCGTCTCGGGGAGCAGTCGCGCACGAGCCGTCAGCAGAGGCAGAGCCGCTCCTCGTGTCCACGTCTCTCGCAGACCGCGGAGAAGCGCGCGCCATCCTCAGCGAAAGACCACCGAGCGAACCGAGCCGGAAAGATGATGACCACGAGGGTGCGGACGGCGCTGGCGGCCGCTAGGTGCTCGCCCAGCATCCGAGGTACGCGCACCATCATCCTCGGTCTGTCGTACGGCACGCGCCCGCGCACTTTCCGAGGCACCATCGATTTTTCGTTCCGACGCTCTGCGTGCTGGCCTCTCCGCGCCTCTCCGACCTTGACTATTTGAAACGATGCCTCTCCAGCGGCGCTTCTTCATCGATCTCGGAACGATCCATCTTTCTTTCGTCGAAAGATTCAATCGTGGCTCGCACTTCCTCGTCGCTATGTATCAATTTGGCCTCGCGTACGGTCGACGGAAGAAAATACGATACTCTACTGGAATCTCGTTCTCGTGTTTGTCGCGTTGCATCGCGTACAGGACAATACTGATATTTGAATATTGGACAGCCGACCGTGTTTCTTTCATCGGCGCCCACGGATACTCGATGACGCTACAATTGCTACGTCGGCTTATCATAGGCTTAAAGGCTCGCCTATCTCCGCAGAGTGTCATTACATAATTGAGCGGCACGAGCGACGGAACGAGCGGCGGAACGAGCTCGATCGCGCGTATTCGCTGGCTCGAGCGGAGTCCGGCCGTTTCCGAATTTGAAAATCCAGGCTGCGCCAATTGTAACAGGCGTCATTCAAGCCCAATCGCCTCGGCTCAAGTGGGCGCGAAGGCCGGTCGCTTCAAAGTCGGCCCGACGCTCGCGCGTGCGATCGAGCGGGCAGCGCGCCGAAATAACTTGCGCGAGGAAGAGAGGCCGGCCGGTCGCCCTCGGGGAGCGTCGGGGAGCGACGGGGAGGCGGCAACGCGGCGGGCCCGAGAGACGCGCACTGCAGAAGGCAGGTGTCCCGCAGCTGCAGCGTCCACGGCTGCGGCGCCGCGAGCGGAGCCGGACAGGCCGCTGGTGTCGAGCGCGCAGATCCCGGGCCCGGTCTCGCAGCGGCTGTTCCGCGAGCTCAACTCCGTGCAGCAGGCCTCGTCGGTGCAGCTGTTCGCCGACTACGAGAAGTCCGCGGGCAACTACCTGGCCGACGTCGACGGCAACCTCCTGCTCGACGTCTACATGCAGATCTCGTCGATGCCCCTCGGCTACAATCATCCCGCCATGCTGCGCGCCCTCGCCGATCCCCGCAACCAGGTATGCGCGCGCGCCGTCCCCGTCGCGCGGCGTAACGCTGATCGAAGGCCGCGCTTGCAGGCAATCATGGCCAACCGGCCGGCGCTCGGAGTCTTCCCCAACAAGGACTGGCCCGACAAGCTGAAGGGAGTGCTGCTGCGCGACGGGGTGCGTATGCGCGTGCTCGCAATAATGTCGGGCAAGTTGAACGGGGCCTGAATGTTGAAGGTGGCCCCGCCTGGTTTCTCGCACATCACCACGATGATGTGCGGCTCGTGCTCCAACGAGAACGCCTTCAAGAACATCTTCATCTGGTACGCGGACGGGCAGCGTCACGGAGCTCCGTTCAGCGAGGACGAAATCGCCAGTTGCATGATCAATCGCGCGCCCGGCTCGCCTCGCTACTCCATCATGTCGTTCCAAGGTAAGCTCTTGCCTTCGGACCTCGTCGCCGCTCGCAATTCCAATTCTGCCGCCGAGCTCGTCTATATCGCGACGATCCCCTCGCAGGAGCCTTCCACGGACGAACTCTGGGCTCGCTGTCCACCACCCACAGCAAGTACATTCACAAGATCGATGTTCCGGCGTTCGATTGGCCGATAGCGCCGTTCCCGCGCTACAAGTATCCGCTCGACGACAACGAGCGCGAAAACAAGCAAGAAGACGACCGATGCTTAGCTCAGGTATTCGTTCCACTCGATCTTTCTTCCTAATAATACATTATCGGATGCGATGTTTTTCTCTATTCGAATTATCTTATCGCTGTCTGTCGCTATCTTTTCGCGAATGGCATATTCACCGATCGCTTTAACAACCGCTCGCATATTAAGATGCACAATTACAACATATCAAAATTGAGAAATCCTACAACTTTATTTTTAAACATTGATAAAAAAACATATGCCTCGCCGATACAACGGTTTCGCTATATCCAATGATCTTACGATACGACATTTTATCAAGCAAACGTTCATAATTTTCTGGATAAATTTTCTTGACACTTTGTTGTTTGCGTCGAAATAATAATCGATTGGACTGCACAATCTTTTCAACATTCACGACAGAATGGTAATTGTTCTTATTGCGCTTATTTCAGGTACAAAACTTGTTCGAGATCTACGCGAAAGAGAAGAAAATACCAGTTGCTGGAGTAATTGTTGAGCCAATCCAAGCCGAAGGTGGAGATAATCACGGGTCTCCCTACTTTTTCCAGAAACTTCAACAAATTACCATTAAGGTATTTAATTACAAAAAATCTTTTTTAATTATAAAGAAATTATGATATTTCGATGTGTTTGCAGAATGGCGGAGCTTTATTGATGGACGAAGTGCAAACGGGTGGAGGTCCAACAGGTAAAATGTGGTGCCACGAGCATTTCAATCTGGAGACACCTCCTCACATAGTAACCTTCAGCAAAAAAATGCAATTAGGAGGATATTATCACTTAGAAGAGATGAAGTAAGTTTTATGAAAATTCCGAAAGTTTTTCTTTAACTTTTTCAACGATAAACATTCCTTGTTAGGCCTAAACAATCATATCGAGTATTCAACACATGGATGGGGGATCCTAGCAAAATAATACTCCTAGAAGCTATTGTCGATGTAATACTCAAAGAAAATTTACTGGATAAAGTTACCAGAGTTGGAAATTATACTCTCAACGAGCTCGTTAAAATGGAAAATGAATTTTCAAGCTCAATCAATTCATCGCGTGGCCGAGGAACATTCATCGCCTTCGACTGTGCTTCAGCTCAATTAAGAGACTCAGTAGTCAAGAAATTACTGCAAAAAGGTAGCAAGAATTGATAACTAATGAATTTCAAATGCAAATTCCAGTGATCTTGATGCTCGTAACATTTGATTATCGCAGGTATTCAAGCCGGAGGCTGTGGAGAAAAAGCGGTTCGGCTACGACCCGCTTTAACATTCTCAGAAGATCACGCAAACATATTCTTGGACAGCCTGCGGTCTGTTCTCAAACAATAAATGTGATAAAAACGCGAAGAACCTGCAATAAAATAACTAAACTCGAGTCTTCCATTTACAAGCATTTGGATCAATTGTGACAATAGTCAAAATGTATCAAACATTGCGGGTTTTTATTTTTGTAAAGCAGATTACCAACTATAAGTTCGATAGCCAATTGACAAAAGCGAGTACATCATAAATAATGAGTACTCGACAGAATTACTTGTTAACATTTTTTCTTTATTAGGAGTACCGTTGGTACGAAAAAATTTAGAATTCACAAGATTATTTAGTTTTTTTTGCTGGTTTACCAGATTATATATTTCTATAAATGTATAATGTACATCACTTGCTATTTTAGCCTTTTTTTAGATTTGTTTATAAGTATAAAAGTTCCAAGTAGCAAATACATGATTATTCACAAAGATTTTTCTTCTTCAAGCATCAACGATTACTTGATCATTTTTTGCATACTTAAGAAATACTGGTCCTTCAAGGAAGCTTTCAATTGTTTTACAATTTCTTTATATAGTATATACAATTATATCAGACTTCAAAGTTTCCTTTCATTTGGACATTTTTTTGAGCAGTTCAGAGTAGTGTTGAAACTGTGGCAATTGGCTTTTTTGCATCATATACTCTAGAGTTCTTTGCTGTAAACGATTGTAAAATACGTTGCAAGAAACTGTGCACGCAAATATTTGTCAGTACTTTCAAAAAACATGACGACTTACTCTTAATTTAGGATCTACAGAATTGTGTTTCTGAGATAAATTCCACAAATTTACGGCGATATGCGCCAACGATGGTTTCGTTAAGTCTGCTCTAATAAGCATTCTCACGAACAACTCAAGCGCTAGAGATGACTGTTTGTCCAACTGATCAGTATTGCCTAGATGTTTTAAGTGATTCAATAGTTCTTCCATAACTTTCGAACATATCTTATTGACTTCACTGACAAATTTGTGATCAGATCCGTAAAGTTTATCATTGGAATCAACCTGCGTGTTCGCATATTGTAACAATTAACTATAAATATATATATTTTTCAATAGATGCATTTACCTTGTCGACGTGATAAGGATAATTTTCCTGAGTTACCGTTGACAAAAGGTCAAGTACTCTCAAATATAAGTGTGATTTGGTCATGGTACTGTCGTCAAAATAACGCTGCACTGCGTTCAAAAGGCCTCTCATTAAATACAGAACACCGTGTTCTGGACTATCCTGTGTGGATTTTATTTGACTACGTCAGTGAGGAAAGAATTTTTAACCAAGAAAGAAATATTCTTACCGGAACTACTAGTAGAGTAGAAAGAAAGTTGGAAAGATAAGAAAGTAAGTATGACTCAGAGCTTTTGCTTCTTCCATCAATTTCTAAAGTCTTTGGCATTTCTGGCACTAAACTCAAGGCTGCTTTAAAGCAAGCATCGGCTATCGAACATCATTTAATGAGAGCAAGCAAAGTAATTATTGTAAAAGCACGGAAGATAGTTTGCAAATTGCACTTCAAAAATATTACCTTGACCATAACATTGATTGAGTAGAGCTACTTGGCCTGACAATAAGTAAAGCTGGAGTCTCGTGTTAACTAACGTCAAAGACGGAACTGTTATGAAACAAAATGCAGCACAAGCTCGTACAAAAGCTGAAGTTCTTCTTGTATGATGTCCACGAACGATTTTTCTAGTATCAATGGATAATTTATTTACACACTGTAGAAAAACAAAACTGGATCAATTGCAAGAGGAAATAAACATCTAACTAACATTTTTTATCCCATTACCTGTACAAGCTGCGTATGTACAATGTCAAGATTGTGGAAAGCTCCTCGCGCTTCCACATAAAAATTTAATTGCTTTTCGAAATCTCGACCGTAATCAACTTTTTGAATAAGGCCGCATATCAACTGGCCAATCTGTCTTTTTTCATCTTCTACTGTGAGAGCGCTACAAGATACAAGTATTATAAATGTTATATAAATATATATAGTGTATTTATGTTATATAAATATATATAGTGTATATGTTCACATTGATGTTATTAAGAAATCATGTACCTGACTGAGTCGTGCATTACTCTCATAATAAACATAACAGCATTTATCATGATGGGATCTACTATTGGACTGTTTTGTTTACTTAAACCTTCTACAATTATCTTACAAACATCTACTTTAATACTTTCTTTGTGAAATAAATCGATAAGCGGCAAAAAGTTATCCTATATAAACATAAATTGATCAATGTTTGCCATATTTACAAATGATCATTAATTCAAAAAGCATTTACCATTGTTAATAATGAATCGAAATCTTGAGTGTGAGAAATCATTTTTTCAGTAATGTTTTGCAATTGTGGATAAAAATTTTCAAATGCTCTATTTGGTCCCAAGTGATTGATTATTTCTCCCAAAAACATATTCATTTCTGTAGCCTGCAAAATTTTTAATTTTTCAAGATGTTTCAGAAATTAGTGTTCAAAATTTAACGCTGTTGATATTAATAAGACGAATCAATTTCTTGCATGAACTTTGAAAAAATGTTGAATTTCATGTGTATCATTTATATGATTGGTAGATTCTTAATTTACGATTGATTTTATTCTCAAGCTTTCAAATATCAATCATATCGTATGAAGATATTAAAGAAGAGAAAAAATAGTACTTACTGAAAAATATATTGCAACAAATTGAATCCAGACTTCCATTACACTCATAAATCTCGTAGAATCTTTCATAGTTTTTAGGTATTTCCATACAATGTTTAAAATAATCTGCAAATCTTCCTTTGGTGGTGATTCTCTAATTAAACATTCGCCTAAGCTTCTATACAAATGATACTGCGGATAGCCTTTAAATGAGAAAGAAAAAAAGAGCACATCAGATTGGAATTGAAATTTAATGGAAATAATGAATAATAAAGTTAAAACAATTATAAATGAATTTTTTAGGAGCATTACCATTATCCTGACAAGTCTCAATCAAATTAATGAATTCCATTGCGCGAGACGTTACGTACATTGGTTTGAAAGACGTTAAAATAGTATTTAACAGTAATGCACTAAAATTAAAATATAGTATATATAAGAGTGTTATCGTCAATGTTTTATTTACAAATAATGTGTATACCTATTTGGTTGTTCTTTACATTTATTAAGTACTTCTGTCAAAAGACTTTCAGGTGCTGTAGTAGCTAAAACTTGTAAGATCCAATCTAAAGCTGGAGTGTATAAATTCAAATAGGAATGTAAACTGAGATTTTGCCTCAATAGATCACTTTTCACAGATTGGGTAAACAATTTTCTATACGTATAGAGAAAATCGTAAAAATTTTCAGTTACAAATTCGAGACTAAACGTTTTGAGGGCAAATCCAACGCGACACAAATAACATCTAGCATATATAGCTACTAAAGGGTCTCCTATGCCTCGAATCATTTTTGTAAGACGCATCAATATGGAATTAAATTCACTAAAAATTGTAAAATATTATTATGTGAAATTCAGTTGTGCAAAAAAAGTATAAACTAATTAATTACATACCTCGTTGTTAAGAAACTGTAAGATTTAATTATTGCCATTTCAACGTAAATACGAGGAACAAGCTCTCTAATTGATGCTATTTTATAAAACCAATTTTGGCAAGTCTCTTTAGCATTTTCTGGAACCATGTCAGGCGTAAAATTGTCTGGTAAACTAGTTGGTATCTTACTTCCAGGCCTAAACGTGAATAGGCTTACTAACCTTTATCTCTTATCAATGATGCTTTTATAGTACATTATCTAACTAATGTGGAAAAGGGATTCTTGCCTCATGTTAGGTTTATGCCCGAGCGAAGCGAGGGTGGAAAGGCACGCAGACGAGAATCTCTTTCCCGAACACATATTATATATCTTACATGCGTTATTTTTCGATATTCTGAGTATAGGGACTCGACTTTACACACGCCCGAGTAATCGAGTGTGCTTAAAATTTCGTCCCACATACGTCGTATCGAAAAGTAAAGTTAGATATATGTGCGAGAAAATGATTCTACTTTCGTGTGGCTCTTTCACCCTCGCTTCGCTCAAGTTTGAACATTCGCACGAGAATTAAATCACTTTTATACTAGTATCGAAATGTACTAATTTCAAAACAACGTGCAGAAAGGGTGAATTTCAACGCACGTTCTTAGCCGACCGTGCAGGAAAATCGTACTTACAAAAAATGTACAGCGTGTTAAAAAATGTACTTACTTGATATACTCTGCTTTTGATTTTAATCTCTCATAAACCAATTTTCCAAAAATGTCTAAAATATCTGTTACAAGAACAAATTTGCTGGGATAGAATGATATTACTGATGTATCCACCAAAAGCTTTGCACACTAGAAGTAATGTATAGATTTTACATTTTTCTTAAACTTGTATGTATAAAAAAAATTGGGTATAACAACTTACTTGAATAGCAATTTTTAATGCTTTAACTCTGTGATCTGAATTCCAGGCATTTACAAGTTCATTATTAAGTTGCTCAATTCGTAACATATATTCTTGTTGTGTCAATCCATGCATTTGTCTAACTGAACCATCTTCAAAATCATCTAGTTGTTCTAATCGTGTTTTAACTTTGTCGACTAATGATCCACTTGGTTGGACTTTCATGATTACTGTGAAAATATATATATATAAATGTTTTAAATCAGTTTTAATGCTTAATTATATTATAGTGAATAATTCATTACCTTTTTCACCACCTGGCAAAAAACTTGTAACCATTGATAATTTTTCTAAGGTTGTATATTTATTGAGCACAATAGCTTTTGTCGCTGACCATGGATCTACACCTTCATCAATTTTATGGTTCATTTTTCTACCAACTGCTGTTGCATTAGCTGAATAATCCCACTGAAATATGTAAAATAAGGGTTTTTATACCAAGTTATGATGATTAGTACAAAGCTCTTTTAAACGTTTACTTCATCAGTAGCCATCCTAGAGAGAGGATCCATTTCTTCTTTAACAAACTGTGTAAGAGGATCAGAACCATCAAGAGATGAATGGCTTGATAAAGGATCTTGTATCGAATTAATATTAACAGGAACTGTTGTTTGTGTAGGAGTTGGTGTTCTTGTAGAAGAACTAGTACTCGTTGCACTCCGTAGAGTACCACGTCTGATTGCACTACGCCCATCAACCATCTACAATAGTATAAAAATATAAGCTCAATTCTTAAAGTATTAAATTAGTAATTTATTGAATAATATACCGTGATTGTGATAGGTTTGAGAGGATGGTCATTAGCTTCATCCAATTTAAAATTTCTTCTTACTTCATAATCAACTGGTCTGGTAAACCTAGAAGTGTTACGTCAAATCAAAAACAAGCATTGATTCTCAACACTACATTTGCATACACTAATAAAACGGGTTGGCTAATATACGATATCAATTTCAGTTTCTTTTTTTCAATAACACAACTACACTAGAAAAACATTACCAATCAATTTCCGTCATTTCAGTAGAAAAATGTACGATGAATAATAAGAATAAGAAATAATCTTTCCAAAACTACTATCTTCGTAACAATTTAATTTGTATCATCTGTACGATCTTTTTTTATTTCTCATCTCAAATAACAAAAACGTAAAAAAATCACAGATGTATAGGAGCGGTCGGCTCAGTCTTCGTTCAGTTTCCGATTCGAACCAGAATTCACCGATAAAAAGTTGACTTATCGATAGAGCGCTTTGGAAATAAGCTTATACGGCATGCGCTATGAGTAATTCGTTGCCAACTTTCTCATTTAAACGTTGTATATGCCTTACTACTATTAGTTCAATCCCTGCATTTTTATAAATAAAAAAGAATTATTAAAAACTACTTCATTCATACAGCAATCATAATTGTGATTGTATATAAGTTTAAAACTTGGTAAAATTTAGTTTAATTGTGACAATTCAATTTGAAATCTTTGGCAAACAATACATTAGCGTAAACAGAAACATAACTGAAATAACAAATTTGTGATTTTTTAATGAAAAATGTACTATACTATTAACGAAAAATAAAACTTCTTATATAGGTACATTGAAAATTAAAAAAAATTGTTAATGTATATTAATAATTAATAGTTTCTCGCCTCAATGAGATTTCGTCCGTCGTCGTAAAATTGACGTTGCATCATGCATGCGTTGGCAATTCCGTGTCGCGTTCGAGTGATTTAGTGTTTAGCCTCTCACTCTCGCGTTCCTCCGTTCGTCTGCCGTCGTTCTCCTCGTGCCTGTTTGCGTGGTGTGTCGTCGTCAGTCGTCGTTGTCGTCGTCGTCGTCGACAACTTGCGACAAATGTTCTTTCGTTGAATTTTCGATATAGCATCTCCCTTCATATACTCCGTATTACGAGCTTTTTTTATTACCTTTAAGAATGTCGGCCGCCGATGAAGTTTTCGAAAGTTGGGAGGAAATGGAAGAATCAGGGGTAAGTTGTCTGATACCAAGCGCACTAGTCAGCTGCGAATTTCGGACCACGGATTTATCAGATGGTTTAACAATAAATATCACCATCGGGCTTACTTTGACTTAACCTTACAAGCACACACGTTCCCCACCACATCCATATAGAGAGAATTTTTCCAAGTTGAATAGACATTTGATCGTTTATTCCATCGTATGGCTAAGAAAAGAATTTTCAATTACATCATTAACCTGGTACTAAAATACCAAAGAATCCATTTTTTTCTAAAGTTATTTTTTGATATCGCTATTTTCCTTGTTACTAACCATTGCTTTCTCCTTGTCTTAATTTCATTAATTTTCATCTTTTTGTACGCTTTAGACTCTCGATAAAAAACTCCAAGCTCTTGAGGTTAATCCAGCTGATGGAATTGGTGATGAGTCAAGGAGGTAGGCTACTTGTAAAAAGTGCATTGTAAATAGTGAACTGGTTATAACATAAGAAATCCTTCCAGTAAAAATAATTCAAATACAAGAATTATCATTTTGGGAGATGAAACGATGAGATCACAGTATCCACCAAAGCCTACAGTGAAAATACTAAAAAGGCCAGACAGAAATTCTCCAGGTGATGGAATATTAATAAATGGTGATAAGCCAAAACAGCCAATCAAGTCTTTGAAACAGGTTTGCTTTTACTTTACTTACTTAACCTTAGTTGGAGGTCAATAAACAATAATAAAGTTTATGACCTTTTAATCAACTCAAATCATAATCTCTCTGAGTAATATTAATATTCTGATTAGAGAGAACAAGAATATGCTGAGGCAAGAAAAAGGATTTTAGGAGAAGAAAAAAGTCCTGAAGAAAAAATAATATCTGAAATTAATAGGATACAAGGAAAAACTTTAATAGCTAGTGGAAGTAATTTACCCATAAATATAACAAGATTGCCAACTGGGCCAGATGGAACTAAAGGATTTAATGTACGCAGGTAGCATGTCTGAAAATCCAAGATTATTACTACTTATCGAGTTGACCTTTTCTCTCACCTCTATACTGATAAGAGGGGGAGAAGGCTGAGGCCAAAAGCAGTAAATTGCTACCAATATCCTGATTCGTACAGGACACCATTTCTCTATTCCAAGGAGAAATGCTATAATTACTGCTTTCCATGAAAGTGTGTTCATAGAGGGAAAGCACAGAAATGACGATGTCTTTATACAACTTGAGTCAGAAATAACCATGACTGTATAATGCTGCTTAATATTATTGTAACAGTTTTATTTTATTGAGTTACAGAATTATACATAATAAAAGAACTTTTATTTTATCATATACTAGATTTCAAAATAATTTGTTGGTGTATCCTACTATAGCTCTAATGTTACAATAGTTAGGGTCAAGGAATCAATTGTTGTGACATCATAGAGTATTATTAAAAATTGCATTTTATTTAAAAAATCTGAACATAGTGAATATCAAAGTAATTAACAATTCATTTAATTGATGATGACATTAGCTTCATAGCCAAAAATATTTTCAACTATTCTTATATTACTATTTGAAATATCACAGAAACTGTGCATTCATCTTTTTTATTCCTTTCCACAATAAAACAGTGTTAAAAAAATAAAACAATGTTTACTTTTCTTATAAAAACAACTTAACTCTGTTTTCACAATTTAAATTGCTTTGTTTCAAACTAGTTAGCTTAACTAGTTCAAAATTTTTATGCAATATTCATAAAATTTTTAAATATTACAAATTAAAATAATTGATTGATGAATATCTTTGATCAATAATCTTTGACCTTATTGAAAGAACCAATTATTTTTTATCAATACTTGTAGCATTTATTAATGATACAAATATTTATTAAAAACAAAAGTTTAAAGTGCCTGTAATAAATATAAAGGGTACTCCCCACACTCTAAAATTATAATTAAAACTAATTAAGCATAAATTTTCTATGAAGTCTAAAATTATTGGAACAGAAAAAATGAATCAAATTAGTCCAAATTCACTTCAGAGCAGTTAATAATGAAAAATTTAATTTTGATAACATGGATGTAATTTATATAGTTCTTTGTTTCCAAAACTTGTATTGCATTGTTCACAATAACATTTCAATTCACTTTGAGATAAAATCATTGACAGTTCTTTATTAAAGACTGTTCGTTTGCTATTCAAATTCAACTGCCTACTATTTTTCTTTTTCCATGATCTTGTTTTGTGATGGTTATTCTTTATTTTCATCTTTCTTTGTTTACTTCTTAAATTTTTCAAAAAAGTATTATCTCTGACTGTTAATTTCTTGTTTGTAGCATGTTTCGAACGATCTTTTTTTTGTTTTGCAGAATTATTTGACCTGCTGTCTTGAGAATTTACAGAATTTGTAGTAGTTATATGCTGTTTAATTTGAATTTTTGGATAATCCACATTACATGAATAGTCATTTTCTAATTTAATAACTGAACAGAAAGGGAACCTATCATTTGATTGCAATGTATTTTCTTGCACTGAATGTACTGAGGATTCATCATTTTTAACTGTATTTATTTCTTCCTGTTTTATTTTTGTCTCTACAATACTCAACTCATTATTTGAAAATTGTATATTACTACTAGTTAAACATTCTTCATTTAAATTAACATCAGATTGCAAATTATATTTATCACATTTATCTGTTTTGACATTTTTCTTAGGGCTATTTTCTCCTTTTTGTGATTTTTTTGAAAGTGGGCTATTTGAGGTTTCTTTAAGCTTTTCATTTTTTTTATTTTGACTTGCTTCGGCCCAAAAGCTTTTTCCATGTTGATTTTCTTTTTTATATAAGTTCTTCTTTTTGAGCTGTAGTTCTTTAACTCTTTTATAAAATAGTTTTAGATTTTGTTGAGTTCTTAAAGATTTTACTGCATCATCAACTTTTTCAAGTTTTATAATTGGACTGGGATGATTTGCATTACCTGGTGTTATTCGGATATTTGCAGGCTTTACCAATGATAAATCAATATCATCTAGTTTATTTTTTATATTGTTTTTCAAATTGGTTGTTGTGACTTTCTTTTTTGGTCCAATGTAATCTATTGAACCTTTTCTTGGTCTCAAAGCTCGATTTAATTTTTCTGATTTTAAAACATCATCATCAATATCCAGTGTAACAAAAGCTTCACTATCATTGTTTGTAGTTTTTTGCAAAGAATTTATTTGATTGGATTTACTATCTTTCATTAAATTAACTTTATGATTTACACACATAGGTTCGATTAAGACACATGGTTCATTTCCAATTATTTGAAAATTATGAGCTTTATTTTCAGACACTGAATTTGAATGGAATTTTATCGATTTTAGAGACGTTTTATTTATTTTGATACTCTTATTATCGCACATACATTTGCATTGTGCACAAGGCAATGTTAAATTAGAATTAGATTCATATTGAAGAATACTTGCAGGAAAAATAACTGAACTTCCACCAAATTTACCACAAGCATTTTGAGAACCAGTAGAATCATTATCTAAAGGCTCAGTCTTAATTTTGAATTTATTCATTTTTACCATAGGGATAGAATTATTTTCCTCAACATCTTCTTTACTCATCCAAGATAGTTGACTTTTTAATTCCCTGTCCGTTTTGGCACATTCTACATAAAAATTGAAAAATTCTTCCAATTTGTAACTGCAACGGTGGCACATTTGTTTCGGTAGTAAATCCATTTCATGTACCTACAAAGGAATGAATAACAAAAGTATTTATAATAATATACAACAAGCAAACATGAAGTTTATGAATACTCAAAGCAAGCATTCATGAATACTCAAAGTGCTCATAAAATAACTTTCCTCAGTTAAACAATATAAAGATAAAAAACTAAAAACTATTTTAGGAATGACTCAAAAAACAGTAAAGATACAAATATAAAATGGAAATTATGGCAATTATAAAATAAAATCATTAAAAAGTAAAACAAGGAAACTAACCAAAATGGGCAGGATAGCGTTGATTTTCCGCACATGACTTTCATTCTTGTCAAAAATGTCAACAGAAATGCCGGACTGTTTGCCACACAATCGACACATACGACTCTTCTCCAGAGTCTCCATATTTATCTGTGGTCAGCGAAATTTTCCCTGGTGATTCTTGATGATTATCAACTAGACTGATTGAAATATTGCTGCTACTGCGTTGATAAAAATTCACTGATTTTCCAATTTTGATGCCGATTCGATTTCAGCTTGGAAAGACTGACGGAACCTCGTATTTTTGGCGCCAATTGAGATACAATGTACTACCATCGAATGTATAGATATTAGGCGTCAGATAATTTTTAACGAGTTAATACTAATAATGCAGCCTATGAGCACGATGGTGAACAGTCCTTGGCGCCAAAATCAATCGCATAAGGAGCTACTATTCATCGAGTTTTTGTACATTGTTACGCTGTACATTTGACATAAAAAGGCATTGAACATAAATATTGAAGACTAATAATTATACTAACAATGATGGAACGAAAGCCATACACTCAAGCTATAGAGAATTCTGTCGAGGAAACAAAAGCTCTCCAACGAATAAAGTAATTGCTACACTGTGCACAATGCCTGCTTTATTTTTTTATTTTTCACTGGTTCGATGTTTCATTAATTGTGTAGCCAAGCCATGACTAAGCTAACGCTCATACGTTTTCAACGTGTTGATATAAAGAGTGGGGCCTTTGCTAACTATCTCCGCCTTGAAACTTGACGAGCTGAACCAAGCGTAATATTGAGGACGAGCGACGTTGCGGCTCTCCTTAGTTTTCGTTTGCTGCTACTGTATGAACGGTTCGATGAGGAAGGCAATAAGGAAAAGTCAGGCCACGGCGCGAGAAATGCTCGTTCTGTCTTTCTCACGCGCGCGCCAGAGTTCACGAGAATTCCACTTCTTTTTTTTTCTACTTCTTTCTCTTTCCCCTCCGTGCAGCAACAGCAGTGGAGGCCAGCCGAACGAGAAAAGGTAAACGAGGCACGCACACACGCGCACGCTATATATTCACCACTGCGTTGCGGATCTGCCGCTGCTGGCTGCTACCCTGCTGATGCTTGACAATCATGGCTGATGGCGCCGCGGTCATCTTTGAGAATGGTGGCTATATTGTGATTGGTGGTCACCTGATAACATGGCCGCCCAGTAGGTCATTATTATTATATATATAAGAAGCTGATTTGTTCTTTGGTTACAATTTCAAATTCTGAAACATTGTAACAGTTTCAGATATAGAAACTAAGACTAAGACTGTCTAATTTTTTGTAATTTATTATCTCAAAACACATTATTTTAAAATTTGAAAAAATAAATTAAATGTATAATTTGCTTACGTTGAAAAAATTCCATAACTAAAAAATTTTTGTTTGAACATTTGACAATCAGAATTTAACATTATAGTTGGAAAATTCATCAGCTCCCTATGTATAATGAAAAACAGTAATATATTATTGATATTATAGATAACAATACAACAAACAACATGCATTTGTTGGCGGCCATATTTTCTAGAACACCAATTCTAAGTTCGAATCCGGATCCGGTCCCAGCCACTTGAAAGTTCAGAGTCGGGTCATCAGCATTTTTGAGAATCCAATCTTTTTCCCCTAAAAACAAAATTGTATAGTCGTGGCGTCTCTAGATATTCTCTATACCCATGACCGTCGGTTGATTTGGTTCCACGCTTCCTGCACGTTCCGCTTTGTGTTAACATTTTCAAACTGAGCATTTGCTACCCTGCTGAAAATGTTCCATTGAGATCGATTGAAAATCAATCAATATTAATAGTTTTTAATAAACTCTTATGAGCTTAATTGACATACAAAATTTTTGGTGATTGAAAGTTAACCACAATTACAATTGTATTTAATGTCTATTATAATGAATAATAAATTTCGGAATTATAATTCCATTCAATTTATTTCTAATGTAAATTTCAACAAATTAAATTTAATTAATTTTAGTTAACTGATTTAAATAAAATTTAATCATTATTAATAAGCTTTGTCATTCAATCACCTTTAATAATCATGTTTGATAAATTAATTTAATTTAATTTAATAGATTTCTTCTGTAAGTTCTAATCAATGAAGTTTAATAAAATTGAATGAATCGAATTTAACGAAATATAATCAATATGAATAATCATTGTCATCGAATATATTTTAATAATCATCATTAATAATAATCTCCAAGAATATAATAAGAAGGTAAAAGCAAATAAATTACTCATTTTGTCTAAGGAAATTAATAAATTATATTCATTGAATTTCAAATGTGTTTGGTAATGTACATAAGTACCGTGCATTTTGCGAACATCGACAATCAATGCTTTAGTTGAAACATTATAGATATTGAAACAACGATTTTATTATCTTCGTTCTCAGATTTAATTTTTTTAATGTGTGAAATTCCAAAAAAAGGAAGGTCTAAGAATACTTTGACAATACATAATTCCAAAAAACATACAGTATTATTATCTATAATATTTAACATTCTTCCAAAGTTACCGTCATTTAGAAGAACAATAGTGTCGTCTATTTTTTTCACTCGAGTATAATGTGTGCTATGATACACAGCTCAATTGTAAATACATTTTTTTAAAACTGTGCACCATCCTAAACCATTAATTTCTTTCAATATGCCATTACCACATAAAACTCCATCTTCGACTTGTCTAAATGATGCAGTAAATATAGGAGGATTAAACAAATGTGTACAAAAGTGTATTGTTTCTTTGTTAGTTGTAAAATCTCTCAAATTTCCCATTTTTAAATGTAATGTTTATAAATGTTTCCTACATATTTACTTGATTGATAACTTAATAGCAGAATATTTTTTTCCAACCGAATCCTAAAATCCAAACATATTCTTTTCATAATTAACGATCTACAATGATAAAAAATACATTAGGTACCAGTGTCTTACTTGCAAATTATTACAAGAACTCCCTAAAACTTGATGCATCAAAGTTGCATGGAAGTCAATAGCCAGGGCATTCCGATGATGATTTTTTTATTCTCGTGTCCCACACATAAACTAATGCTCCATTATAGAAAAACAGAATTCTTAAGAAGTACTATTTGCAGACTCAGATTTTCATGAAGCAAATGAAGCTTTACTGGCACTCACCCTTGCAGTCACCAGATTATGAGTGTCTTTTTTTATTCATCCTTGATGGATGTTTCTTGCAGAAGACCTCTTGTCCAGATTGATTCATTTAATATAAATAAAATATATCTTCATAATGAACTAATGTCTTATCTGATTTAGGTCTTATCCCAGTGGAAATTTTGGACGATTTATCGAAGACAACTCGTACCTTAGTGGTTTCGCTGAATTCTTTGATCACAGCGTGATGTAGAAGGTAATACCCGTCATCTACCTCTTCACAGAAAGTCATTGTTCAGAACGACAAAGAAATAACCGAGCGGGTAAAAGGCAGATGATCGCATATGGCGAACATACCTGCCGACGGGCCGTTGCTAGACACGTGGAGAAAATGAGTAGTCCAGTCGTCTTTCACATTTTAACATTTGGTTTTATTGTTTTCGGCTCTTTGCCACCGCCCGATGATCTTAATTGCCCTGATCTCGAAGCGAGTTATTATGCGACATCTGTAAACCGTTCGAAAGTGAGATATTTACGACCGAATCGGGTGACAGAATGAGTGTGTTTAGCAATAATTTGCGGTGTAATAAATGATGTTCATTAGCTTAATTTTATGCGTAGTTTTGTAAGCCGCGTGTTTGAGAAAATGAAAATTCAAACGTAGTTGTCAAAAGAAAGTTTTTTATCGAAATGATTAAGCAATTTGTAGACGTAATGCAGCAATAATACTCGAGGTGCCGTTTGTTCTTTCTTTCCCTCTCAGATACCTTCTATGTGTGCGTGGGCGCATACGTGCGGACCCATGGCCACTACGCCATTAATAAAGATCGGAAGACAAGGTTTTCCGAGGCTGTCACTCCCGAAAGGGGGTTTAACCTTGGGTGATTTCACATGCGGATCGGAGAGCCACGGGGGCGTCGAGGCCGATTGGCATGGAGAAGAGTTAGGAGAGGGGGATGCAAACGGGCACGTTAGTAGCACGCGATTTTCTGAAAAGCCACGCCTCTCGAGTCCCAAACGAAAAATCGAGTGGGAGGAGGAGGGCTGAGGGCCAATAAAGAAAGGGGTTCTCGAGCTCTCGAGCAGGTAAGTCGTCTTTGCACGCGTGCGAAAGTTTGTATTTGCGTCTGAGTTTTGTATTTGTTTTTCGCGTCGTTTTATCGCCTTAGTTAGTGTTAGACTTCGGATGTTTCTTGATTAAAATTTGTTTCAAATAAATTTCGATGATAAGTTATTTCGAACATTACTTATTCCCATTTCTCATTCCGAACAGTCATGTAACCTAATATGATATATTCCTCCATCACCTTGGAGTACTCCACCTTTAACGAATGATCCCTTTTGAATCCAGAGAATAAAAACGTTTGAGAGCTTGAGATTTTGATTCGCCAAGATGAAATTTTGAATCTCGGAAAGGTAAACGGACTACATAACGACCAAAAGGATCCGGTTTGGTATGGGACATGTAATGCTGCTCACAATTAGCGATTTACCGTCTAACCGGTCTGACTATACCGTCAAACTATCTATGCCGTTCATAGCATATATGTGAAAAAAAATTACACAATCAATGGTATAGGCCATGGATTTTGCTTGGGATTTGGCGTATACAGGTGAGCCTGTCCGGCCTGCAATTGTTTATTGCAGTTTTACACTAACAATTTGAAGTTTGAGAAGAAAACGTTATATACGTTTTTGTCATATTTTTTCCATGGCATAGTTAGTTTAGTGCTGTCTCATGCTGTTTTGGCATGGACCTTAATGGGTTAATTCAGCCAGGTAAAAGGTATTTATGGTAAGACTTCAAGAGTGTTTGACCTAACTTGGTGGCATTGAAACCACTTTTGACTAATTTTCTGTAAATTGGTTCAATAAATACAATATAAGGACCAGAAATTTATTTAAAATGAGTATTCATTGATACAGAGTAGTCTTTTGATTTGGCATAATGTAAGTCTGGAGAGGATTAAGAATTGGACTCAGATGATTGAGTGAAAAAGAGAATGAAATCTTGAGAGATGGATATGCTGAAAAGAATTAAGCTGTTGGTTATGAGTAGTAGGCAAAAGCTTATTAGAAAGAGGAGTAAATGATGAAGTTATAGTTTGCGAATGAGTTCCATTATTATTAGCTAATTCTTCTGCTGTATCTATTTCTGCACTTTCTTAAATTTTTTATAGATTACCAGGTACATTAGAATGCATTTTTTGACACTTTATTTTTTTTTGGACACTGGGAAGTTGGAGAAGCTTGAGTCGTAATTCCGTTGCGCTTTTTGTTTATTTTAAACGTCAGTTGAGAACAGTCATTAGAATAGGATTCTGTGGAAAGATTGGAAAAAATATTTGGAAAGCAAGCTTGGTAGCTGAGGTCACCAAAATAATGTTAGATTTAGATGACAGGTTAGGTTCACTGGATTATATGGGATTATTACTGATTTATGAGTAAGAAGTTAAAGCGAAGAAAAGATTAAGTGAGATGAGTAGATATGAGAAATGACAGGAGTAGTAAAGATAAAAAAATGAGTAAATTGATATGTTTATTAAAATCACGCAAACCTGTTCTTTACTACAACTTTCGGTCACTAATGCTGAATTTGACTGTTCGCGTTCGAAATAAATTGCTTTTCCTGCCGCTAATCGAAATCCGCTATCGGTGTAAGCGTCTGCTTTCGCGGCTGGCAACGAGCTTGACGATGAATGCTGCCAGCTGACGGCGACGGCTGATCGAGCGGCAAGGGCGCCACAACCCCCTACTCTAACCAATAAAACGAAAGCTTAACTTTTAATGGCCTTATTTGTAGCAAGCACATGTTTTTGCAGTTGGGCTTCGCAAGTGCTGCACCTGCGATGTTTGTATGTATGTATGTATGTACACCCAACGTGGGTTGAATCGCGACCCCCCCAGTTAGGTTGGTATGAGAATTCCGTCGTTGCATCGGAACGAAGAAACCGCGGGAAAATTCAAAAATAAAAATTCGTTTTAAGATACGATAAAAAGTTAAAACGTTACTAATTTGTTTTTAGGTTTAAAATTAATTGTTTGCCGAACAATGAATTTAGATGCATGATTATTTGATTTTAGGTTTTAATTATATAATTTAAATTGTATCGCGTGAATTGACTCGCGACCCCCCAAGTTAGGTTAGTAGAGTGCTACTTTCAGTCGGTAACGGTGGTTTTCAGATCGGCCATAGTATAACGCTCGTTCTTAAATTATATAATTAAAACCTAAAATCAAATAATCATGCATCTAAATTCATTGTTCGGCAAACAATTAATTTTAAACCTAAAAACAAATTAGTAACGTTTTAGCTTTTTATCGTATCTTAAAACGAATTTTCATTTTTGAATTTTCCCGCGGTTTCTTCGTTCCGATGCAACGACGGAATTCTCATACCAACCTAACTGGGGGGGTCGCGATTCAACCCACGTTGGGTGTACATATATATGTTATGTATGTAATACTTACATACACTACTCAGTCATCAATTTGTGACCCGCGAAGTTCAAAATATCAATGATTTTCGACGATTGAGCATCGATGGCATTAATTCTAGCTAGTTGTGCGGTACAACTTACTAAAATAATTCCTTGATCTAACCTCGTTTGGTGTCATCGATGCTCAATCATCTCGAATCTCAAATTAATGTCCGAGGAGTGTATATGTATATGAACTTCATTCAATGAAGTGCGCGACGTGCATACGTGTGTGCAGCTATGTATTCTACGCGGACACACAATGCATCATAGTATGGATTGCAGCCAGTGCACCGCAATTGCGTATACTTTAATGACAGACAGTCGCGCGCCAGCAGTGTATAGTAGTAGAGCGGTAGGCAGCTATAACAGCATCAACATTAAAATGAGACAGACCCGCCGACTGAATTTATCTTATCAATCATAATCTTCATTATCTTGTTTAGTGATGGTCGCCTCGTCAGATATCAATTGAACTCACACCTCCACGATATACGCTTTGCTTCGACCAGTAAAATTTATTTTTTTTAACGTTTTCTTAACAAACGAGTTATTTTTTTATATACATAAAAAAAACGATTGTATAATCTACACCGAATCAATGGTTCACAAAGTCCTTGTGCCCGAGGCCGATTACACTTTGTTAGCTGGAAAGCACAAGTGAGTTGACAAGTTTTTGTCTTTTAAAGAACTGGAAAAATGTTCATCTAAACTTATTTTCATTTGTTTATATAATTTTTTTAGTTTTTTCCAACTTCTTTTACATACAAATTATATTTGAAATGTACTTTTTTAAAGTACCAGAACAAATGTTTTTTAGTAAATAATTTTCACTTTTTAATTATTTATAGAAATAAATTATATTTCAAAACAACTTCTTTATACAGATTTTCCTGCTGCAACATTGTTGTTGTTTGTTTAATATTTTTCCTTGGGTTTACTTCTATTGGGCTTTTGGCTTACAATTTTTTCAAAACTGCTATTGCAGAGGAAAAATTAGTTAATCATGTCAAAGTTCCATCTTGGATGCATTGGCTATGGAATTATAATGTTACAAATTCTAGTACTTTTACATCTACCATAAAACCAATCGAAGAGTAAGTTAAATCACTGTTTCAATACATATTCCTAAAACTTATTTCTAGCCACCTATTTTCTCTTTTTCAGACACTTTGTTGTTTGCTATTATACCAGTAATAAAGAATCTGGACAACTAGAACTAAATAATATTGATCCTAATCTCTGTACCCACATTATTATAGGATTTGCCTCAGTTGTTAATTGTACTATTGTTTTGAACAATGAGGTGTCAATTCATCAACAAGTAATAGAATTGAAGAAAATTCAACCTAAATTAAAAGTAATGGTTAGTGTAGGAGGATCTGACAATGACTCTGACTTCCCCAAGATGGTGCTTAATCATACCAACAGAAAAACGTAAATGTTGTCTTTGATTCTGATAACTGAGTTGTAAATGTTTCTATTAATTGAAAAATTGTTCGTTTTTCAGGTTTATTAGGTCAGTTTTGAATATGACTAAAACCTTCAAATTAGATGGGTTGGATTTAGATTGGGAATTTCCAGCTTGGGCAAACAAAGCTGATCATCAGAAGCTTCATTTTCTACAGCTGGTTTATGAATTAAGAAAAGATTTCAACCGTAGTGGAGAACAATTACTACTCTCTGCTGCAGTAGCAGCACCTCAAGCTATAATTGACCAAAGCTATCAGATGCCAGAATTGGGACAGTGAGTTCTATTATTTTAATTATGATGAAAATTTACATTTAAATTTTCTGAATAACATAACATAACGCTTTCTACCAGGCATATTGACTTCGTAAATTTGATGTCTTATGACTACCATTTTTATGTGTGGTATTATCCAGTGACCGATTTGAATTCGCCATTATATCCGCGATCTTTGGAAACCGGCTACCTGACGTCTTTGAATGTAAACTTTTCAGCAAATTATTGGGTATTCAAAGGAATGCCAAGAGAAAAGATCGTTATTGGAATTCCACTTTATGGACATTCTTACAAATTATATAATCCGTCTAATCATAAGTTGCAAGCACCTGCGAGTGGTTTTGGTGATACAGGGCAACAGGGATTTGTAAAATATCCAGATATATGCAAATTCTTGAAAAATGGAGCTGTAAAAGTCTCTGTAAATGATAGTCATGTACCATATGCTTATAAAAATAACGAATGGATTTCATATGATGATGTATCTAGTGTTACTTATAAGGTGACTATATATATTATACTAAGCTTATAAAAATATGAATGAAACTCATTCACTTACACAATGGATTAATATTTTTAGGCAAAGTGGATCAGAGACAATGGCTTTAAAGGTGCTATGGTATTTTCTTTGAATACTGATGATTGGAACTCAACGTGCACACCAAATCACAAATTTCCTTTGACAACTGCTGTCAAAAAAGTTTTCATGTCAAAACCAAAAAAATTGTAATGTTTTTTGTATTTTTTTTAAAGACTGGTACTGTAAGTTGTAAATAAAGTATTTATAAATTACAAATTGGTTTTAAATGAAAATAAGCAAAGTAAAGCACAAAAAGCAGCTTAGTTAACTGATTATTTATTTACTATTCATTTCTTGCATGTAATTTCTGTAAGACGTTCAATGCAAGATTTTAGAATGTGTACAATTTACTTACAAAAATAATCAATAACAAAATACTAATTTTATTATAAATTAACGACGGTGTTCTTTCAATTTAAGTTACAAAAATCAATCCTAAAATCATGCAAACTTATAGTACAAACTATTCTTGACTTTATCTATTATTCACAGTTTTTTGTACATTTATAACATTGTTTTGGAATAAGTGATTTTATAATAAATCTTTCAAAAAGAATACATAGAGTTTTACTTTCATAAAGCTGTGAACTAAGAAGCATTGCTCTCGAAAAAAACACTCAAATTGTTTTAAAAACACAAACAATGGTATTGAAATGCAAGCGTTTATAGAACTTTAGTATTGAGTTTCAGCATGAAACGTTGATATCCATCAGATAACCTCTTATCTCCAAACAATTCATCAAGTCTTTGGAGAAATTTTTGAGATTTTTTAAGGCCAGCGAGGATTAATATCTGCATCATTATCATTATAATCCTTACATCTTACATTAGTCTCTGATAACCAGCCAGCGAACAACATTTCAACGCTGGAATTCTATGTATTAGTTTCAATTTTCTAAGTGTATCACCTCGATAGTCAATCATCATTTCAATTGATACTGGGATTTTGGTTATCATCCCACTGTACTTCAATGCTTGGCCATTTGGTTTGTAATACCGTCAACATAGAATTACTGTCTAATATGGATTCTACTGTAATTTCTAATAAAATTGCTTGGCCTCTGTGATACTGTACTTTGTTATTTGGATTACTTCTTGGTAAACCATTGTAGTGATACAAAACAAATGTATCTGGATACGTTCTGAGTTCTTCAGGGAAAAATTCATACATAAAAGATTGAAACAAAATGATACCGTCATTGTGTCGATCTAATTTTTTCTTCATTATTTCAACGCTATAAACAATTATAACGATTATGTAGAATAAGTTACATTTTTTACATAACAAAAAAATTGTTACTTACTATTCAGAGTCAGAAAACAATCCAAGATCAGACAATACATTTTGTAAAGAGTCAGTTGGGATGAAGTTGTATCCATCTTTGTCATACTTTTTAAAAACACGCTTTGCCTGCTCAGCTGGAGTCTCTTCACTTACTAGTTTCTTTTCTGTTGAAAATAGGACAGTCAAGTGTGTTTCAGAACCTAAGACCCAAACTGGATTGGCTGGTGATTTGAGAAATGATCCCACCTCAATATATCGTAATGTTTCCAGTAATGTCAAAAAGCCTACAGCATTTTGCTTATCAATCCCTTTCAACTCTGAAAAATAAGATCATTTATGACTGTAACATTAGTTAATTTGATTTTCAATTTAAAATTAATTTATCTTACTGAGCCCTCCTACTTCCTGATCGTGATCCCAAACATTACTAACTGCTCTGCCACTCAGCATTAAATTAATCAAACTCTGACTCCCATAGCCAAATGTCGAATGAATTAAAGGATCTGCCAAATCAGATATTTCCAAACGGACCTGAGGTATACTTTTTGTTGATATTACCGAATACAAAAGTAGTAATACACCAAATTGGTCCTTGAACATACTGATATTTTCTGTAAAAAACTGTTCAACCTCCTGGATACTTTTTAACATATAAAGCCTAAAAATGTAAAATATGAGAATCCATGTATTCACTAAGAAAAAGGGGGAGTAAGTTCAGAAATGGAGAAAATTGACTACAAACCTTAAAAGGGAGTGAAAAACATTAGAATCCAATGTCAACTCAGAAAGTGGTACACTTGTAATAGTTGCGCACGAGCTTTCAGGCAATACTGATTCCTCGTCTGCCTGTGGCCTTGGTTGAAACAGTTGACCATTGGCTATGCCCTGCTTATCAATAAGAAAAATAGAGTACTTTTCATCTGCAGGATCAACTGCTTGTGCAAGTATTTCTGTCATGGCTTTGACAAGTAACTGATCACTTTTATCCGGTTTCAAGCTCTTCCATGTAGTAATGTCAGATTCAGCGAGTAATTGCTTCAGGATGAAAGCTTGAAGAGGTGCTATCACAGCACATGGTCCTCCTTCAGCTTGAATAAGGGCTGTATTTTCATGAGGACTAAAGTAAAAGCCTGAAATTAAAGTAAGGTTGGAATGGCTGCACGAGATATGATGAATTGTAGATGCTTGAGAATTTTCTAAAAGTGAAAAATAAGGAGACGTCGTACCTTGGGCCCAACGGTGAAAAACCTCTTCCTTGACGGTAGTACCCCATAGCAAAGTTTTGATGTCTTGAATAAGTTGGTTACATGGGACCGTGGTGATACTCAAGCTTTTGGCTGCCATAGCGAAAGCCTTTTTTTCACGGGTGATAAAAGCGCACCGTGAAAAGCTCGCAGCGATCACTTAGCAGTTCCGTTAATTATGAACTATTTATTATTCTAAACAAATACCCATAACCTTTTCACGGACTGCAAATTATTGCCAAGTACCGCGCCATTTTCCAACTTGATCCAGAGCTCTCGTGCCACCGCACCGCACCTCAGTTTAATCGGACTTGCTTATACATGTGTATTATAACTATACAGATATACCTATCGCATACTTTTTTATGTGTTTACGTTGGCTATTCCGTATATATTGGCTTATACACGCTTTTATTTTCGTCTGAAAAGTAAGCGCCTAAGATTTAGCTATATTTTATTAACAATTTATAGTCATTTGTTTCAACTCTGCTTCATTCTTTAACTGTAAGCAAATCTTAAATGCAATTGTTATTTTACTTGCGATTCAATTATTCCGATTTTGTATAATTATACTTCAACATATAAATTTTTATGTTGTAAAAAACAAAAGAAAATATTATTTCAGCACGATATTCCCCCATGCAAATGAAACTGAAAATATTTCATTGCTTATTTTTCCATCTAATCGTTAATTACAATTACAATAGTTTTAACAAGATAACAGAATCTTCCCAATCAAATAGTTCATAGTCTCCGCTTTACATCAAAAACTTTTACGATGTAAAGATATAAACAGAAAAGTAACATATCGAAAAAACTAAAAAAATAACTTTCTCGGAACGGCATCGATTTAACTGCAACTTTTTTACTTGAAAGGTTTTACCCAATACTTTAAAAATTTGCTATTAAAGTAATTTGGATCAGAATGAATTGATCCAGAGAAATATAAAAAGATATGGAATTTTAAGAAACATCCCAAATAGCTCTATTAAAGTATAGTAATTGACGGGTACACTTTATAGGCCACTTAATGTGTTGATCAAATACGAGGGTGCGTCAATAAGCCCTTAGAAAAAGATAAAAAACAATTTTTTTTGATAGATTTTTTTTATTTTTCAACATAATCTTTAACTCAATATACTTTTCCAGGCATTCTTCAAGTTTTTTTTGATACTCCGTGCGCAAAGTGCGTCTTTCCCACACGCTCGGCAGAAAACGTGCGTTGAAAATCGCACTTTCCACACGTCATATCAAAAAATACGGTACGGCATATGTTCGGGAAAGAGTTTCTCGTCTCGCGTACCTTTCCACCCTCGCTCCGCTCGGGCGTAAACGCCACATGAGACAAGAATCTATTTTCCCGCACTTGTATCGTAATGTACTATTACTCAATTGTAAACTGTTGAAAACAGGGGCAGATACACCATGAACTGCATCTAACTCTGCTTTGATTTCTTTCGGTGTAAGGCCTTTTAAATAGAAATGTTTTATCACCGCTCGCAACTCACTTTTTTCCATTGTTAACAAGAAACAAAAGTTGTTCGCTTTGATTGACGATAAAAATGGAACTATTCAATGAATCTGGCTGAAACTTCGGCAGCACTCTATTTAATAGTAATGCTTGCCGGTGCAACATAAGTTGGGATGCTTTAAGCACCATCTCTTGGATTTTCTAAGGACTTATTGACCTACCCTTGTATTAGAAGTTGAGATATTTAGAAAACAACTTATTCCATCAAATTTAATATGAGCAGAACCGGATATAACTTTTAAGGGCCCGGGACTAACATACGGCTGGGCCCACTTAAGGAATTCAAAAATCTGGTCTGACTGATGTGATATTTAAACCCTGGGCCCGGGGCTATTAAACCATCCAAGCCCCTAGTTAAATTCGACTCTGAATACGAGCCCAAGTAAGTGATAAATTATTTTATCATTTTTATAAAATGCTTTATAAATATAAACTGTCGTCAAATAAAGTTGTAGGGTAACAACTACACGGTATAATTAATATTGCATTCCTCATGTAGTCGCTGTTAACGGCTAAAATTTTAATTCGCGAAAAAATTTAAAAAACAAACGTAAAAGCTTGCAATTATGTTGAATCAGATATTTGATTCTAAACTATTTACTCAAATTTGATTTTTGAATATTTGAACTGTTATAAAAACGAGTATTTAATATATAATATTGATCATTTGCTTTTAAAGTAATTTCATTATAGGAACGGGATAATTTGGGTGAGTATGTAAAATGGAATAAAAAATACTAATGTAATCTATGTTGCAATTCTTATCAATATAAAAATATTGGTGCACGGCACAAATATACTATATAAATTCATGTCTACTATGCATTATGATTATAAAGTCTTATTTATATGTGAAAATATTATTTGGGATAAAACCAGGGTGAATTAGCAGTACAAACTTTAAATTAAATGGTTAATTTTACTTTTTAAAAAATCTTAAATGAATTACATACAAACATATTTAATACTGTACAATTTTTATCTTAATCTACGACTCTTATCTTATATAATCCTGGGATAGTTTTCAAACAAAAGGGTAACAAAGGACAAAGTATAACATGGCTTTACAGACTGGCTTTGTTAGACATGCAGTTGTTTGTATTTTACGTTTTAATATGATCATATACATTTTGCATAGTTATAAAATTTCCTTTTCTATCTTTATCTTTTTAGCTGATTCTTCTCCAACAAATTATTAAAAAAATATGTTACCTTGAGAATAATTAATTTAGAAAATAAAATCTTTTCTAATTAAATCAATATATTTCGAACCACCAATTTCATTTAAAAAAATAGTATTTCCTTTTTATAATGGAACGAATTGACAATAACAAAACATTTTTCATTAATAAATACTCATTATTCTTAAAAAATGTTTACTGATATTTTTGTTATAAATTAATCGTTCGCAAATTAGAAGTGCCCATCGTAATCTTCTGAAAGAGAACAATTTTTCACAACGATTACTCATCATACTACTTACTTCATAGTTCATAATATACAAAAGTCATCTATGTAGTGTTATGGTGATTTCAATTATTTTGATGGATTTGTAAATGAGAAATTTTTTAATTTTCTTTATATATATTTGCAAATCAAGGACAATTGGATATTCGTAATCTAATTTTGTACTTTTATTAATTAAAATAAATAGTAATCGATTATTTATATAGACGCCTGAATGTGCATATGAAGGCATATCTAAAAGTCATCTCTCAAAGGGAGCTTTCAGCATCTTATTTAAAAAATATTCGACACATTTTGTTTTATTAAAATAAATAAATGCGTCCGATATAGAATAAATGAAAAGATGACTTTTAAGACATCTTAAATTTTAAACTATAAATGGTGTTATCCATTTTAATATCCGACATTTTATCAATATAAAAACTTCTACTAACGCTTTATTTGATGACTTTGGGACAGCCCAATGCAAACGAGATAATTACAACATTGACATTTCTTCCATTATTTTTATCTTCACTTTGCTTCAGAAAATTTTTCCCTTAGACACTTAATCTTATTTACAAAGTACGTCTCCAAAGATTCCGCACATTTAAAAAATGGCGATTCCTTCGGATTATAATAACGACAATTGTCAAATATCTTGGTCATATCACCAATGAATTCACTGAGCTTTTTATAAGTTCGATCATTAATTCTCAGTTCAATGGTTTGGAGATCTGAAAATCATTTATGAAAAAAAATTAGGAATCAAAAGTTTGAAGTAATATCAATGAAACTAAACAGACGTGATATATGCATACCCATTGGTTCTTTGATGACTTTATAATAGTCTGGTGCTTCATTAGGATCGACGGGTTCCATAAAAGGCCAAGCACTTTTGTGTCCCTGTCAAAAATATCAGTTTTACTAGAAGTTAAATACTCCGAATTTGTTATCGCCACAGTTAAAAACTGTCAAAATGACGGTTACCTGTATTTGTTTGATCAACTTTTTCAAAAGATCAAGGTCCTTCATATTAAGATTTTTCATATTGGCAAAATTTACAGACGAATTTCGTTGACAATTTGGACAAACATACTCATCAATATTGTCAGCCTCTGATTGAAGAATGCCTACACATCTACCGTGGAACCAATCCTGGCATTTGTCACAGCAAATATAAAATCTGCAAAAATTATAATTCTGTCAATTAAGCTGTAAAAAGTAAAGTAATAAAAGGTACAATAATTAATGAATTAAAACTTACTGAGATTCGTCATATGGCTGTTTACACAAACAATATAGTTCCTGAGTCTCGCGAGCATGGCGGCACTCTGTACAGACAAATTCTGACATACTTTTGCTCATTTCTTCAGTTATACCCACGCAGTCTCCGTGGAACCAATTGTTACATAAATCGCATCCAACATAAAATCTACAATAATTTATTGACAAATTAAGTATGTATATAATAAAATTTGTGATTTGTAAGAGAAAAAATTAACAAATGTACTCACTTAGTTTCGTCATAAGGCGTCCTACAAAGGCAATAAAGCTTTTCTTTCTTTATTCTACTCGACATTGATGGGCCGACAGCGGAAGGGTGTGCGGTTTTTTGTTTCTTTGGCGTTCGTCTGTTAGGCGGACTTATTTGTTGAGGTGGCTGAGCATTAGCTTTACGTTTTGCGCTTCCTACTTTGACTTCATCTTGTTTATTACGCTCAGCTTTAGTTCTGTTAGCAAGTTCCATTGAAAGATCTTTCTGCAAAAATAGATAAGGGGTACATTTAGTATTTTCATTTTAAAAAAAACTGAATTACAATTTTCGTAAATATTTACTTGAACGTCAATTTGTAGTTCTTTTTCAAGTAAAGCTCTCCTTTTTAAAATATCCTTCTTCAGTAGCTCTTTATGCCTAAACAAAAGGACTTGCATTCTTGAATGTATTTGCTGTTTTCTCCTCAACTCTTGTGTTTCCTTCATTTTATTAGAACGATTTTTAGCAGACGAGTCATTTTCCAATGATTCGGGCTGCTTTTGCAATCTACAGAAGAAATTTATGTATATAATACGTCTATTATAATAATAAGAATTGATAACAACGCAAATTTTACTTATTAACATCTCGCTGTTCTGGTTTTGGCGGAGGTTTTCTCTTCGGTGTCTCTACAATCCACTCGGTATCTTTACCGTCTCCAATAGTAGTTGTTGCAGCAGGCGTATGAGCTGAAGGGATCGGTCGTCTGCGCGCAGGCGGTCGAGAAGTTGATACAGGTGTACTTTGATGACTTTGAGCACCAGGAGTAGAACCTTCTGTACCTTTCATTTGCTTTTCTTGGTATCTTTGTAGTTGTAATAACTTTTCTTCTATTTCCGGATTAAGGTTTTCTTGTTTTAAAGCATTTTTTATAGCTGTAATTATGAAAAACATTTATACGAACATTTATATAAAAATATAAAAACATTTATACTTTTTCAACCAACTATACATATTTAAATATTGTTCAAAAACATACTTTGTTGAATGTAATCTGGAGTCAGTATAAATTTATTGCCTGCAGCTGCATTTGTATCTTTAGATGTTTCACCTGGTTGTTGACCATTGGCAACATTATTTTTTTGTACATCATCTCCCGAAGTCGTAACTGGCACATTTCCTCGCACTTGTTGAACAACTACCTTTGCTTTTTTTGGAGAAGTAGGTTCTACTTTAACTTCGGTTTTTGCTGGAGTACCGGGTTCAGGTTTTACTAAAAAAAAAAGAAACATTTAGAAATATCATCGGTTAACTTGACGTATCGTTACTCACCAGTTGCATTTGATTCGGACTTGTTTGAAGAAGCGTTTTGAGATTGTTGGGCTTGAGAACTGGTTGGAGGTTGCACCGCTAGATAAATCTTTGTTGGTCCTAAAACACCTTGCTTTCCTTCTTTGGCTTGAGCCTTCAAAAGCTGCTGTTTGACCTGCTGATGGACAAGGGATAACTGAGCAGGAGTAAAGTCAGTTCCATGCAATCCTTGCAACACGATTCGCGGTCCTTGTGCCGTTTGAATGACCTGAGCAGTCACACATTTTATGGTAGTGCCTGGAGGTTGTCCTGCCAGCAAAGAAGCTTCTACGCTTCCTGGTTCCGGAGTATTAGGTGTCGCTGCTGGCGTAGATGTTTTTAGAGTGGCTGTTGCTGTTGATGTTGTCACGGTGTTCGGAGAGTTGTTTGTAGTATTAACTGAAGTATCAGCAGACGCGGATTCACCAGTTGTGCTCGGCGCTTGTGAAACAGGAGTTCCTGTTTGAGTTTTAGCTGGTGTAATAGCATTCCTTACGATAATACCTGCATTGCCTGAGTTTAGTTGAACTAAATTTCCTGCATTTAATATAACTTGCTGACCATTTATGGTAGCTAACTGAGCTTTGCCTGAAGCCAGCTGTTGTGCTAAAGTGGAACTACTGACTACTATTTGATTCGCAATGACTTGACCGGCCCCTGGAAGCACCTGTTAAAACGCAAATAAAAAATCAACGTTTAAAATTGTTCTTTACGGAACTTCGTATAATAAAATTTTTTATAAATTATTCACCTTGGTGCCTTGCACAACTTGACCAGCATTAGTAACAACGATTGTGCCCTTTTGAGGTGTACCAATAGAACTTGCAACCGCGGTAGGACTTACAATAGCAGCCTTTAGTCTCTGACCAGCTTGGACGACTTGTTGCAGCTGTATAGGAGTCTTCTGAGTTCCATCGGACTGCACCTGGTTAGTTACTAGCTTAACCGATGTTGGCTTCACAGTCGGGGTAGTATTTGATAGACTGACTGCATTTAACGTATTAGTGGCAACTTTTGCGCCTGTCTGACTAACTGAAGTAGCAGAAGGTGTCGTGGTTACAGCATTTTGTTGTGGCGTTGTTGCTGTGACCCCTTGAGATGTATTAAGAACATGTAGCTTTCCGTCTGGCATCTGAACCAATTGCTGTCCAGGCATGAGACCGCGAACCTGCAGTTTTCCGTCTGGCCCACGTAATATTTGTACTTTTTGCTGCACATGTTGAGTTGATGTTGCTGGAGTTCCTGAAATAAAATTTTAATTCTTTAATTACTGTCAATACAGTCAACAAAAAGTATTTTTTTCTTACCTTGACCGGTAATTTTGATTAATGATTGTTGATTAGGTGTTTGTCCCTGTTGCTGAGGTGTCTTCGGCAATATATTTGTTGGCCCAGATACTACTCTTGTAGTTCCATCAGCAGCTGAAAAAGAACAACATATTTTTTAACAAGTCAAATGAATGAGTCAGAAGAAAATAATATTCAATACCTTTGGTCATAAAAATCCTTCTAGTACCGACAAATTTTGTTTGATTAGGTGTAGAAAGCAATGATGTCAATTGCGATTTTCCTTGCGGTGTATTAGGATTAGCAGGTATAGCCACTTTGGTGACAACTTTGAAAGTACCATCTATAACAAATTAAACGTTTTAAAATAACTGTATTATTTATAATTCCAATATTCTAAGCATTATAATAATATAATAAATGACTGTTTCTTTACCTTGAGCGGAGTTTGTAGTAACTTTAACCAACTGAGTAACAGGAGTACCAGGAGTGCCAGTTTTTGAATTTTCCAAAGCTCGTTTTTGTTGATGTGCTGCTCTTTGGAGTCGTAATTGTTGTTCCATTTTTTCTTTGATTTCTTCAGGAGTTGATTTACCACTAACAAGCTGATCTGATCCAGTAAGAGCGTTTGTAGCTCTATTACCACTCACAACTACTTGAGGTCCGCCAGATCTACTCCTAGTAATAATCTGGGCATTAGCCTTCTCTAACCTAAAATGAGACACACGCACCAAGCAAAGGAGTTAGTATAAAGTACTGTTAAAAGCTAGGACAGGAATTTAATTAATGAGAAAGTTTATAAAATTATAGATTAAACTTTATAGATAAGCGACGTTGTTAAACAATTGAACATAATTAAACAATTTTCTGAAGCCCGAGATGTTTTGGAAGAGAACATGATGAAATTTAACGTTGCAAAAGCTTTTCAATAATAAAATGATAAAAGAAATACCTTTCTCCATATTGCTTTATTTCCCACAGTTCAAGTTTATCTTCATCGACCCATTCTTCAGATACTTGAGGTTCGGTGCTTTGTGGTGATTCCGGCCGTTTTCTTTTTCTTAAACCACTTCTGATGGAAGTTACTTCTAAAAATTTCATATGGCATGTCAATATAAACATCAATCAAATAACTACATATTGCTGATTAATATGTGATAGTTTCTTACCTCTAACTTGTTTGGGTAATTCTAATGGAATGACTACTTTTCTACGTAAATACTGAGTCTTATCCATAAATTGACCAACATGTCTATGCTTTAAAATTTCAAGAGACATAATCTCAGTATCAGTAGTGATCTGATGTTTACCATCATTTGACATAGGTTTAGTGGAAACATCATCCCATCTAATGCATGACCACATTATTCGCAACTGGAGTGCAGCAGCAGCAATAGATTTTAAACCAACAGTTCGATATAACCAACAAGTCTTAAAAAGTGGTCTTGGACAAGGATAAGGCCATACTGACATGTTTGCCTATAAACATTGTTTAAAGTAAGGGAAATAACGTAAAGGAAACAGAATTAGTTAATAAGAATTGAAATACCTTAGCGACTTGATGGAATCCTTGAACCGGTTGTCGAGCACCACTTCGAGCTAATTTTCTCAATTCATGCTGTGGTAAAACTAATATACTACGGTGCTTGTTTTTACTACAAAAAGTCGAGCATAGAGGATATTTGACAGGCGTTCGTTTTTTTCGCCTGTCGGCCAAAGAAATTGTAACTTTCTTCAAGTAAACTTTTCCCTCTGTAGAGGTTGCAGAATATATTCTTTCAGAACCATCGGCATTCAGTTCTTTAGTGTATATAATACGCTGCACAGTTCTTCCTCGACGATTTACAATGGTGGTGGTTTTAGGTGAGGTAGACGATGTGATGCTTTAATATTAAAAATAATTTATTATTTCACGAGGTAAAATAGTGACAAAAATATATGTAGTTATTAAATTTAAGAAAAATTACCTTGTTTTCACTTCAGATTTTATATCAACAGAATTAGAAGAAGTGATACTTTCTTGCATACTCTTTACAACACCATCAACAGTCTTCATCTGCTGCGTTGTGGTAGTTACTGTAGTTGTCGTCACAACGCTATTCGTTGTAACAGTTGTTTGATTACTCTGATCAGTATTTTCATTCTATAACAGAAAAAAATAATAATTTTGGTAATAATGCATAACCATTTTGAACCATATTATTTTGTCGAAATTACCCTTACCTGTTCAAGTTTTATTTTCTTTGTTTGAGAAACACCATCACTATCATTTTGTTTCTGATCTGTGACATTACTTTCACTTTTAATGACTTTATCTTTAACATCTTCGTTAGATTGCATTCTAATAGATGGAAGTTTATTTACAGAACCTGTAGTAGAAGTAGCCGTTTCAGTTGAATTGGCATTGTTATTTAAAGCATTAGCTCTCCTAAGTAAACTAACAATTTCGCGTTTCAGTTGCATCTTCCTCAAACAAAGAGGCGAGTAACAATTGATAGTTAAACTCTGCTGTGTGATAACTGTTTTGTTGGTTAAATTCTGACTAGCCAAATTGCAGTATCGAGAATAACAAGCCATATTTTTCCCTCCTAGGCGAGTTAAACTTCCATATTGTGCTTGAACCTGCTTCAAACGTTTTCCTATAGCATTCAAAAGATCTTTTGTATTCGCACTGACGATCTTCGCTTGTTTGCCGGATGAAGCATTTGGTGCTGTAGGATCGCACACACCACCAGCAGTATTCTCCCCGTTGCCTTCAACATCAACGTCGCCCTCATCTTCGGTTTTCGGAGTAATCGATTTATTTGTTACTTCGTTCAATTTTTCTGTCTGAAATCGTCGCTCTTCTAAAAGTTTCAAATGCGTACGTCGAGCTAGAAAATCATCGACTCGTGATTTTTTTGCTATTTTTGGATAAAGAATACGCCCTGAAGTAGTCAAAGCTTTAGTTATGTCAATTTCATTAAATTCAATAACTGGTTGGAAAACTTTTTGAATCTTCATGCCAGCTAAAACTGAAAAATAAAAAATATATATACATTTTATTAGTAATTAAAAAAAATATTCAAATAAAGGTTTAACGAAACGTAATATTTTGATATTTAGGATAAAAATTAATTGTAGATACTCACATGGAATACTTGGTTTCATTTCTTTGGCCGATTCAGCTTTTATTTTAGGCTTATGTTCGCTTGTTTCTTCTTTTTTACCTTTATCCTTACAGTCTTCGGTACTATCTGGACTTTGATTTTCTTCTTTTATTTCATCTTTTTTATCACCTGATAAATCTTCAGATTTAACTTCTTTAGGGATTTTGTCTTTCTTATCTGAACTTTCATTCGTATCAGAACAATATTCTTTGACTAAAAATTCATATGTTGAAGGATCAACGGCTAAAATTTTCAAGCCTACTTGATCTCTTATTTGAACCATAATTTTTTGAGGGCCAGCTTTCAAACCCATTTTACTAATGTCAGCAGGTTTATGCCTGCGGCTTGCCGATATCCAAAGCCATCCCCACTGTCCATGTACACGGTATTCCTCACCTTTCTGCTTCCAGATTTGGTGCTTTAATCCAAGCGTATATTTAACGAAATTATAAGTCAAACGATTTCTTTCCTCTTCATCTTCTTTCTCTTTTTTTTCTTTTTTGTCAAGCCGTTTTTTTTCTTCACGCTCGAGTGCCGTAACCCTTTGAAGTTTCACGTGGCCTAATTGTTCATGCCAAACATTAGCAAAAACAACGGATTTGATACAAGCTTGAAGAGCTATAAGGGCTCTTGCGAATTCTCGTGGATTTACACAAGTACCAACCGCTGTAGTCCAAGGTTTACGTAGTAATGGCCAATTTGTGTGCATAAATGGCGCTGGAATGCTACTTTCCAGTTGTAAAATCGTTTGCCGAAGAGTCTGCACTAACATTGCACGTGGACCAGTCAAACTCCCAATCCACTTGAATTCTATAGATTGAGCTAAAGCAAATTTATGCGAGAGGTGTCGTTTCTTATCACGTTCTTCATTTCGTTGCGCTTTGTTCAAGGCGATTGCATTAGTGCTGTACTGATTCACATATGACTTGAATGAGTTATCCATTCCAAGTTTAAATAAATGAGTACCAGTTGCTATTTGATGGGCTTTTTGACGTGTTAATCGTTCGTTGTTAACTTCCTCTTTAATCACAAGCTTTTCCTGTTTGTCTTGTTTCTCTGGTTTATCTTGTTTCTCTAGTTTGTCTTGCTTGTCTTGTTTCTCTTGCTTCTCTTGTTCCTCCTTTGACCCTGGAAGAGGTTTTTTTTTCAACTCATCAATATTGAAGGTTCTAGGTGTTAAAGAACCAGTTTTTGATCGAGTCACAATATTATGTTTTTTACCTATAATTTAAAATTAAGTTAATTTACTTTACAACACACTTTTACAACTATAATGCTACATTACTTAACTAGTCCGTGAAAATATGTTCTAGACAAGAGACATTTCCCGAACATGTTAGGTACAGTTTGTTTTCAAAATAACGCGTGGAAAGCACAAATTCAAACACATGTTTTTCGCTGACGGAAAAGTCGCACTTTCCGCACAACGTGTTGAAATAAAATTTACATCAAAAACTTACCATCTTTGTCAACACCTTCAGTCATTTCTTCTACTTCCATGTCTTCAGCTTCTACTTTATGTTTTTCTTGATCACTTGAGGTTTCTTCTGTTTCCATGGATTTTCCAGCATTTTGTTCTTCATTTGCTTCAGGACTTCTACTTTCTACTTGTTGCACTGAATCATTTTTCGTTTGAGATTCATCATCTTCAGTTTCTTTTTTGACTTCTTTTTCCTTTTCTGCTTTTTCTTCTCGTTCTTTTTGCACTTTCAAAATAAGAGCTAGAAATAAATCAATCAGATGAACATTTCCTTAATCAAACTTCTCATATAAAAAATGACAAGATATATTTACCATTTTCTACTTCCAAGTATGATTTCTTATTGCCTTTATACTGATTAGTGATGGTTTCTGTCAATTCCATTTGACGTTTGATTTCATCCTTGTAATCAGACAATTCTCTATAGAGTGCAACCTCCATTTCAGTTTTGTCTAGAGAATTCATTAATTCTTCCAACTGCAAAGGTGTACTGTAATACCATATTTCTCCATCTTCACTTTCACTGTAATAAATAAATTCACAATAAAAATCAACAATTAAATGAAATTCATTCACAAATGTATTAACATAACAATAGGTACATGAAAACTCTTCTGACAAGAAACCAATACTTTCTTCCATGTCTATCAAATCCTAAATGTTCTTGTCTACACAGCAAGCCATTTTTTTCAACATCAGGTATGCAATCCATCACACCTGCTATTTTATGAGCTTTACATATATTACATTGCCAATCTTCAGGTGGAACATCTACAAGTGGTGGTTCAACACATTCTAAATGAAATACTGCAGGACACGTTTCGCAACATAATAAATCACCAAGTCTGTGACAAACTCTGCAATGATCATCATAATCTTTGTTTCCTGTTAACAGAAATTTGTGTAGAAATGAATTGATATAATTTGTTTTGTTAAACTTTTTAGAAGACTTTTATGATGAAATACAAATTTATATTGAAACAAATTAATTGCAAAATGTTAGTGCATAAATTGTTGTAATTTATTAACTTTGTAAGTACTTTTATGCTCAAGAATTAAAATTTTAATAGAATTTACATATAAAGTTGCAATGAAATAATAAATTTCTGATTAATTCTTAGACTGATAATAAAATTAGGATTTTTGAGCATTACAATAAAAACATGAAATGTAAACATACCTTCATGAAGTAAATCCTCTCGTACAGGATTAGTTATAAGGAATTGTCCAGTTAAAAATTGTAAAACTTTAATTCTATCCTCAATACCAGAAAATGGATATTCTAAGTTTGATAAAATGTTTAAAATATTTTGATCAAAGGCTTTATCACTTTCAACATATGATCTCAAAACTTCTGGCCAGGTCATAGCGTCAACAAAGTATAGACTGATATTAACAGAATCTTTTTGATCAAGAGGGCCAAAGTGAGTTTGTTGCGAGTCTTCTTCTCGCAATAAAGCTTTAATAAGGGTTATATGAATTTCAGCTAACAGGTTTGATTGTTCCTCACAAGTCATGGCTGCACAAAAGTCTTCAAACCTGAACGGAGATAGTCTAAGTAGAGTACGGAAGTGCCTGAGAACTTCATATATAGATAGACAAGGCATAGCCAGATCTCTAGGAACTAGCAAGTCATCTGAACACTTCGGTAGCTCCAAAGGAGGTAGTTCTCTATTCTGTAACCACAACGGTTCCGGGCTTGGAGGTCTCTGTTGGCCAAGAAGAGCTCTCCTCGGAGTACCACTAGTGGTACTGAAACTGGACAGCGAAAAATCACTGTCGCTGGATGGATCAGGCTCCTCAATACTATCAGAGGAATCATCGTCGCTCTGCAGCAATGGGTCATCTTCAATTTCACTTTTATCGCTTGACTCATCTCCAAAATCAGAGCCATAATGATATTCAGAGTCATGGTAATCTACACTGGTATTGTAACCACGACGCTGGTAAGCTGAGCCCGAGTGGCCACCCTTTCTTGAGTGTTTGCCCTGCAGGGGCTTGGATTTGCGATTGCGCGTGCTGCGCCTGGTTTCCTCTCGATTCTGCTCCTCCTGAGGTGAAGTTGACCTGGAGGCGTTGGGCGTAGCGGGCTGTGAACTCGGCGTGTCGGAGCCCTTGGACTGTAGATACTTGGGTTTTTTCATGAGGTGGTACTGGAACTTCTTGGGCCGCTCCATTACCACCGACTTGGGCGGGCGACCCCGTCGCTTGCCGCCCCGTCCAGTCATCTTGTTGGCTGTCACGACTGCTCTGGCACTGTTGTCCGAAAAAGCAAAACAAATGGATAAATCAGCGGCTGACTAATAGGTCATTTGCTCGGTACGTCGCGTTTGCCGTTATTCAAGTCTAAGTTTTGATGTTTTTAGCGCTATCTCTGTCTCCGACTGCTTAGCACGTGGCGCGGCTGTCAACAAAGGGTTTGTCGAGAAGCAGTGTCCGCGGCAGCAGCAGCGGCAACATTATCAGCAGACGTTTGCGTCATTTCGTCGGAGGTCTGCAGTGCTCTGCTTGCTGCGTCTTGCCTCACGTGACCCTGCTGCTGCGGCCAGTAGGACATATCACGACGACGAGGACTACTTCGGCTGTTGCCCCCGGGGATCGTGCAACAGCTGAGCGCCAGTGCCGTAACTCGGTTATCACCGTCGTGTGGCTCGCCGAGTTCTCTCGCGTTCTCGTGGCTTGCTTGAAGCGACGGCTGACTGCGGCTGGCTCTCGCTCTATGCACAAGGGTTGCAAAGTAGAGCCGCATGCGCGCTCTTTCTCGCTCACCACCACGGGACGCACGAGCGCGACAAAGACGGACGGAACGGCCGATGAGAGCCCGACGCCGATTGGCCAGTCGCCGTGGCAGCCTAGGCGGCCATCGCCCGACCTCCCGACAGCCCACAACTTCTTCGCAGTCCTCTTTCTTGGGCTGGCGCGATTTGGTTTCACCGCCGACCTTACCTGAGCACCTGCTTCGCCCCTAACACAAGTTTTCCACTTAAGCGAATCGCGGCGACGATACTATGAGTTTTCTCGAGGTGGCTTAGCGGCGGCCAATCGCGTGGTCCGTTGCTTCGCTGCCAGCCGCTGACACTTGGGCACCGGATGGCGCTGGTCTCGCGCGCGCCTCCGAAAAAACGCAATTCCTATGTACGGTTGCCGGCTGCGACCGACGTACGAATCGTCGTCGCTGGCGGGACCTTTGTCAAGGAATACTCGCACCAATGCCTGGGCTTGCACCGAATCGGACGCTCGATAACAGTACTCAGTTACTGATTCAGGAATCCTAACCTTAGTTCGAGAGATGCTTGGACAGAGGACACCACACTCGCGCGCTCTCCCCTCGTTGTTCGGCTTGCTCTCACATTGGCAATACAATTTGTCGATTGTGCACGACCGACTGGCAATCCCTACTGGTATTGCGAACTAAAGGAGGCCGCGTTCACGCGATCGTTGCTAGCAAACTCGAGCCAATAAGCTTGCTGTTCACTACAGCTTTTCCGCGTTTTCCCAGAGCGAGGGCAGCGCAATGTATTTTTTACACACACTCACAACACACACCACCAGTCTCACTGATGCAAAACGCGCGCCATCTGTAGCAGCCAGCCACCAGCAGCGCCCTCCAGCTCCCCCACCTCGTAACGCCTGCCCGCACCGACCGTGATGAAGCCCTCAGTTATTATTCGTGTTTTCCGCTAAAGCGATTTTTTACCAAATGATAACATTTTTTGCGTGGACAGTAGCTCTAGCAAATCGAAAAAGATGATGAACGCAATTACCTGACGTTGTGGCGTCTTGTCTAGCACGATATTTTCGCTACGTGCAATAGCCGCTGCTCGTTTGCCTTGTCACTGTCGCCATCTTTAGAGGGAATTCTTTCAAAAGGCTGATTTTTCACTTTTTCAAAATGTAGCGCGTTTTGCGCGATAATTATGCAGCTCCTTCGCAGAAAGTTAATTTATCGGACACTTTGACGTATTGTTTTGAAAAATAATGGAGTAGTGCGATTCGGAGCGATTATTACAACAGAGCTGCGCGCGCAGCCGAGCGCAGGCGCAGCAGGCTTGGCGGTCAATTCAAATCTGCGCTCTCTTCCGCCGGTTCGCATTTGCGCTACCTCGTGGGAGAGCCGGCGCTGGTAGCGTACAATGTAATATAACCGTAAATAGGATTGGATAGGTGATAAGCCATGAGTGGAAACGAGAGAGGTATAGAGTAACAGAGAAGGAGTGAGCGAGAAAAAAGGAAAATGGCCGACGCCAAAGGAAAAGGAAGAAATCCGAGGGTACGCGAAGCAAGTGTGCTGCGTAGAAGAGGTTACCCGTAGTGTGGTGAGGCTGCAAAATAAGCAGTACAACCCAGAGCATGTACAAGCTCAAGCCGATACTCGCGCTACCGGAGCAGATTCCGCTGCCGAAGGTCATGTACGAGCTCCCAAAGATCCAGGGCGTCTCGAGCGCGGTGCCCTCGAACATCACCGTTGAATACAACCATCAGGTTATTCGTTTTTCAAAGGTTTTCGTTGTTAACCAAGCTTCTGTAAATTTGGTGTTCTGTTCGCGGAGAGTTCGCCTACCTGGGTGACAAGTGCAGATGCAAAGTACTCACGTGGTCAATGCAAGGTCGGTTGAGCTGGCCCATCGTGGCTGCGGCGGTGCTGCTGACACAGCTGGCACTCCCGAAAAACTGCTACGCACTGGTCGCCATCGTGCTGATGACGATGAAAACGCACCTCGACACTCGCGCACGCACGTGAGAAACTGTGAGAAAAAATTGTCTATCGAGTCCCGGACGAAAGCGCCAATTGCGACCCGCGATGTACTTGTAAATTTATGCTGTTTTGTCCTAGCGATGTTCTCGATCGATGGCGACTGCTCGTGGTTAACTTATTGCCACTGTACGTATTGTGTGCGTTTTTCCCTTGTGCCCCTCCGCGCGCGCTTGTTATACGATCATCTTTTCAAATTGTCACGCGTGCTACTCAGGATTTATTATTGCGACAGAGAAAACATGCCGCGAATCATCTGACTTGAGTGAAAACTGCAGAGAATCGTCAGAAAAGCATAAACCCAGTTGCTTATCCACAGAAGCTGTAGTATCATTATTTTGAAATTGTTTAAATACCGACTTTATGTATGTCGGTTGTATCATTGCGTGTTAGGCCATACTTATTTTATTTCAATACCAGTGATAAATGACAACAATGGAAAATAAGAAAAAACTGCTTTATTTATTTGATAGATTACACAATTTTTAAATGTCACTTTTTTTAAATCAAGTCTTTGTTTTTGTTGTAGACACAACTACCAGAATTCAAGTTCTTGGAATCTCGACAATTGCAAATATTGGAACAACTTCGTCAACTAAAAGAACAACTTGATGGCCTTTTTATTTCTATAGGGCAGTCCGATGTCAATAAAGTCTCTAAATCTACGAATTCTAACGTCAATAAAGTCTCTAAATCTACGAATTCTAATGTCAATAAAGTCTCTAAATCTACGAATTCTAATGTCAATAAGGTAGGCAATTTTTTGTTCATTCATAACTTTTTTATGGTGAAATTTTGATAAAATTTACATTAAAATTTGTACAGCAATCAGTTCAGGCAGAATTAATTTTGTATGCTAATCCATTCAGTCGTCCGTACATATTGATAGCACTACAGAAAATTTGGACAGATACCAATTTCAATGTAAAATACTATTGTCACTCTTCAATCTCTAATGATGAAACATATTACTTTGAAAAACAATTATTTAGTATGTTAAATGATAATGCTATTCACAGTATAGACATTACACTTATATGGAAAGATGGTAAGTGGATTTATAGCTTAGATTGTTGTCAGTTACACTATAAGTTTATTGAATCCTAACTAATACAAGCAATTGATTTTTTTACAGTTAGAGATGTTCAACTTGTAACAAAAGCATATGATTATCCATTAGAGGGTGAGGCTAATGTTTTGAGGTATTTTACCAGATTGATAGCAAGTTATAATTATGAAGATTTAGAAAAGTCTTATTTAATAGACCATGTACTAGATCTTTGCCTTCAACTTTCTTGTGAAGAAGTTGAAGATGTAGAACCCATTGCAAAAAAAATTGCCAATCATTTAGGTAAAACTTCATGGTTCTTGAATTTCACTGAGGCATCACCTGTAGATGGAATTGTTTGGTCAACAACAAAACGCTTTTTGCAATATAGAGTCCCACCTGAATTAGATAATTGGTTTAAGTCGTGTGAAAAATTGTTTTTATGTTGTTAATTTTTTCTGTACTATATTAATAAACTTATTATCTTTGTACATTTGACTGTAAACCTTTCTAATTTTCTAATACATATTTTTAATAAGGGCAACAAATGAAATATAAGTCTCATAAATTCTTATTGAAAAGAGTATATATTCTAGAACAAATTTTTTATTACAAATTCGTATTAAATCAGTTTTTTCACTTCTTATTGCATTATTGTATAAATAATAAAAAATTTGAACATAAAAGAGTTTATTGGCAGCGATTCAAAAGCTTGCAAGCTTTTAAATTAACAATTTATTATAAAAAACACCAAACGGTGGTATTTTATATATTCTAATTAAGCTCTATGTTATGTGTACTCAATATTAAAACTTGAGTTATAACTTTTATATAAACGCGAGATATGATTTTCACATTCAGACACATGATCTTGGCCTTGCAGAAAAATGTGTTGATCAATTGATATTTCGATTGACAGGCAATACTTAAAACTCGTTAATCAACGGTAATAAATATTATACTACATTTTTAATTATAATTATTACGTAATAGATAAACTTCTTCAATACAAGCCTGCGCTTTGATACACTTTTCGTAAAGAGCAGAATTGATACTGTTAGAAACCTTATAATCTATTGCAGTTTCATCAGCCTTTTTTTATACAATAATCCTCGAAGCTCTTTACAAGAATGAATGCATGTTACACTCGCATTTATTTTACATTAAATTTTCAAACTAACATTATTTGATAACAAAGAGCTTGTAAATTCAGATATGTCACTTACCAGTTTGTATTGTATTGTAATGAATAAGAAAGTATTTTTTTAAGTATATGTTTTCAAAGTAAAAAAAAATTTCATATCAAACTGATAAGTACAAGAATTAGTATTTTTTGTCAAATACTAGTGTCTAACATTTCTTTATAAGCTAGTATGAATAAAGATATTCATGAAACAAAAGTAAAGTTTACCATGTACATTTGAAACTACATTATGCAACAATGCAACTTTCAGACTTGTTTGGAAACATCATTTTTGTTATTTATAGCATATATTACTATTAACAGTCATTTATTTTGTTGTTATTATTGTATCTAAGAGATTTAAATCATACGCAATACAATCCCATTTTTCATTTTTTAATAGAAGGGTAGATTACATTGCTAATTTTAAATAAGAATCAGAGACGCATTTTGACGTTCTCTATGTTCCAAGTTTTTATAAGGCAACTGCTGCTTTATTTGTCCACGACAATGATATGGATTAATCGCTTTTGAAGTGCATTTAAATACCTATTTAAATCACAGAAGCTGAAATTTAAAAAACAAAATGCAAAAACTACACTACGTCATTGACTGACAAATATGTACATTTTTCGTACATATCAACGCTACCCTGTCATCTAAATAAAAAATGTCTATAATCGTATGTGAAATGAATCATCAAATATAATAAGTATCTATTATAAAATTTCTTTTCGAAAATTGGAAATCTCTCATAAAATTAAATAATGAAGTGCTTATTTTGACTATGAAAGTAAAAAAATGTTTACTTCTCGTAAGCTCTCTTAAACTAAATCGAACAATTCGTTTACGAACTTAATTAATAATTGTAAATCAGTAGCTATAAAAGCGGTAAATAAAGAGCAAACGCAAAGTATATGAGTAATTCTTGGCTATTTCGATTGACTTGTAAGCCTTAGGTTACGGATTTTTTTTAATTTGGCACAATTGTTGTACACATAAAAGTAAGATTTTTCCCAAATTTTGAAGACGATACATTAATTATATCAAAAGTTATTAACAATTCAAGAAAAATGATAAAAAATTTTCAAACGGCTATATTTTAAAAACTAATAAAGATATCGAAGTCGGATTTTTTTGAAAATACTTATAATGCCTTAAAATTTCGAAATAATTACAACAATAAACAATAAACAAATTTTTTCGAAAGTTATTAACTTTTTGTTTAAACAATTGCTAATATCTCAAAAAGTATATTTTTGTTTTGAAAAATTCTTGCTCCTGCGTGTTCCTGAAGATTTTTGCTATCGAAATCAATCATAAAATTCGAGGGCCCGACATATCGGAAAGCATAGCCTTAATCAAAAGAAGACGCCTCAGCGTAAGACCACGAAGACGTCCCGCTGTCGTTGCGACATACACCGAGGCATCTTCTTTTGATTAGGGCTACGTCTTCCGATATGTCGGGCCCTTGAATTTTATGATTGATTTCGATAGCAAAAATCCTCAGGAAAACGCAGGAGCAAGAATTTAAAAAAAAAATATACTTTTTGAGATATAGCAATTGTTTAAACAAAAAGTTAATATCTTTCGAAAAAATTGTTTATTGTTTATTATTGTAATTATTTCGAAATTTTAAGGCATTATAAGTATTTTGGAAAAAATCCGGCTTCGGTATCTTTATTAGTTTTTTAGATTAAAGCTAAAGTGCCTTTCGACCGTGAGTCTGCTGGAGCCCTACCGCAGCCTTACGCCGAGGCGTCTTCTTTTGATTAAGGTTACGCTTTCCAATATGTCGGGCCCTTGAATTTTATGATTGATTTCGATAGCAAAAATCCTGAGGAACACGCAGGAGCAAGAATTTTTCAGAAAAAAAATATACTTTTTGAGATATTAGCAATTGTTTAAACAAAAAGATAATATCTTTCGAAAAAAATTGTTTATTGTTTATTATTGTAATTATTTTGAAATTTTAAGGCATTATAAGTATTTTCAAAAAAATCCGACTTCGATATATTTATTAATTTTTAAAATATAGCCGTTTGAAAATTTTTTATCATTTTTCTTGAATTGTTAATAACTTTTGATATAATTAATGTATCGTCTTCAAAATTTGGGAAAAATCTCACTTTGATGTGTACAATTGTGCCAAATTAAAAAAAATCTGCAACCTAAGGGTTACAAGTCAATCGAAATAGCCAAGAATTACCCATATAGTGTTTGAGAACAAAAATAATTATCGAATAGAATGTATGCTAACTAAAGTTTGATCGCTCTTGCACTATAAACGCCGTAAAAGAAAAATAATAATTACAAATAACACATGTACATAACGATATATCACAATAAGAATTCGCCACAAGCTTCGGATACATGTACATTTAAAAATGTCAGCATCAACAGAATTTTGTTGTCACTTAGTCAAACGACATATTCTTGTAAAGCCGCGCGCGTGCGTGCGTGTCATTTGAAAAAAAGAGAAGTCAAGTAAGTGCTAATCTTGGCTTTCATCTCGATAACACAGTTTAAATAAATATCTCAGCTTGGACACAAAAATAGGCGCGAACTCGTCAAACAAAGGAAGAAAAGCCAGGCAGTGGTGCTCTCGACCTTGCCATATTGTTCATGATGATTTGTCCACCGTTCAAACTCACGACTGCGCTACCTTCAGGTTCGGAATCGGTATACGACGAGTAATTTCGTACAGGTTTTTGTCGCTTCCACGATTGTCGCAGTGAGTCATTCACATTGGCATAGTGATTGACAAAGGAGTGTGGGTCCGACTGCACACTTTCATTTTCGCTCTCAGACGCCTACAAATAAATTGTTTAATGAGTTTACTTTGACAAAGAAATTATGCACACGCGCTCATTGGGAGAAAATTATACCTGCGAGTCGGTAGAGCTGATTTCCGATGGTTTTTCAGTGACACTGCTATCGTCGGGGTTCTCGTCGTAACCCTTGAGACTTTCCTCATCGCTGTGATAAGCAACAGAAGCAGGTGACGGCCTTGGCGGTGACTTGCCGTAGACAGCAGGAGGTGGTGGATGCATGGGCTTGCGACTCAATGTACTTCTCTTACCCAGCGTGCCACAACCATTGCTCATGCTCGAGATACCACCGCTTTGTCGCGAGCGGTACAGTTCCATATCCGACTCGTGGCGGTCCTCGATATCCATGGCCATTGACTCCTCCAGCGCTTTCTGGGCTTCTTCTATTTTAAGAAGAACCATTAATATGTGTTTGATTTCACTTAAATTTGCTCTATTCTATAGTGGGGTTGCTCTACTTACGTTTGTACTTGTAACTTTTGCTCTTAACGCAAAGCACTGCTATTACCATAATTATTATGACGACTGAAGAAGCTGCTAGAGTGACCATGAACCAGGTCTGTCTGTAGAAAGGGTGTAGCTGTAGATACGCGTATTCTCTGTGCAGTTTCGAAGGCGTAATAATCTGTTGAATTTAAGTACCAGTAAAATTTCGTAATCATACATTAGAAAATTTGAAATTATTGAAACTAGTTTATGCATTACCGTTTCCTTGGAAAAGGCAGGATAACTAATTCCGTATTGATTGTAAGCTATTACTCTAAACAGATAGGACGTCGAAGGAAGTAATTTTTGGAATGACACACTGTACTCAGTCAACCATCCGTTCGTCGTTCGATCAATAGTCTGCCACTGACTGTCATCTAAAATCAAGTTATACATAAGAATTCACAATTCTATTTCAAAGATTGAGATACATTGTCGATAAACATTGAAATTCATAAGCTATAGCTAACGCCGTTTCATACGACATGAAAATAAATGACAAGCTCAAACTCTACGACGGCGATGATATTACTAATGTTTTTTTAAATGATATTACACTGGCTTATAATGATTTAAGAACATTTGGCGGCACTGCAAATCATGTCAAATGAGGCAAGTATTTGTTGAGTCCGCTGAGAGAAAATTCGTAGAAAACTGGTTAGTTTTTCAAAGTCTTATTTGTAAGATAGTGTGATAGGAGGAATCAGTATATACATACATAAATATGCATGTCAAAGATGCTTGAACAGGACATGCTGGAAAGCAGGGCTGGACAGAACTTTGAGTAACAACAATAATTTTTCCACACACATACGACATATAATTCACGCAGCAAAAAAAAAAAATCTTTTTTGAGATAAATGCTCATTAATTGCATGGGGGATATATTTTCATGATAAACATTCAAAGTTATCAAAGCTCATTTTTGTACCCAGCCTTACTAAAGAAAATACCATGCAATCGTCTAATTGTTTGTTCAGAGGTGTTATTTGTTTCTATATGATTTCATATCGATTAGAACATTCAATGGAGCACAGATGCCTATAGACACGATTATTGACAAATTACGCTAACGTGTTCTTATAAACTTACAATGCTGCCAATCTTCCCTTGCTGTCTCGCCAAAGAAAACATAATAACAGTGATTAATAAAAATCAGCCTATTAGTGCATCAATAAATTAAAAATTGCTCATAGCTAATAATTGCTTTTTTATTCATAGAGCGTCGAAATGAATCCTATAAGCTGATATTCTTTACCTTTGCTCTTAGTTTCAATGTAATAGCCTAATATCGCGCCTTTGCCAGTAGCACCATTCGTCCATGCTAAATCTACACTGGAGCCAGTTTTTGTAATCACTAGAGCAGTGGGTGCCATTGGGGAGCCTTCTTGAGGTCCGGTAGTAACGTTACCAGACGTCGGTGGCCCGAGATCAATTGTTTCTGCTTGCACAGAAAATGTGTAAGTCACTTTTTCTTCGAGTGGTTGAACGAGCAAATTTGTTTCTGTGACCTTTTGTCGGACTTGCTTACTAAAACCTACAAATGACAACGTTATTAAGATATTCAATGAATACCTGATCTTTTACATAATTAAATAAAAATCGATACTATTTGACTTACGATCATTTTGTTCCGAAGTTTTATAGGATACCACATATCCTACAATTTCTCCATTGCGCATTTTAGGTGGGTCCCACGTAACGCGCAAGCTCGTTAATGTTATTTCGCTGAACTGTAAGTTTTGGGGTGGACCAGGTATATCCTACCAAATGTCGAGATACAATGAGTATTTATCAAAATGTTGCATATAAAAATAGGGTGAAATTTAATTATTTATACCGGCTTTGTTCTAACGGTGATAGGAGGTGATCTCGGGCCATCACCAGCCGGATTGAAAGCCAATACTTGAATTCGGTATTCGGTATATTTGTCTAAAAATACTAAACTATGAGTAGAGTACGAAGCAGGTACTACTTCAATCTCTTCCTCCTGCTTCTCCTCCAACTCTTGCGGCGAATCCGTTACAAAGTAGAATATCTGAAAATAATGACAAATAAATTATTAAAACTTGTTATAACTTATATAAATTAGTAGTGATGACTGCATTGTGCAATTACCTTATATCCTAAAAGTTCACCGTTCTGCATATTAGCCTGAGGAGGTTTCCATCGAAGCTGCACTTCAGTGGAAGAGATTGGATTTACTGTAACGTTTTGTGGTTCCCCGGTGGGAATGGCTTCACCAACATATACTGTAACTGGAAGACTTTGGGGTCCTTCACCCTCAGAATTGAATGGAACAACAATGACTTCATAATATTTGTCTTCGGTTAAATCACTCAATGTTATTTTTGTCTCCTGTTAAAATAAACGACCACATTTTTAAAATTACTAAAGAATTTCGGGTGTGTGCGTAAAAAAATAATCTCACGTTGATTCCCATAATTTCTTCTTTTGGAGGCCCAGGTAGAGCAGTCGGAAAATCAGAAAGAGGTTGATAAAAAACACGATAACCTCCTGTCGAATGATCACCACTCCAATATAATTCATCGATTGGACTCCAGTGAACTTCTATACTTGACGTTGTTATTGGTACAACTTTCAAGTCCGTAACTCCTCGAGATGGAGCTAAAGTTTTAAGAAGTCTTTTAATATGTATACCTTATAATATTCCAAAATATACAAATTACATTAGTAGCAATATTTACCTGTTGGCAAAGTTTTAACTTGAATAGATTCTCCGCTCCACGCAGAAGGACCTATATCGTTAGTAGCTTGAATTCTAAATTGATATAAGGTAAATGGCTTTAAGTTATTGGCAGTGTAAGACGTTAACGATGGGTCGACTCTTTCGGGTGTCATTTGGAAAGGCCCTGAGTTCTCCGATTGTTGAACCGTATAATATCTACAATGAATAAGATGCTCATTTGCAATACATTGGAAAAAATATATAAATATTCAATATTTCCAAAAAGCATTTACCTCAAAGGCGCAAAACCATCTCGTCCTGGAGTCCAACTAAATGTAATCTGTCGACTTTGTATTTGAGATCTGCTCACGTGTGGCGCTGAGGGAGGTTGCGGTCTTTCTCTATTATTAGTTGTTAAAACTAAGGCATAAGCAGTCTTACCCCAACCCAAACGACTTTGAGCCGTTACCGAAAACATATAATATCTTTCCGGTTCCAAATTGTTAGCTCTAGAAATCAAATATTTCAAATTAGTACATATTTTTAGTTGGCCGAAATACATTTTATAAGTAACATCAGCTTACGTAAATGTTCTAGTAGTTGAAGAAAATTCTTTGGAAAATTGGTGATCAAGACTTCCATTTAAATGAAACATTACTTTGAATGCGAGAATTTCTCCATTTGGATCTTCAGGAGTGTCCCAGATAATTCGAGCTGAACTGAAGCTCACGTCCGGTAATGATACATTAGACGGTGGGCCAGGTACTGAAATAATTATGTAAAAATAAATCAATATTTAATCGGTATATATTAGGGGAAAAAATCACGATTTCTTGATATTACCATCTTCGAAAGTTTGAATTCTGATCGGAGGCATACTCAAAGCCCCGTCACCTAGTCTAGTGTATGCCAAAACTTGTATATGATATTGAACATATTTCCGCAATTCAGTCAGAGTAGTTGTGAAAGTAGAGTTACTCGGAATACTTTTATACTGGAATGGTGATCGATTATTCGCTCTGTAATATACTTTGTATCCTTCAATTTGACCATTTTGATGCTCAATCGGTACTTCACCCCACTTAACGACAATTGTTGTAGAAGATGTTGCATTAGCTTCGACGTTGACAGGCCCGAGTGATGGCACTGAATAAAAAAAAAGATTGTTTAAGACATTCATATTTTATAAATAAGTTTATAAGCTTATCAATGTTGTTAAATGCATTAGTCAAATATCTACCTGATTCACGAGTTCTTTCAACGGCCTTAGGACTCAAAGTACTCGAACCAACATCATTATAGGCGTGCATGTAAATTTCGTACAAAGCAAATTCCTCCATGTTTTCGAGCACGTACGAATTGGCAGTATGATCGTCAATACTAATGCTTTTGGATTTGTTGGTACGTACTGCGGTATATGTAATGTTGTAACCACGTGGATTGCCATACCATTCAACTTGCTGCAACGGCTGTTGATTAATGTAAAATTGATTACGTACACAAAGACTCGTAAATAGAGATAGGGAGAATAAAAGTTATCGAAACTCACGATCCATCTGACTCTCAATTCGGTTGCGCTCATAGCCCTAACGGTCACATTTCTAGGGGGATGAGACGGCGGAGCTTGAATGGTTTGGAATTCTTTTGTTGGCTCCGATGGCGCAGAAGGTCCCACAACATTATTAGCTATCAGTCGCAGTTTGTATTGCATGAAAGGAGTTAGACCCTCTACCGTTATCTTCTTGGCATCGGGGTCATAGATTTCCGATATTGTGTGCCACGTTGTATTTCGAGCGGTTTGTGCCTGAATCACATTGTTTATATTTAGTAAATTGTGAAATGAATTTCATAAATAACATGCAAATTTTTAAGTGTATTACCTGCACTATCCACTTAGAAATAGATGCATTGCCATTGAATCCCGGGGTAAATTGCAAAACTATAGAAAACGCGTCGATATTCGATAGAGCCAACTTTGTCGGAGGCTCGGGTAGCACTGGCTCGACACCAGATTGAATAGTCGCAATACTTGGCTCGCCTGGCCCCTTTGATGTCCACGCCAATACTTCGAACGTGTAATGCGTCGTAGCCTGCGTCGAATTAATTACATTATTATTTTGTTTTCGTTGTATCTACGTACCCTCAAAAAATCTCGACAGACGGCACCGAACTCACCTGAAGTTGTTCAATTTTCGTAGACAAAATTTTGGCAGTGAAATTAAGCACTCTCATAGTGTCGGGACGGTCCTTGATCATATATTTCAATTGATAAAATGTGAGTATTCCATTAATCTCTTTGGGTGGCTTCCACTTTACAGTCAAGGCTCGATCACTTATATTGAGAAACTGAAGATTCTCCACTTTTCCAGGAACTGTAATCGCATAAAAAATGTAAAAATGCAATTGTCAGCACTCAAATTGGAGAGAAAAAGGCCTAAGAAAACAAAAATTTACCATCTTCACTAGTACGAATAGTAACGGGCATGCTTCTCTCTCCATCGCCGGGGTTAGTGAAGCATAACACGGTGATATTGTAAACGTTATACTTCCTCAGATTCGCCATGATTGCACTTTGTTCAGCCTGTGGATCGAACAGATTAGGAGCTACAGTCATAGACTTGTACTCGTTCTCCTCGACAAAGCCACCATTATGCCAGGCTTGCAGCTTGTAGCCCTGATTGATTCCGTTGATTTTCTGCGGATTCGGGGGTTTCCACCAGACTTTGATAGCTGTCGAATTGATAGCCTTCACTCTGACGTCAGTCGGCGGAGCTTCCGGCACTCCTTCCTTGGTTTTGATTCGCAGTTCATTGGTAAACATTCCGACGCCTTTATCATTATAAGCCGCAATCTGTACTATGTAATCCTTCCAGGTGATAAGATCGGTAATCAAGAAGTTCTTCTGCGCCTCATTAGTGATATTTTGAATCATCCAAGGAGTCTCGTTGTAACCATGCAGTTTGTAGCGTAGTACGTAGCCCAATATGTGTCCATTGCGGTGCTCCTCCGCTGGTGGTTGCCATTGGGTTATGATTTCGGACGACGAGCGCGCCGAACCAACAAAACCCAAAGGTGGACCCGAGGGTGCTGAATTGTTGATAAAGTTTGTGATTTGTTGCGATTGGTGCAGTGCGTAAAGCATCGTTTGGCAAGGTGTACTCACGTTCTTGAGGTAATACAACGGGATCGCTAGGCTCAGAGCTTGGTCCTTCGCCGACGCTATTCTCAGCGCTAACGCGAAACTGGTACGCCGCCGCGGCTTTGAGATTGTCGAACAGTACCCAACGGCTATTGGCCGAAATATTGGAGTACTCGGTAACCCAGTTGAGCGAGAAGTCGGGTAGTGGGCCTGCAAAGTGATAGTGGTTTCGCGAATGTATCCAGATCTCTGATACGTGCGAGGATCAATGAAAATAGCTTTGTTAGTGCGTATGTTGCATTAGGTGTCTCAGCTATGTATAATACCAATTGTGCTAAAAGCCAAGCCTCTACTGTCTAGTTTTTAGGTCAATTACTTACCGAGCTCGGGCACCTCCCGTCTCTGAACGATGAACGACTTGATAGGACTATTGCCATCGAAGCCGGGCACCCAAGTGACGTTGATGGTTCTCGGCGAGATTTCTTCGACTCGCGTGGCCACGACGTTGATCGGTGCGAATGGAAGCTCGATCACGCTCAGACGCGCCGTACGTGTCTCATTGCCACCAGGCGAGACTACCGAGCACATGTACTCGCCCACGTCCGATGCTCTCACCGCTCCGATCTCCAATGTGCCGTCCGACAGCATCTTCACTCTCGGGCTCGCTCGTGTGTTTATCACTCTGTAATAATACCGCGAGCTTCACACTGACCGTACCTCATGCGCGCTATGTTACTTTCTCTTTTTTCTACGACACGCTCTGCTTCCCCCTTCCCCTCGCGTAACTACACTTTTACGCTCTTTTCATTCTCTACTGCATGTCGTTTTCTGTTGGTTTTAATTACAGCTGGCGAGACTTTGAACACGCACAGCTTTGAAACCAACGCTTGCCTAATTTTTACGGCCAATTGTTTTTTTTTTTTTTTTTTTTAGATAAAGATCGTCCCATTTTTTTATGTTGGCGTACGTTGCAAAAATAATCATTAACGGACGAACATTTTAACAAGGCTAATGCCAACTTGTAGTTTAATTGTCGATGATAAGCCGATGGATTACAATCCTTCTTTCGCGTACTATGATAATAATATTACTTTCTAACGAGCATCGTTTGAGAAACTTACTGAGAATTATGGAACCAAGCGATGTCGAATTTGACACTGGGATCATTTGATACCTCGCACTTGAGCTCCGCTGTGTGTCCGAGAAGAACCGACTGGTCGACCGGCGGTTGGATTATCTGCGTTCTCACTACGAGTGGCAAAAAAAGTTGCAAGGTTTTGTTAATCATTTTGCTGGCGTGAGGTTGGTGTACGTTTTATTGAAATAAGTAGAAAATCTTGCAGGACGCAAGATGTCACACACGCGCGCGCGTACGCACACTTACCAAGCACTGAAACGTAAGCCGATGCATTTACGGAACCGGCGTCGTTTGCACGAATGCAAGTGTATTTTCCAGCGTCGCTCGGCTTCACATCGGCTATCAATAGATCGCCGCTCTCCGAAACTCGCACTCGACCGACTATTTCCACCGGCATCGTATCTGCAAATACAATTGATCGTGTTCAAGTATGTGTTATCGAAATTTTCCGATATATACAGAACAGAGGACATCGTAGTGTGAGTAAATTGAACTACGTTTTCCATTTTGCCCCAAACTGAACTTGGCACTTTTAAGTCATTTTAAATGGTACGCGACAAAAACACTCACCGTTATACATCCACGTTACATTTGGCACTGGTGCGGCTATTGCTCGACAGTTGAGAATCGCATCTTTGCCGTCCAAGACAGTCGAATTTTCCGGAGGAATTTCCATGATTGGTATCGAAGCTGCAAACGAATCAATTGTGAATTGCATTGTCATGATCGAAACAGTGGTGCGTTAAAAAACATGCATGAATGCAACAACACAAAAATTAAACATTGAACAGCTTTGTTCTTTTGCAGGTACTTTTATTCGAGAAAACAAGGATTTTTAGATATGCACACATACATTTATTAATACTGCAAATAAGTCATAATAATGTATACAAAATATATCAATGTATAAAACATCTCTGCGTGATTTTCTGTTGGCAAATGGCAACGTGATTAAGCTTTGCAGTGGTAGATTTGTAGACATTACGCAAAACATGAAAAAAAAACCGTGCGCTAATGACATTCACCACTAGTGATAATTTGTACTGTGAAGTCTATCGTTGAAAAAAATAAATAAATTTAAATTGATCGCCGACTCACAAGTTTTTCTAATCAAATTTACATAATAAAAAAAATATATATTGTCATCTCTAAAACTGCTTTTACAACTACGCAAACACGTCTAGATAACACAATATATCATGTCAGGAAAGGTCTATAGTTTTCACACTAAGCAAAGGCAATGTAAAACACACGTATAATCTACGACTATTACTTGATAAAGATATGTCGCTACGCAGTCAAGTAACAATACGCAAATGTATGCAATGGCACGCACATATAAGATATCTACTGTATATAGTTGGAAAACAATGCGATTTGAAGAACAAACAATAAAATAATGAAGCAAGAATGCGATTAAGTGTGAACTAATGATTTGGCGTAGTGTCAAGCAAGTGCCTATTTTAATGCGATACGAATAAAAGAAAATGATGCCAAAAGGTCACCAAAATTTTGTTTGTGGACCGAGAGCGCCAATTTTCTTTTATTTTCTTTTCTTCTGTGAATAATGCAAAGGTGACAAATGAGTGTCGCGTTCCATCTACTAAGATTGCCGTTTGATGATACGTGATTTTGAAAACATTAGAGAAAACTATACACATAGCAAGATAGCAAACTAAAAAAAAAGGAAATAACCAAATGAAGTGGACTTTACGACGTCGAAAACGTAGATTCTTACGGTCTGGATATTGAAAGAACTGAAAGCGACGGTTATCCTGGCGCACTCCGACGATACCATAACCGGCGGCTCGACGAGCCGTTCTCTTTTTCTCTTTCATCGCTGTTTTCGATCTTTCTGCTCTCGCACAAACAAATATAAACAACAAGAAAATCATGTGATCAGTACAAAGACACAGTGGGCGAGCGAACATTTATGAAAACAAAAAGATTTAAGTACAACACGCTTGACAATAAGCTGGCGTGATAATTCGAAAACTTGTACAACACTGAACAAGAGTGTTTACGCTTCATCGGTGATGTTCTTTCCTCCATTCGTCAAGCAATTGCAGCTCTACTCACTTTTAGCTTTGAGCCAGGTGTACGTGGTAGCTTCTCCAGCCTCGTTAGTCGCCAAACATTGGAACATGCCCGAGTCGTCCATCGTCAGCTTCTTAATCGTCAGCGATCCGTCTTCTTGCATAGCGTATCTGTGAACGTTCCGCGAGAAGAAACAGGAAAAGAAAAACGAAATGACATTAAAAGCCAAACAATCGGAAATTGCGGCAGACAAGAGCCGGTAATGACGGGCCAGACGCAGGTGTAACATTGAACGACTGGCAGCGCGCGTGTGTTTACCTCGTTCCTAGCAGTCTGTCAACGGGCTCGGCGTTGCGAAACCATTGAATGGTAGGTTTCGGCTCGCCGTCAGCGTCGCAAGGCAGCGTTACCGTGGTCCCGTACTCGCTCAGCGTTACCCTCTTTAGCTCGGTCAGGAAGCTTGGTTTCTCTGCGCGAACAAATCGAAAAAAAAATCGCGAAATCAGTTTTGCTGGTTAACGATAGCCGTCATCGATCCAATAGGCATCGCGTCTCGAATCTCCACTGCGCTCGAGCTAGATTTTGTTGCGGCAGCGCGGAAAGGAATCGTCGCGGTTGCTCACCGAGTACGTCGACTTTGGCGCTGGCACTGATGGTCGGGTAGCCGCCGCTCCTGAGATCGACGTGACACGCGTAGATGCCCTTGTAGTCGGGATTGGCCGATATGAGCATGAGCGTCCTGTTCCACGAGTCCTTGTAGTTGAAGGCCAATCTGGTATCCTCGATCGGAATGTCGTCCTTCGTCCAGACGGTTCTTAACTCATGCAGGGACCTGGGAGAGAAAGAAAGCAGACGAGGACGGATTGGATAATGGTGCGTCGGGGGAGGATGAGGCACAAGTGAGAATAATACCTGGCATTAGCGATGCAGTGCAAATACGTCATGCCTTGGTCTTTGATGATTTTCGTATCCTCGGGCCTTACGACGATCGTCGGCGCCACCTCGGCCAAGGGATCGCCCACCACTTTGAGCTTGAAGAACGGACTGTTCTCCTCCTTGCCGAGCTGCGTATTGATGGCTTTGGCTCTGTCGAGGCAAGACGGCGTCGTGAGGAGGAGAGCCAGCAAAACTGACGAGGCTGACCGACCTACCTGTAAGTGTCCTCGTCACCCTCGGATGCGTTGAGAATGATGAGCTTCTGGTGAACCGTGGCGTACTTGATGGTGTAGGGTATCGTGCCCTCGGAAGTCGACCAAATCACTTCCGGCGCCGGATGACTGTCGATGTGCGGCATCTCCAGCACCGCCGCGCTGCCCGAGCCCACCGACACTCCTCGCTCGCTCAGGTCTTCGAACTCGCCCATGTCTGCGCAACATTGCCATCGATCGTCAGCCACGCTCGGGTCTTCTCGCGTCCGCCAAGTCATACTCACAGGCCACGGAGAATGATATCCTCTCGCTGAAGATGGAGCCGACTACGTTGGTCGCCATGCAGTAGTACACGCCCGAGTCCTCCCGGCGCGTGTTGTGAATGCGATAGAAGTACTCGGACGTGAGCTCGCTCGTGAGCGGCCGGCCGTCTTTGAACCACCTGTACTTTGGTTGCGGATTGCCTGCAAATCAGCGCGGCCGATTGAAGCGACGCGGCGAAAACACGCGCCGTCGGCGCGTCGTCTGCCCTACAATTGATTTGCATCGGAAACGGACGCTCGTTGAGCGGACGGCGCGACGACCAAAGTATATCCGCGTCAACGAGACCGCGCGTCTCCTTAAAAAGTCGTCGCCCTCGTCGTCGCGGCTGTCAATGTCGACACCGTTTCCATTTGTTTCCCCTCAAATATTAGCCCGATAAAGCGTCACGGCCGTGTTCCGTTATTTTCTCCCTCCCTCGCTCTCTATCGGCAGTGTGTTACGCGCTCGTTGTGGAGGCTTCAGGGTGCAGCAGTCGACGTAGCTCGGTGTCTAAAGTTAGCCGCAGCGATCGAGAAAAGAACAAAACGAAAAAAGAAGGAATCCCCGCGCGAGGGAAATATTTGCCCGTGGGCTGTCTCGTTAGATGTGATTTTGGTGGAAGATGACTGCGTCCCCGGGGATCGAGTGCGTATTTCGTCAGACTCGAGCAAGCAACTCTGCACTCGCCTGTATGAGCAGCGGAAGAGAAGAGCCTCGAGTATTTTTAAAAGCCAGGAGTGGCGTTTGGAAGGCGAGGTGCTGGCGATCTGAAATCCGAGACCGCGCGAAGAGAGAGAAATCCCGCCAAGGCAGGATGGCTAACGCGACATAGACTTGGTACTTTGGAAATCAGTGGAATGGAAATCGTCGCGCATACAGTAAGAGCCCAGCACTCCGGCGCAAAGTTTTGCATACGAGATTAGATTGGGTAGTGCGACCCGAAAGAGCGCTCGGAATTGAAGAGGCGGGAGACCGTTACGCCAAAGTCCGCGCGACACACCGGAGAGGGTGACTGGTATGCGCCGCGTGCGCAGAGGGCTCGAAAGCCCCGCGGCGCGTGTAGCGTTACCCAGCAGCTTGCGGGGCTTCGCCTTTTACCTCTCGACGCTGCTCTTTCGCCTTTACAAAGACGCCTGCTGGCATCGACGACGTACACTGCTCGCCTGGCGCGGCGCTGACAACCTCGTTCCCCTTTCTCTTGTCGATTTTGTGCGCGCGCGCGCGCGGACGACCAAACTCGCCTCGGTAACAATCGCCTGACGGAGATTTTTTTATGAAATGCGCGATGCGACATGTACGAGGTGCGCAGATTACGTTATATTTGGTGCCCCTCCCCAAATTTATGCTAATGAAGTGGCCGTTCTATATATTATCGTGAGTATAGAAGGGGGACAGAGATTTTTTCCTCTCCGATCGTTACAGCGCGTTATTATAATCTCTCTGCTCCCGTCAGCCGCGCGTTTTGCCTTTAATGCGATTATAGCGATCTCAAGATTTACGAGGGCAGCGACGCGTTTATTTTGAATAAAACGAAAAAAAGCGATGTACAGGCGACTGCGTATTTGCTGGTGACTTACCTCCAGCTTGGCACTGGAAAATTTTCGTTCGGTTCTCGCTGAGAATGCCACCGCTGCTCGAGGGCTGCGTGCTGAATCGCGGCTCCTGCAGCGACTCCGCTGAAACAAACAATGTCAAAGGGGAGGCTAGAATGAGAATCGTTGCGAATTTCGTCGAACCGAAGAAAAAAAAAATACATAAGAAAAGCACAATGCCGCCGACCAGGGAGAGAAGTCGTCGAAGGACTTTTTGTCGCGTCGTAAAATCGAGCGCCAAACGGCCGATCATCGGCGCCAAGCGAAAGGCAATTTGGCTGCTGACGCGTGTTTCTCGGACAGCGTGTAACTCTTTTTTAGATGTTGCGCCGAAAGCCACTCCCGCCGTCGCGTCTCTCATTGCTGGCAAACGCGTACGCGCCGACACACACACACACACACATACACACCGAAAGAGCATGAGTAACAGCCACAATAGAATGTAAAACACGCGAAGCGGCGGCGATGAAAAAAGAAATGCTCCCTTACGTTCCAAATACGAAAGCAAAAAAAAAAAAAAAAAAAAACCAACGCGAATGCAGTAACCTACATGCCGTGCGAAATGCGTAGCCCTGGTGCGTTTCTGCCACGCTAGGGTAAGCATGCGAGTAGGCTAGCGGGTGGACACGAAGAAAGGCAGGCGCGTATCAGGGAGGGGAGACGGTTTCGCTCTCTTTCTCCTGCGGTGTCTTCGCGAGGGCAGCAGCGAGCGCCGTGCAAAATGCTGGCGCGAGGCCGTGGTGCGTGTGCGCGGGCACCGCCGTCCATCCGGCCGCGCTGTACGCGTGTGAAATGAACGCGTGCTCGCGTCCCCGTACGAGTGTGCGCGAAAAACGGAATCTAATTTTTTCATTTTTTTTTTGCTCACTCCGTTGTTTCGCGCTCGCCCAAAGGGATTCGCTATGGAGAAGCAGCAAGACGCGCTCGCGTTCGACGGAGGAGCGAGCGTCGAGGGATCGAGGGCGCGACGTAGAATCGTTGGACGCGCGCCACCGAATGCGGGCCGAGCTGTGCACGCAGCGACTTTATCCGCCGGCAAGCAGGATCAACCGTTATGTCTTGTACGTGCCTCCTTTGTCGACTCTCTTTCTCGCTCTTTTCACACGAATTTACGGCACTCGCTTCGCAGTCGCTTGATAGCCTCGCTCTCTCGGCACAATTGAACTGCCGTAACACCACCAATGAGGTCCCCCGCATTATAGCAAAATTTTATGTGTAATTGTAAAGGGCAATATTATTTGATGAAAAGTTGCGGAATGGGATACTGAGTAGAAAAAAATGTGATTCGTCCAATGAAAGAAAAAGCTTGCGTCAGTAAAGAAATTGCGAAATACACGTTTTTTTTCGTATTTTCACCGTAATAATTAATATGATATTGCAATTTATACCCTTTTTCCACGCTAAAAATAACTACAAAACGAATCCTCGCACGTCAAAATCAAATAATTAGTTTACAAGTTATCGTTAAAAAACCATTAAAATCATCTATTTGTTAATTTATAAATAACTATTTTAATAGCAGAAGAATACTTCTTAATGCTGCCGAAACTATGGATTTCAAGATGCAGAATATACTATTCAAATTTCGTAAAAATTATTAATAACTTTTGCTGTACTAGTAATTTTTGTGAAAATAGAGCTTTAGTTACAAACTGATTTCTTGCCCTAAGAGAACGATACGAAACTCGGCGTGGTCTCATTTCGTCTGTAAAGAGTCGTAAAGGCATGAAATTTAAAGCTTCCAAAATCGTTATGAACCAATGGAATATTTTTCAAAGTACAGTAGATTATAGCGCCCAATCACTACGACTATATTGCTGGTAAATTTTATAAATTTTAAAACCAATCTAGCCTCCTTAAGTGCAAAAGAATCAAAGATATTGTTTTTTTTTTACAAAAAATCACCGTGCCTTCAATTATTAATATCAAGAAACGTAATTTTCACGAATAGATCAAGTGAAAAATGAAGTTTATTATACACAGTTAAACTCTCAATGAAGTTTCGATATTCGTCAGGAATTGTTTGTCTAACTGGAGCGAGGATCGAGTTCGTGGACTAGCCACGGCGAAGATTGGGAGGAGCACTTTTTGACGGCCAGAGAAAACCGGTCGCGCGGCTCCAAATCGAAATCGAGAAAAAATTTATGTCTTTCGTTTTTCATATTTTTCTAAATGCAAGATTTGTATTTTCAAAGAAAAAAAATGATTGCTTTTGTAGCAAAATTGGTAAAATATATAACTGAAACTTTATATTTCCAATAGAGTGCAGTGCATAACAGTGTAATGTAGAATGTAGTTTCAAATAAATAATGAGATTTTAACTCTCGAAGAGACTGATGCGAGTGAGGATGCCGATGAGATCAACAATAATTACATTGAAGATATTGAAGAAGAAACCATTGAAATGGATTGTACTGTAGGTAAAAATATAAGAGATAACGATTATGATAGAGATAAATGTCCAATCGAGAAAAAGACGGAAGATATAAGTAAGATTAAATGTATTGTTTTGATTATTATTATCCCGAATTTTTAACATAAAAAATTTTGTATATGTAAAAAATATTGTTATTTATATACTATCAATATATTTTGTTCAAAATCATATGTAAAAACTTTCTTAATAAAAATACTAATAAATCACAAACTAAATTATATCAAATAAACATTTTTTTACCTGTAACTCTATTACTTATTAATTGCAATCTTGCCCAGTTTATAATGAGAAATTTAATATTATTATTGTCGCATGTGATTAAAGAATAGTCGATTGTCAAAAGTACAAGAGACTTTCAAAATAACATGTCATCGGTGGTAAAATGAAATCAAAATTTTTGACTGACTAACAAACATTTTTTTTACAAAAAATTACGTAAACGTTAAAATTTTAACGAGGTACCATTAGAAAATTGTTCGTTCAATTTCGATTTGAAGCAACACGACCGGTTTTCTCCGGCCGTCGAAAAGCGCTCCCCCTACTCTTAGCCCGTGCGCGCTCGTCCACGAGTTCAGTCTACGCTCCAGTTTGACAAAAGATTCCCTGACGAATATTGAAACTTCATCGAGAGTATGATTTTGTATAATAAACTTCATCTTTCACTTGATCCAATCGTGAAAATTAGTTTCTTAATATGAATATTTAAAGAGTCGGTGATTAAAAAGAAAATAATATCTTTGCTTCTGTTGCACTTAAAAAGGTCAGGTTAGTTTTAAAATTTATAAAAAATTACCAGCAATATAGTCATAGTGATTGGGAGCAATGATTTACTCTACTTTGAAAGATATTCGATTTGTTTATAACTTTTTTCGGAGCTTCAAATTTTGTGTCTTTTTAAATAATTTTCATTGAGAAAAAATGACAAGAGCAGTATTGCTGAGTAAACTACAACTTTTTATGAACAAAATGAGCCCCCACGCCAAGTACCGTATCGTTCTCTTTCGTATGTAAAATTGCTTTTACAGCAAAAGTTATTAATATTTTTTTACAAAATGTGAATGGTATATTTTGTCTCTTGAAATTCATAGTTTTTGTAAAAAGCAATGGCAGTTAAAAAAGTTATTAATTAATTAACAAATAGCTGAGTTTAATGGTTTTTTAAAGATAATTCGTAAACTAATAATTTGATTTTCACGCGTGATGAATCATTTTGAAACACATGGGAGAACCATATTGCCATTCAGTATCCCATTCCGCAACTTTTCATTAAATAATATTGCTCCGCAATTTATGCACAAATCATGCCTTTTCACTGTTAAAATGCCTGGATATCGTCGGCTGTGGCCTTTCCGCTCACCAAAATTACTGATGACAACAAATAGAAAAAAGCAACAGTGAGATCAAAACGCTGTAATCGTTCTGAGTATACAGAGAATGTATCCCCCTTGCCTATACATATACTACGCCCAGGTATATTATTAGCCTCGGCAAAAAAACAAAAAACAAAAAGAAGAGATACAGCGACGCTCGCGTGATTCATACATCCAGACTCCACGAAGACCCATTCGTTTTCTCATTCAGATGATGATTATCGAACATTAAACGCTGCATTCTTCGGATGTACGAGCACTCTACAATGTATAGTACGGGCAGTGTTTGACATTGTCCAAGCGGCTTGGTTTTATACGAGATAAACGTAGTAAGCGAGCAATGCAATTTTGCAGTGATAAAAAAAATAAAACAAACAAACCAGCAAGTCGGCGAGTTTGGGCTTTGAGAGTGCGCGGAGCAGAGGCGCTGCAATTGAAACCGGTCCGACCGGTGCGAAAACGTACCATTTGTAATTACAAAGTCGCTCGCTCGCGCGACCAGCATGTACGCGCATATCTGGCTTTTGTAACTAAGAGTCAATAGATCATTGATTACAAAGTAAACCTGGAGCGCTCGAAGAATAATAAGCCATGCACTAAAGAGCCGAGAGGCATAACTCTTTCACGCGTCATTTGCCGTCCCTCAGACACGTCGACGACAACGAGGAGGACGGGCAGTAAAAATAACCATACCGAAAACACAGACGCACAGAGCTCTTATGAGTAGCGCGTGTCTCCGATCATCCTTTATGAGAGAGAAATTGAAACAGCGCGGTAGCTAGCTAATGTTTTCAGGCCAGAAATTTGTAGGTCGTTGCACCTCTTTAAAAGCCCTAATTGGAGAATCCAATGGGATGTTCACTCGTCGTCGTCGGTAGCGAGCATGAGCGATGGATGGATACCGAAGGCTAGTTTGACGAGTTTCTGATGGCTGAGAACAGATACCGAGTGGAAAGAATAAACTTTTCTATCCTCGTTCCCCTCTCACGATCGCGCCACGGAATCCCAATGCTGGAGCTTCTTCTTCGAAGGACTTATTATCGCTGCAGTCTCTCTCACAACTAGCTCGTAAAGAAAACCGACGTCGTGACTATTACTGCTTGCGCGTATACGCGCTTCTTTGTCTTTTCTCGCGCATTCTATTTGCGCGGACATTTTTTTTTTTGTTTTCAATAATTTATGCAGTTCCACGGAACTCGCGACACTCGAAAGAAAAGAAGTCGATTGGGCTCTGTCTGATTGCGCGCAAGTCGATGATTTCGATGACGAACGAGGTC